CCCCCCCCCCCCCCCCCCCCCCCCCCCCCCCCCCCCCCCCCGCGGGGCCCCCCCACTGGGAAGGCATTCCAGACAAGAGAAAGGGAGATAAGAACAAGATATCAAGGAGTCGGAGTCAGACGCTTTCCATTTTTCTAGGGCTCTTGTCAGACACTATCAACATCCAAGTCGATGACAATGTTGCGGATGCTGCCACAAGGACCGTCTAGGGAGTCGGTCTGAGACCAGCGCCAAAGCTACCGCGCCGCCCGTGAGATGCCACGCCAACGACTGGGCATCGCGACATGGACGGTACCAGAGGATGAGTATTGCTACGTAGTAAGCTTTTGGAATCAGCAGCTGGCTTTCTATGCCACTCACTTGCGGCTTTTCTGGCTGACGCTATTTAAGGGGTACGTCTCCGATGTCGTGCTTCTTCCCCATTACATCGGATGAATTGCCAGCTGCTGTGGAAAAAGTCGCGCCCTCTTGTTGATCTGACTTTAGTATTTTCGCCATCCCTCCAGGTTAGTCGTGGAAAACCTTCGTAACCTCTTCAAAGGTTCGCAACGACCCTGATGTAATCGGCAAGAGACCCAACTTGGTTGTGCTTACATGAGAAGGTCTCAAGGTGCTAGGAGAAGTGAAGGCAGGAAAGTTCTACGAAACTAGGTACTTCGCCAGTCTCGCAGTTCGATGAACCTTTCACTTCGCTCCAAGTACCTTGCTGGGTTTGATAATGCTTATAAAAGAAGCTAGCAGGCCACTGCTTTGATAGTGGTCTCCCACCACGTCCACTTTCTTCATTTCAACATCAACCGCTACATTTTTCGAACTCGCAGTAGCTTTTCATCATCATGTTCCCTGCTCATGTAATAGGGCCAAACGGCATCAAGCGACTGGAGAGGTTTGACCCAGGAGAGGAGCTGCTGCTCACGCCTTACCCAATTTCCGACCCTTATGGAGTCGGAAAGCGCTCTCATCACGTCTATGCTGTCGGCCCTGGGAGCCCGGAACCCGCGTCTTCCACAACATCGGGAGACGCCGAACCTCCGCGCAAGCGTTCCAAGCCGACTACCGAATATGCTGCGGGCACCGAGAGCGGTGAAGTTCCCGACGATGACGCTGACTTCATAGCACGCGCCGACCCGAAGACCAGGGTCCGGCTGGTTATCCATAAAGCAATTCGCCTGATGAACAACGTCACAGGTCACAGAGTTATCATCTGTCGCGTCGAAGATCCGCCCACTGCCTTTTCAGCCGAGAACGGGCACGCACGCCACTTGACAGACGCTAAACTGGTTATTGTCAAAATATATGGCAAATCATCTCTGCGGTGTAGCCCGCATGGAAACACACCCGATCAAGCCAATTGGTATCATGACTTTACTCAGGAAGCCTCGGTGTACCAGTACCTCTACGACAAGAAGCTGACAGGCCACCCGCATCTTGCGCCTCAGTATTATGGGACGTGGGCTCTAACCAACGAATCGGACCAGGGAAGCCCGCACAGTTTGGGAGACAAGTAATCTGGTGTCGTTATCATGGAGTACATCGACGGTTTGTCCCTCGAGGAAATAGCTCCTCGCGACGAGTATGAACCCGGTTCCGTAGGGGCACTAGAGGCGACAGAAGAGCCTGTCATTCTGCATCGAGGTGCGGAAGTTCAACTTCCAACAGATTTGGACAGTCGCTTGGTGATTCTCAAAGAGCTCTTCGAACGAACTGTCCAACAGCTTCACCAAGGCGTTCTTCGTACAGAGTTTGCCGACGCCAATGAAGTCCTCATCACGCTTCGGAACAATGGTGCAGACTTGGCCACGCCGCGGGTTGTCGCAGTCGACTACGTCCACACGCTCGTTTGGTCTTTGACCTACCAGGGAAAGACGGACGGCGGCCCTCACTTCTACCAGCAGCAGGAAATTCCACCACACCCTGGGCTAATGCTTAGGGATGGAGTTGAAAGTACCGGATGCCTTTACGGTTGGTACCCCGAGGAATGGTACAGCGGAGAGTCAACGTCATTTAATGAGTGGCTCACAAGCGAGAGTGTGTTCGGTCCGCTGACCGAGGACAATAAAGACTACTTTGTCCCACCGGAGGAGTTACGGCTGCCTGAAGGGGGCCTATAGCCCGAAAAATGGTGGTCTGATGAGGAAACTGACCGCATTTTTGACGAGCGCAAGAAGATACTAAGGGCACTGAGTGAATAGCAGAGGTTATTGATTGTTGATATCTGATGGGGAAGTGCGGCGAGTATCCCATCAACCCTGCAGTACTCAAGAAATAGAAGTCATCACTTTTAAAATTGAATGCCAGTACACACGGCAAAGCCTTCAATACCTAGATGCTCAAAATCATGCGGTGAGGTTTGATCAATCGCGTTGTATAGCATATTTTCATTCGTCACGACAATCTTCACTCATCCATCCATGCCAGATAAATCCGACGTTGGTTAATACACAAATGGGCTTTCAGAGATGGCGTCGCATTTCGCCATGTCCCCCGGTCGAAGCCAAGGTGACGCATAACACTGAAGTAGCACCGTCGAGGCCAGGACCTCTTCCACGTTGAGAACGCCCAGGAGCTAGCAACACAGCGTGCCTGTGATCACACGATATTTGAGCATAGTCATTTCGGCTCAAAATCAAAACAAAACGAAGAGTGGTGGACAATTTGAAGCTGCAGAGTGCCGTCGTGCATGACAATGACTATGATGACAAACACCAACACGCATTGCTGATGCTACCTCGCAGCGACCACGTCGCAGCCCAAAAAAACACTCTTCCCGTTCTTATGGGCGACTTGGTTGGACATTGATTCATCACCCAAGGCAGGACCAAGACGAGACCAAGAGGCCTGCTTCCTCGGCCTCCTTCGCCGACGACACGGGCGCTGTCATCGCTCCTCCAGAGATGTTCACGGACAGCTTCCGTTATGAGAAGGTACAAATGCTTGGCATACCCTTCCGTGGCTTGCTTCAAGGCTCTTGTAGTTGATGAGATTTGAGCCGGGGTGTATCTCGTAGACTTCACGGCATTGGGGGCGACATGTTTCAGCAGAGAAGTCGAAACAGGTGCATTACGGAACCACATGAGACCCAAACAATGGATCTAGATCTGCGATATTGCACACGTTGTCTTGTTGGCAGAAACTGCACTGGCTGAACGGGCGGGCTCGGTGAGATCCGGTAGGATTCGGCGAAACTCGGCCGAGACCCCCGTCTCCGGAGACCCACCTCCAACCCAGCATTCCCGCCCTTGTCACTTCCGCCTCAATTTCAACTTCACACCCTCTTCCTCTTCACCTCATCATGGACTCCCCGCTCCTTTCCCATCTCTCGAAAGTCCTGTCCCTCTCGCCGCCCCAGTCTTCCTATTCCGCTTCAACCCTCACAGGGCCCCTAACGTCTCACACTGGCACGGCGTACCTCTTCCTGTCCATCTCGTCCGCCTTCCCGCGTTTGCAGGTCCACTCATACCCAGCCATACACTGGGCCAGGGCATACATATCCAATATCCCAGCCCCGGACGGCCCAATATCCTCGCTGGAAGAGTGCCTGGGCCTCTCCTCCGATGTTCTCTCCGGCACCGCCGTTCGTGCCTGCATAACCCAAGACTTATCCCATGTCCGCACGTTCCTGAATCTCCTGACGCCGATTCTTGCCTCCATCAACTCCAGAGACACCGCGCCCCTTCCAAGCTGTCTTGTTCATGGCCTCGCGGGGACCCTATACCTCCTTCGCCTCATCCGGCACTGGGTCGCGTCATCGGCCCCGCTCGTATCCCGTGCGATCGTCCACATCTCGGAATACCTCCTGTCCGTCCCGTGGTCCTGTCCACGCTCAAGCTCTCATGGTGCAGCTGACGGGGAACTCGGCACGTTGACGCAGCTCGTGTTGACGTCACCGCCGTTGGCTCCTCGGCTAGCGGAGAAACTTACTGAGCTGTTGGAGCTGCAGGGTCCGGATGGAGATTGGCCATCGCCGGCAGCGCCTGCACAGCCGGGGTCTCGTTCGGAATGCCTAACGTTTGCGACCGGGGCGACGGGCTTGGTCGTTTCCCTCGCATCTCTTCGGCCGTTCTTTCCATCCCTCCAAGACCGTCTGGATGCTGTTGTGGCCGACGCTAGAGACTTCATAGCCCGGCATCAGCGTGAGCTGCTGGGCGAAACGAGCCTGTGGTACGGTACTCTCGGCACGTCACTGTAAGCTCACATTTCTTCGTAGTCATTGCCAAGTGGTGATTGCCGTTTTGATATCCATCTTTCCTCCTCGATTCTCCCGCCATTCCTTCCCCATCTCTGGTTCTTGCCCTCGCGGCGAGACTCCTCCAGCTGGGTTCCATGTACCAAGACAGCACTGAACAACGTGAGCAGGGCGTTCCCCAAAGGACTTCAAAGAACCAACTCGATGAATCTCCCGTCTCCCTCGCCCACGTCCGAGTCCACGTCTACCGGAGAAAGCTCCACGGAATCCTCGTCCCCGGGCGCCGTGGCAAAGGCCCATGATCCTGGCGCCGCGTGGGTGCTGGCTGTTTGCGAGAGGGAGATGCCGCGGATGCTGTTCTACAACGATGTGTGAACCTCGAAGGTTCTCCGTTTCGTCGTGGTCCCGATGACTCAGTGGGAACATCGTCGTCGCTTTCTGCGTTCCGGGATTTTCGTTGGTTCCCGACTTGCTCGATCTGCGGAATGCTAGACGCCATTCAAAACTACGGAGTGTGGTTTCTTGTAGTGCGGCGGTACGTCCTTGGTATTGTTGAGGCTGAGTTTGTGAGGCGGCCCGAGGAGTAAGTGAGGCTGCGGAGGTTTACTAACCCTTGGCCTTCGGCGACGTACTCATGCATATGTTGTGAGGACGCGTCAAATGTGGTCAGCCATGATCTCGATTTGAAGTCAACGCTGCGGATGCCCCGGTTCGTAGGAGGAGCCTCCTCAGCTTCTCTCAATACCCTTTCGACGCAACCCATCACAGTATCCACCTCGGACCATTGGAACATCAAACTTGTTTTCGTTTGTTTGTTCAAAGGGTCGCGATCGCTTTCCACCATCTTCTTCCGGACTTTTGGCCTTCCCGCGTCATTGACAACAACTCGAGATCCGCCCGCATCGTCCACACAAGATCTTTGGTCTCTTGAAGAATCTACCTTTCCAGGCAACAACGGAACCTCCACTCCTTCGACACCTCTCTACAGACGCGTTGACCTTCAGATTCACTTGCAAGTCGCTCCTGCCTTGAATACCATCAGGCATACTAATCCCACATGAATAGTCGCCATGTCCCATCCCAGTCGAAGTCTTCCTCATCGAGATGTACGCCACTGGCAAGACCCTTGGGCTCACTCCTCATTTCAATTTTCGAGACTCCTACGGCAGCAGCAGCTTCCCGGCTTCGACATGACCACAACTTCCTCGAGGATGTCATAAAAAGACCCAGCAACTTCCGAGTCTCGGACGACACCGGCGCCTCTGATGCTCAGATCAACATCGTGGGCCACACCGCCGTCGGCCTCGACCTTGGAAGCCAGATCGTCATCGGCATGGTCGAAGAGCAGCCCCAACGCGCGATTGCGATGGACCCCGCTCAATTGCCTTCTACTATAGCAGGAGATCCAGACGATCACACCGTCGCTGTCCCCGGACCTGCCCTCATCGCTTTCATGTTATCCGACCATGGCTTTTACGAGCAATCACTGTCTGTCTCTCACGCCCTGTATATTCGCCGATTCGTACCCCAGTCGAGAAGTCTTTCCACTCCACTACCTTCACAACGCGGACGGATCAGAACCCTGATCCTACTTCCATCCAGATCTCCCAATAAGATTCGGCCGCCTTGAGAAGTGTCACCCTGGACCTGGACTTTCAAAGCCGCATGCGCGGAACTGGGGCAGCCTGACCGGGAAGGCTCTGGAGAAGGCACACGCCGTGGTCACGAAGTTCGTCCGCTACGAAGTGCGGTTTTCAACCCAGGACTCCCGCGACATCGTGGGCGGTAGCGTACATCCCGCGGAGCTCCCGCAGCCACCTACCCGCTCACCCGTACGAGCGCTTCTGCTCCAGAGCCATGCCGACTCTTAACGGACGGTTTCCTCTTGAATGGAGTAGACACGAATACATTTTCGACGCGTAGTCGTTGCAAAAGTTCGGAGTCTTCTAGTCCAGCAACCTCCGCAACCCGGCCGGCCGATATTCGACATTTACCACGTTGGACATGATACAAGATTCGGCGGGCGAGAAAACGGCGGAGGAGGGGAAGGATACCGACCGCCACAGCAGGACAACGGCCTGCCGCAGAAAGTGGACTACCACGGACCTTGAAGCACCGTTCCGGACATCAGGCCACTCGGCTGAGAACGTCACTCATCACGATTCCCCAAGCGTTCCTCAAGACGCAAACCACCAATGTATTTATCTACTATCGTTCTGTATAGAATCCTACTAAATATGATTCATCTTTGGAACCCCACTTCTTTGAATAACTTGATCCTAGTAGATAGTTCTGTTTTCCGGAGAGATCATGGAAATCAAGATCAAGAAGACGCCTTTCTCTTTCAGACTGTTTGCCATGTACCTCACTTTTGCCTCCCGGGGTTTGTACTTGTTTGGTGATGTTGGATGATAAGGGCAATCCCCAATCTTCATCCCGTCCAAGGTAACAAACAGCAAAGCCAAAGCCCACCAAACCCCCCTTTCACACCAGACACACCACTCACCCACTCATGCCCAAAGGATGAAGACGACAATGAATAATTATTTATGCCAAAAACGCCACATAACAAAATCTGTATACAACATCAAAATGCGCCGTGGCCCGCAGGCCCCGCCAACAATGCAGACGAGCGCCAAGCCGCCCTCTCGCAACATCAGCCATCAACATGCAATCGACAGCTACCCGCCTTCCGCCCTCGGCCATCCAGGGCAACATCAAACAAGACACATGTGACATATCCTCCCTTCCTAAAACAAAACGCCAAGTGTCAAACACCACCAAGACTATCAAGACCAGACTTGCAAACTTTTCTCTTTAATTTCCCTAACGCGCTCTGGAGTCTCATACCCCCCGGAGCATCGTACATCTGGTCGTTTGTGTGGTGGCGTGTCTGTGGGTAGTCGTACAAGTACACGGTTTACATCGTGCCCTTTTCTTTTCTGTCTCTCCCGTTTCCCCATCTTCGTGGTCGTCATCGCGGTGTTTCTTTCGACACAGGGTAGTCCAGCCCGGCGACCGCTCGTATTACATGTCTTTTTCGGGTCGTGAATCCTCCGCCCCGTCTGCTTGCTTACATGACGGAGCACTCGCCTTCCTGTTGCTTGCCGATCTTGCTGCGGGAGATGCGCTCGCGCTGTCGCGGTCCGTTCTTGCCGGCGCGCTTGAGGTCTTCGAGGCGCTCGCGAGCCTTGGGGAAGTCTTGCGCTGTGGGGTTGGGTTAGCGATCGCTCGTCGGGGACGCATGGGGTGAACTTACCAGCCGCTCTCCAGTACCACCGCTTGGCGTCCTCCATGTTGGCCGGCACGCCGATGCCTACTTCAGTAAAGTAGCCCATCGCGTACTCGGCCTTTGCGAGGCCAGCCATGGCGGCCTTGCGAGCCCACAAGTACGCCTCCGTGTCGCTTTGCTGTAGTACGTTGTCGCTACCAGTGAGGTACCATCCACTAAGCGACAACTCGGACTGGTGCTCGCCTTGCTGCGCGGCGCGGGAGTACCACATGATGGACTGCCGCGGGTCTATCGGGCAGCCCATGAGGCCGTACTCGTAGGCGCATCCCAGGCGGTATTGAGAGAACTTGTAACCGAGATCCGCCGCCTGCCTGAACAGTGAGAAGGCGTACGGCTCGTCCTTGATGATGGCATCGTTGGGAGCTGCGGACTCGTACAGCAGACCCAGCTCGTGCAGGGCGTGCGGGTTCTCGGCGTCGGCGCGTTCGGCAGCTCGTTTCAACCAACCAACAGCCTCGCGCGGGTTCTTGGGCTGACCGAGAAGTCCCTTGAGCAGAATCATGCCCACCTTGTACATGGCAGGAGTGTCTCCCAGCATTGCAGCTCTCTTATACCACTGAATCGCCTTGAGAGGGTCCTTCCTCGTACCGCCGCCTTCTTCGTGACCAATCTCACAGCACACGGCCGTTCTGTACGCTGCCGCCGCGTGGCCGAGCTTGGCAGCCGACTGGTACAGGGTGAAGGCCTCCTTGTTGTCGGGCTCCATGCCAAAGAGACCGCGACCGAGGCAGTCGGCATAGAAGAACATGGAGTCGGAATTTTGCGCGTTCGAGAGCTTCTTCAGGATCTTGTTCGCGTCCATAAGATACTTCTCGCGGGCACGGACTCTCATCTTCGGATCGGCCAGATGAGGCGCTAGGGTGTCTGCGGCCTCTACCAACCTCTTGGCGAGTCTCAGAGCAGACTCCTGGTCGTTCGGGTTCGTCTTGACGATCTGGCGCAACCTCTCGAGCTCCTCCTGCGTTACCGGCGTCGAAGCTTCCGTGAACGACGGCGTGTTGGACTGCTGAGGAGCCATCTGCTGCGGCGGCGGTGCACCAGGGCCACCGGGAGGTGTGGGTCCCCCGAGTGGGCCTCCACCGTTGTAGTTGCGGACAGGCGCTGGCTTATCGTTCATGCTGACCATGGAGTTGGGCATGTGGCCAGGACGAACAGGAGTCGGGTGGGATGGCAGGGAATCGCCGCTGCGGCTAGGAGACGGGCCATGAGGCAGACCAGGACGTCCCATCTGCGGCGGGTTCGGCGGTTGCTGCGGTTGTTGCGGTTGGTCCCAGCCATTTGGTCCGTGGTAACCGTCCTGGTAGCCTGCGTCCACCGGCGGCATCGGCATCGGCGGGGCGTCGCCGGCCATCTCGAACACGGCCTGCTGTGACTGTCTGAGATCCGGCTGTGACTTTGTGCGGCTCATCTCCGGCATGCGCTTAGCACCCGGCTGAGTGTGCTCCGCAATGCCGGGCCTCATGTGTTGGTCAAAGGAGCCGCGCGGGCGATGCGATGGCTGTGCGTCAAAGTCAGGAACACCTGCCTGGCCTCTGTAGTCGGCATTGCTGTGAGCGCTCTGATTGCTCATCCGCGAAGGCTGGTAGTAGGCGTCATAGACGTCACCGAAGGAAGCCCTAGTGTCCCGGTAACCGTCCTGACCGCCATCATACCCATCGTATCCGTTCTGAGCTGGCGGCGGCGGGTTGGGAGGATACATGCGCTGTGGTGGCATTCTGTTGCCCTGCGCCGTCGACGGTCTGGGAGGAACTCCACCTCGGGGCTGTCCTCCCGGTCCACCGGGTCCTGCAGCTCCTCCGGGCCCGCCGTACGTGTCCTGCCTATGCGGCGGCCCGCGTCTTTGCATCGGCTCGTTGACCGGCATGGTCATGCTCCGGGATGGGGGCCCGAAGTTGTCCTGTGGCCCTGGCGGCCCGTAACCATCGTCCCGGCCTCCGTAGCCCGGATCTGGGCCGCGTCTCGGATCTGGGTATCCTCGTGGCGGGGGTGGCCCTCGGCCGTTCGGCTGTCTGGGAGGGGGGCCTTGCGCCCCGAGGTCAATGCCAGCCATCTTATTGAGAATCGCATTTTCCTCGTCGAGATCTGTCTTGCGACCTTGTCCGGGGAAGGAGGGAAAAGCGCCGCCGCCAAAACCCGCTGCGCCTGGGGGGCTGATGGGGCCGCCGTCTTGCGGTCGAGGTCGGTTTGCTAGCAAATGATCAGCACAAGAGGGCGTCAATTCTGTCGCACAACGTACCAGCGGGGTCTGAGTTCGCCGATCGCTCATAGGGACCAGGTCTACCCCCTCGTCCCATGGGGAACCCTCCTCGGCCAGGAGGGCCTCCGCGAGCAGGCGGGTAGCCTCCGCGAGCTCCGTCTGCAGTCGGAGGACGAGCTATCGGGCCTCCTCTTCCCATCTGTGGCGGTGGGCGTCCTCCTCTTCCCGGGCCATTGGGAGGAGGGCCGCCTCCGTAGTAGTCCTGCTGCGGGTAGCCCTGGTTCGGAGGCGGCGGGCCTCTGCCGTAGTTCTGGTCTTGGTATCCTCCGCCGTAGTCTGGGCCGTAGCCGCCGTCATCGTAGTAGTCATAGCCGTAGCCGTCCTGCTGGTAGTTGTCGTACTGCTGGGGAGGAGGAGCGCCCCGGGGCATAGGCGCAGGGCCGGGTCCAGGGCCGGGACGAGGCGCGGGCGGGCCACCGCCGTAGGGGCGCTGTCCCGGGTATCCTGCCATCGTCTGGTCTGCTTTCCCGCCGCTTCTCGAGTCGAAGCGGTGCGACGGTCGGGTCTCCGGTTTCGCCCACGAAAATTGGTGCGATCGGTGTATAATTCGTGAGTATTTCGGCGAAGTGGGTGGTCTGTATGGTGCGCGTGGGTTGTTGTTGTTGGGTTTTTGGTTGGCGAGGTCGAAAGTTGCCGGGTTCAGAAGAGCAGATGCGGCGCGGCTGGGGATCGCATAAGGGTGCTCTTGGAGAGGCGAGAAATTAGGTGTAGCTCCACAGCTTTCCGGAATTGGATCGGGCTACCACAGGCGCATCGCTGAGATTGAGTAGCAGTTGGAAGAAAGAAAAGAAGCGCAACTTCGAATGACGGCGGGGGCTCGTTCTTCTCTGCTGTCGGTGCTGGGATTCAGCACGTTTCGGCTCAATGTTGATCGACAGTTTCGGCGGGCCAGGCAATGCGGGAAGCGCGGTCTCTGGAGGACGAGTGTCGAACGATGTTTTTTTTCTTCCTTTTTGAAGCTCGTCCACAGCAATGAGCAACGGCCGGGCAGGATGTGCAGTCGAGTAAAAATAAAAAAGGAGAGAATAAGAAAGGATGATTTGAGCCGCGCGTTGGCAGTACCGGGAAGTAGAAGACCGGGTTGCTTCAGTTCAATAGAGCCGACGTTAAGGGGAGATCGCAGGTGTTTCCAGAACACGGCGTCTATTGGTGGCAGTGACGGTGGAGCGAGTCGACGTCGTCCAAGGACCAATACGGATACCGCAAGCTGAGAGAGACTGGGCGGAACTGAAGGGGTTGGAGGAGACGGAGACGGAGACGGTATGTCTTGGTTATGAGTTGTGAGGTGCTTGGTTATGTCGAGGGTGTTGTTCCAGTATGTTTACCGTACAAGGTAGGCAGGGCCCAAGGAGAGTGAAAAGGGGAGGTAAGAGATAGAAAGCGAAAAAGAGGTCGACCTCATGCACGCGTGGAAGCACCAAGCACTCAAGCACCACACACACACACACACAAGGAAGGAGTGACTGGAAGTGTGTTGTGTTGCTGTTATTGCTGCCGTCTGCAGGTTTGAATAAGGACAGGATAGGACAGGACAGGACTGGGGAGGTGGGCTGGACGTACCGCAGTTTAAGGGCGATAATGGGCAACTTGACGAGGGGTCGGCTTGGTTCCTGTGTCTCGTCTCCCAGGGCCCCCCGGGTGGTCGCTGATGCTGCGGCGGATTCGTTGGTTGGCTGGTAAGGTAGCCGGTACGTACTCTTTGGGGGTAGAGTGACCTACGCAGTACGTATCTTTCGAGTGCCCGTACCTTCCTTCCTTCAATGTCGCGTGTTAGAACGAACAGCCAGACTTGCTAGGCATTCTTCCACCTTACAACAATTCAAGATCAAAGATTCTCAAAATTACAACAACAAATCCTAAAATTGCAGAGGGTCAGAGTTCGCCCATTCTTTATTTTTGACCACAGTCGTCGCCCGCGCCCGCGTCTCTCAGACTCTGTCATCCGTGGTTCTCGCACCAAAACTCTCCGTCATCCGCCCGCTGCTACGCCGTCACCGGTACATTCTCATGCCTGCCTGCACTTCTACGGATACGATACCGCGATACTTCGTACCAGCACCAAGGATGCGAGCAAGTACCTCACTAAGGCAAGGTACGGGATGCAGCGCTCGCACTGCCGCAGGCTACGGATACACTAGCCCAGCCCAGAGGAGCACCAGAGGAGAACAGGAGGCCGCTGTGCTCTGTTATTCGCAGACTCTCTATCGTCAACCCAACTCTACTCAGGCACCAGAAGCCAATGGCCCGTTGAGGCGCATTAAACATATCCAACAAGCAACAGCCCCGTTCAATCTCACCAAGCCGAACCAGCAGCATCATCCTCCCTGTGTCGCCTCTGGGGCCTCCCGCCCTCCCGCCCCTCCGGCAGTCTGAACAGGTAGATTGCGCCTCGCAGCCTCTCATGATGTCGTCGACGACATGATGGCCTATCCCAGACTGCTGGCCGCTGTTGGCCGTTCCAGTTGGTGCCCGAGCTATGCTTCGCTCTGCTCTGCGACGGAAGTACTCGGCAGGCTCAGGGTACCTCACCTCACCCGAGGAATGTTTCCCGCTGCCCTCAGGTCTCTGGAAAGGTTCATCCGAGCGCTGTAACGAGGGTCTTCCCGGCCGGTCTTGACTTGGAACTGAGGTCATGGCTACGGATACATCGACTCCACGCATTCCATTCCACGTCCCACCGCCTGAAGAGTCAGTCCAAGTCGTTCGAACGACCTGAACTTGCTGCTTTCGGGTGCCGACCGCTGCTCCCTATGGCAGTTGTCTTCAGCAAGATGCCAGACACCCGTCCATTCCTGTCCCGTCTCGAGGCACGATCAAAGACAGGTTCTGAACAAGAAACTCCACAGAGTCTAAAGCTTCATCCGACAACTCACCATCACCTCACTCACACTTTGCTCAAACTCGTCCCTCAGCCACCACGAGCCATGCAAACCACTCGCGACTCTTGTCGAGCACCAAGCATCCCGCCTGCTTCCCAGTCGCGGTACCTGGCCCCAAGTCGCACAATGTGTGCCCTATTAAGACCAAGGATCAATCTCTAAAGGAACGGAAGCAATGCGCGCTCTGGGTTCCCGGGTACCTCTGACCCTAGGTACGGATACCGCAGAGCCCAGCGCTGCTGTATCAGAAACTCCCCAGTGGCGAACCTGATTGGGCTCTTCTTCAGCCCCCTTCCAGTCCCCTTTGCCGTTGGGCCCTCTGGGCTTCTGCCCTTGGTTTCTCCAGTATTATCACACAGTCAGCAGCAATCAGGGGGTTCGGCTGCTTCTCAGCTGCTCGTCCGCAAGTCATGTCAACGACAGAGTGCGAACAGAGCAGCAAGGGCGAGGAAACATTATCCTCTCTCTGAACCACAGTCAACACCCCTTCGGACCCTCATTTAATGCTTCGTCAGTGCCGATACCAGGGGCAATTAAGTTTCCAGAGAGCCTCTGTGCGCCGAAAGCCTGCCCTGTCCGCGACATTTCGTCTCATCTGTGCTCCTCAATGAACCCTCCGTCTTTTCCACTTCCCGTCGTCCTCCCGTCGACGCTCGTCGTGGACCGGTTTGCGGGATTCTCTACACAATGACAGCCGGTTCATGCAGTCAGCCCGAGGCAGCGCCGCTAGTCTCCTTCTGATCGCGGAGGGCCCTGTGACTTTGACATGTTGCCTCTCGGTGTGGATGAGCCATAATGGGCACGCATTTTAACTAGCAAAGACATTGTCCTCGTGGATGTGCTTAGGAGGCTTCGCGGCTACTCCATTCGTCGACGTCTCCTGGGGCCATTGGTCACGCCCAGCAGGGCCTCTGTCCTATCGTATCCTTTACGGCCCTTCCGCGTTCCCATCTCTTCGCCGCCGGCCGCCTCCGGAGTGGAAACCCGCCAGGCAAGACTCTGAGCCGTTCGGCCCGGCCAGCACACGGCCAAGGAAGTGGGTGTGGGTTCCTTTCCCATCCGCCGTCACGAGCCAGTCGCCTTGTGCCTTTTTTTTTGTGTCGTCGTCTCTCCCCGCAGCAGCAGTTGAGGCGACATGGCTGCAGGCACGACCGTTTTCCCTCGCGAGGGTTGTCGAGCTAAATAACCTTGGAGGGCTGAGCGGTCGCAAGCCGGCGTTTCCTTGTGGGGGCCCAAGTCTCTTTTCTCCAAACGGTCAAATGAGGGCGCGATCGAGCGACCAGACGCTTGGGAGATGCAACAACATCCCGCCGTCCAAGACGGCAATGACGGAAGAGAAACACTAGACGCAACCTTTCGTCCTTCGCCACGGCGGCTCCGAGATGCCCTCGAGAGGCTTAGCTCGACCGAACCTGAGCTGAACTTCTTGGAAGGAGTTCGCGGGCAGGCAAGTTCCCGCGCAGCTTGTGTTTCCGGGGAACTCTTGCCGCGTCTTCGTCGCAGACGTCGGTCGGTGCTCTCCATCTCATCTCGTCCCGTCATGAGAGGGAATCAACTTTGGACAAGGTCAAAGGGTATAGAAAAGTGTCCGTCAGAATCACGGAGAAACGGCATCACGTTTGGTGTCAACTGTCGTCGATGGAAGTGCGAGTCGGTCACTTCCCGCTGCGCTTATTCGTTGATGGCGACGGCTCTGCCTCGTCGCAGCCAACCAACAAAACAACTTGCTGCTCGCGATGTTTTATGTAACTGCTGCTACTGCTGCCGCTGTGTGGACGAGTATGCGTGGGCATTAAAGACCAACCACACAGCCCCCCTAACGGCATACTGCGTTTCCGCCCGCCCGCGCCACGAACCTGCAGTCCCATTGCATCAAACCATCGATGATCCCGCGGGAGGCAAAATGATGGCTGGCCGGGGATGCTGCGAACTGGTCTGTGTGTTAATGGAGGCGATGACGGTGGAATGGTGTGCCACACCAGCCGGACGGAGTCAGTCTCGTGCCCAACCTTCAATCAATCTCCTACGAGATCTGACATGGTGATTGGGGAGGCTGAGAGGCGAGAAGCAGAAGCTGCATCCTGCTCTATTCCCTCAGAGAGCGAGTAAGTGAGATTCCATTGCATGCTGGCTGGGAGCACAAGCCACATCCTCTGCCGTGACAGAATCACTTGCAGCTTTCCAATTACAGGGGTGGAAGGTCTGCTTAGATAACATCGCATGGCCAAAGCTTCACACCGCCTTCTTTTTACGGAGAAAAGGCAGATCTCCAATCAAGCGCGTCAGGTTCGTCATCGACTCCGGCAGCGTCCTTTTTCGTCGGGGAAGTCCAGTCCAACGAGCTCAGTACCGGCCTCTCGCTGTCCAATACCCCCATACCAATTAATATCAGCGACACGCGATCAAAATGTCCAAGAAGGCGACGAATTGGAAGCTGTGGGGGAAGATGATGCTCGGGTACGTCAAGTCATGGAGGGGCAAAAATGGTGTTCAAGAGGACCATACTAACAGATCAACAGAGGAGCGGCCATCTGCGTCGGAGGACCGGCATTCACGATCTGGGTGACACCAACCGAGGAAGAGCTGTTCAAGAGATATAACCCGGAGCTGCAGAAGAGGAGTCTGGAGAACCGCGAGAAGACGCAGGCCGAGTTCGATCACTTCGTAACCAAGCTGAAGGAGTACTCCAAGTCCGATAGGCCGAGTACGTCTGCATCTTCCCTCGCATCGAAGAAGAATGTTACTAACAGTGGTCAGTCTGGGCGGTGCGCGACGAAGACATCGAGAGACAGCGGATAGCGCAGCTTGCGGCCAAGAAGCAAAAGGACAACGACCTCAAGGCGCAGCAGGAAGCGATGAGGAAAGAGTCGGGACTGTAAGAAGAGGAAGGATACTACTGTGTAAGAGAGGATTGTATTATATGCATACGCCCATACACGTCGGGAAGGGTCTGTCGTAATGGCTGCAGAACATCAGAAGATACCATGAGACCTGTAAGGGCTGGCTTGCGGCGTTCAGGGGAAATGTCATCCGGATTGGTCAGTCGGGAAAATAGCGACAACTTGGTGGTGAATTTGGAACACAGTCTCTACTTGATAGATGCACGAGGAGCCACAGCGCAGACGATGTCATGCACTTCACAATCATCACGAGAATGCCCCTCCATCTCACCTCACCGAGTCCGGTGGATCCCGGTGAGGCTTCGGTGAGGTCACCAGCCACCTCGGCACATACTATTTCCGCAAGCGAAGAATCTTGGCACGCACAAAACATCCATCTTGACATCGACCATCACCATAGCTCAAGCGGCTGAGCCTGACGACAGAATACGGTATATACGAACGAAGAGACCGGGTAAGTGAAAAAATGAACGAGCTCGTCGGCGTGACTGTGACGCCTTTTTTTCCCTGGTCGGAATGGCGCCAGCACGCCCGGGTTTTTCCCGCCTGGCGCAAACGAGGACCTTTTTTTTTGCTAATTGCCCTGAGGTACCCGCGCACAGCACAGCTTCCCTAAACACCCGCCCGATTTCACCTACCTTCATCCCACCCCACTCCCGCCCAAACCACCACCACCCTTCCCTCCGAAAAACCGTCGATATCTGTCGCAACCATGTCGGACGTCCAGGAACGCCTCAAGAAGCTCGGTGCCTCCGCGCGTATCGGTACGTTATGCCCGCGGGATTGAATTCTGCTGTTTTGACTCGGTGAACAAGGCTGACAAGGTGTGCGCAGGGTATGTTGTGACCAATCCACGAAAATGACCCCTCACCTCCCCTACCTCCGATCGAAGGACGAAAGAAAAAAAAAAGATATCAAACCACACCAGATCCAGCACACATCCGACACGATTGCTTTGCTCCCGAGTTCATGATGGCTAACGAGTCGATCCCGACAACAGCGGCAAGGGAACCCCCCGCAGAAAGGTCAAGCGCGCGCCCGCCCGCTCTGCCGCCGACGACAAGAAGCTCCAGGCCGCCCTGAAGAAGCTCAACGTCCAGCCCATCCAGGCCATTGAGGAGGTCAACATGTTCAAGTCCGACGGCAACGTCCTCCACTTCGCTGCCCCCAAGGGTATGTCACTCTCCCGTCCTGGGGCTGCCGCTGTCGCTGCGCATGCACCATCTATGAGAATACACCTTGCTGACACACCACCCGCAGTCCACGCCGCCGTCCCCGCCAACACCTTCGCCATCTACGGCCAGGGTGAGGACAAGGAGCTGACTGAGCTCGTCCCGGGCATCCTTAACCAGCTCGGCCCCGACTCGCTCGCCTCCCTGCGCAAGCTCGCCGAGAGCTACCAGAACATGCAGAAGGAGGGCAAGGACGGTGAGGAGGACGACATCCCCGACCTCGTCGAGGGTGAGAACTTCGAGAGCAAGGTCGAGTAAAAGAAGAACCGACCTCCGCCCGAAGCAAAAAAGAAAAGGAATGAAGAAAAACGTTAAACTGAAATAAAACGTTTTGCCTGGCCTGTTCTCGTCTCTCTCACGCACGCACGCACGCACGCAAGCATTACACCACACGAAACTCAACGCTGGTCATTTTGTCATCTTTGGGGAGTTTGTTCGTCGGAATTACCGGGTTCCCCGTGGAAATACTACTTCTTTTTTTCAGCGTGTGGATTTACCAAAGGAAAAAGGGAATTCAAAACGAAGAACAGTTCCGCGCGACGACCTGATGACGAAGGCACCGGTGATGATGGTCTTTGCCCACTGTCCCACTTTTGCCTTTTGGGTAAGATGGATTCTCATGAGGATTGGCAGGCTTCCCGTGTGAAAGCTCTGGGGAATATACCATGATTCCTGCCCACGTGCGATACCAACTCTGCGTAGTGAGACGAAGCCTGGACAAGCCGCTGCTGTGATGTGATATGATCTTTGGGTGATGGTGTTTGCCTGCATTTGATCTTGTGAGAGTTGCTCAATTTATCTTCCGCTATGTGAGCCTGAAGTCGTCATCGCCAACATTGGCAACCCACCCAGCTAATGCTTCTGTTCTCGCATCTCTCTTGACCTCACGTCGAGCCGAGAGAGCCTCGCTCCCTTTGACCTCGGCATACGTCGAAACCTCCAGACTCTCCCGCAAACCCACCCCGTCCTCGAGATCACCAACAATACCCTTGACAGACTCCCACATCCTTCGCCGAGAAACCGCACTGGCGCCCCTAGCATCAAACGCCTTCCTGCCCTGCAAAACACCTCCCATAGTCCCCTCGTCCACCCCGCCGGCAGTCCAAACCGCAGCCATATTACTAGCCGCGATCTTCTCCGCCCTCCCCTTCACGCTCCTCCTGGAGAACTCAAACTCCCGATCCGTAGTCCGCACCTCAAACTGACAAAACCTGTATCCCCCCCTCCACTCCCGCCCATCAAGCGCCCTCATCCGCCCCCGCCCCCGCGAGGAAAACGCCCTCTCGCATCCCGCGGCAGAATACTGCGACTCCGGGAGCACGAGTGACGAAATGTACGCGTTGCCGGGGTACACCAGCAAAGACGTCAGCGAGGACAGCAGCGAGGTACACTGCTTCAGCGCGATCTTGTCCGAGCACGATTTGGACATGGTAGGCGGGGCGTCGCCGCGCGCCGGCTTCCGCCGGACGACGCCGAGCTGGGAGAAGTACGCCCGTCCGGGGAGCGTCTCGGCACCGCCGGCGTCGGGGGTCGACGACGCGGAGGGGATCTCCCAGGGCGACGCGTCCTCCTGCGCCGCCATCGTGAGCTCCATGCTCGCGTCGCCGCAGGGCGCTTCGGAGCAGTACATGTGCAGCCTCACGTCGTCTCTGAGCGTGAAGGGCTGCGGGGCGTCGGGGGATACCTCGCGCGGCGCCCTGCGTCGGAGGAGTGAAGAGTCGGGGTGGTTCTCTGGCGCGTTCAGGAGGCGGCGGCACTCGTCCAGGAGGTGCCTGTTGAAGGCGCGGATGGCGAGGACTTCGGCGTGCCAGTCGTGGAGGGCGTTGCCTTTTGCCTGGGGGAGTTTGGAGGCGGGTAGGCACTTCATGCCTGTCCTGGTGGGCGTTAGCATGCTTCTTCTCACTTTTTGATAAGAGATGGAAAGAATGCTTGATTGGAATATTTGCTACGGATCACAGCTATTCATGACATGATTTCCGGTTGTCCAACAATCCGATGCGTCTTCCAACGTCCCCCAACTTACGCAAGAGAGAGACATGTCAAGACGCCATCTTGTTCAGCGACGATGCCGCTTAGGGGAACCCATTCGTGCAGGCCGTTGTCTCTGACTGCGGGCTTCCTCTTGGCCGGTAGTTCTCGGAACTGGCGCAGGACCAGATCGGCCACGGCGTTGGGGTCTGTTGACATGCGATGTAGTAGGGGCCGTGAGATCTTCAGCCAGCAGCTCATCCCGAGGTCAACGAGATGTCGTTGGAGTCGGCCATTCAGACCTGCTGTTTTGAAGTGAGTGGACCCAGTAAGGTAATCCGACCTGACCTGGAACCTGGAACACTGCTGCTGACCTGAGGTGCTCCATCCACCCGACCTCAGCGGGGAGGCAAAAAAAAAGTCATCGCCACAGGGCAAACCGTCACCAGCCACACTCCCACACAACCTGAACCGGGCCACGTGATTGGACTCGCTAAGCGACGGCGGCCAAAGCGGGGCCAGGGCTCAAACTCCCCCTTCCCGACCCACGACACCCGACCGAGCCTGCCAGTTGTGTGCGCAGTCGAAAATTGTCAATCCTCGAGAGAAAGGCGCCTGCCCTGTCCGACCGATCAACCCCCCCTTCGACAACCCATCACCGACAAGTCAGCAGACGTTCGCATTCAATACCGCCAATGTACGTTTAGCTCTCCAGCACGCTCTGCGTGATGCCCACGTCCGTATTTTCCTGAAGGAGAATCGAATTTTCTCCCGCGATCGCGCCGCCTACCGAAGCCTTGATTCGACGGATTTTTCTCTTGGGGGGACTTGGAGGATGGTGTGAGGATTTGGACGACGACGACGACGAATCTTGGCTTCGGACGCGGTCGCATCGTGGGAGGAATCGGCTTTCTCCTCGGGACTGGGCTGTGAAGGGCGTGTTTCTGGTTCTTTGGTTTACTGACGGATGATTCAAGATGCGCACGTACGACGACACGTTCTCGGGCCAGAGAATCTACCCTGGAAAGGTACGATGAACCACCACTCCCCCGCCTCAGACGTCACCATGTCTTCCCGTCGATCGAAGGGCTATTTGGAGGAACAAGAAGAGCTCGCCTAGACGGAGCAAAGATTTGGAAAGCAAGAGCTGGAACACGCACGCGATCGATGGGAGGCTGGGAGGGCATGGGAAAAGATGCACGAAACACACACAAAGGGAAACAGACGCGCTGACCGAGACTCTGAACTGCAGGGTAAGCTCTACGTCCGTGGTGACAGCAAGATCTTCCGCTTCCAGAACGGAAAGTCCGAGTCCCTCTTCCTCCAGCGCAAGAACCCCCGCCGCATCTCCTGGACCGTCCTGTACCGCCGCCAACACCGCAAGGGTATCTCTGAGGTATGTCTTCTGCCAAAACGTCGTCCGCGGATCTCGAGAGCTTGATGACTGACCCCCCGAACAGGAGGTCGCCAAGAAGCGCACCCGCCGCACCGTCAAGGCCCAGCGTGCCATCGTCGGTGCCTCCCTCGATGTGATCAAGGAGAAGCGCTCCATGCGCCCCGAGGCCCGCTCCGCCGCCCGCGCCGCCGCCATCAAGGAGTCCAAGGACAAGAAGGCCGCCTCCGCCGCCGCCAAGAAGGCCGAGAAGGCCAAGACCGCCGGCGCCGCCAAGGGCCAGACCGGCCGCATCGTCGGCAAGCAGGGCGCCAAGGGCTCCGCTCCCAAGGTCCAGGCCAAGTCCCGCTAAACGTTGACATCGTTTATGAGGGGATGAAGGGTTTTTTGATCTTTTCGAGGGGCGCCATCTACGTGACGACCGAAGCAAAATAAAAAGCGAAAGTTTTCGGTGGTGGTGGTAGAAACGCGCCGGGACTCCTTCCCGGCTGCGGGTGGTGGGGATGAAATGGAACCTTTTTTGTGCAAAGAGGGACAATACGCGACCAGGTCACACAAATTCGGAGTCGAGGGTTCTTTGTGCTTTGAACGGCTGGTTCTATAACTACACAATTCACGGTAGCACGGAATGCATGGATTGTCCCACGGGATTACCAAGTTAAATAACTGTGTGTGTATGTCGTGATGGTGATGCTTGGGGATGTCTGGTGTGTCTAGCGGAACTTGATGAGGGGTGTGGTATGGGGCTGTTTGGTCCTCATGTCAGCTTCCAAACATTGACATATTGACTCCTTGGTTTCCGGTGTATGGTGACAAGAGACCTTGGTTTGAGTTGGCACTTCCGAGAGCAAGGAAGATCAACTGTGTCCATCGTGCTCTACAATCTAGGGATACGAGTCGTCATAGACAAACGGATGAAGATCTCCCAATTACTTCGTCCAAGACGTAGAATGACCTAACAAACCACGTGCCGATAGCAAACAAGGTGTTTTCACCTCGCCCGCGCCCGGGTCAGCAAGACGAGAACCACCCCGCCGGCCGACTGAGTACTTGCTCAAGACGACGAAGTCTAGGCATGCAAAGAGAGACTCTCATGCGAAGAGCTCTTCGACCAGTGTTATCGCTTTCGTGTATTTTCTGATCCTCCTAATATCAAGCATCGCTAGTTGATCACGAATTTCATCGCCCACCGCCCACTGCTTCCATTTCGCCTTGTGGTCGAGGCTGGAATATCTACACGATACCCCGCCGGCCAAAACACAAGAGACTCCCTCCATCGTAGTCGTGAAGCACCCCGCACTTCTCCAATTCTTCACATTGGATACCGGTACGAAGATCCGGAATAATTTCAGAAGCAGAGCCGTATCCCAGTCGGAGCGAGTGTTCTCGGTTTCGATTGACACGGTGGAAATTGAGTCGTGGACTTGCTCAATCTCCAGTGTAGCAGTCGACATGCGCTTACATGTTAGTATGCTACTGGCCAGAACTTAAGACGAACCACCACCAACGATCCCAAGAACCTGGATGGACAACCAGTCACCCGTCCGGACCGCGCCGGGACACACGAATCGGAGCAACCCCCCCGACCGAAACCATCGGAACTCCGAGCTTCTCTCAGAACCTACCCCGCGCCCTCACGCCTGACAGACAACACACATCACATTCGCCAGAACGGGGAAGCAGCAGCAACACACAAGTGAGATGATTCATCATGGGAATCTCATTGCTCTAAATTCTATGGTTTGTCGGAGAGGAGTATCGAATCCGTCTATAGACCTTTTTTTTCTCTAAACGCAAGTCTCGCTCATCCATTTTTTTTCTTCTTGATTGTTCGTGTTCATCTCTTCATTAGGTAAAAAACGGCGTTCTTTGGTAAAAACACCCTTTACAGAGCCTTGAGGACGGGCTCGACGGCAGAGACCTCCTGGCCCTGCAGATCGGGCTCCTTCTCGGCGTAGATGACCTTGCCGTGGTCGACGACGATGGCGTAGCGGGCGGTGCGCTCGCCGTGGTTCCAGCCGATGGAGGTGGAGAACTCGGCGTTGTTGTCGGTGCAGAAGATCTGGGAGGAGGCATGGAGGTTAGCTTCCGTTGCGTTGCGTGGTAGAGGACACGTTTGGATTGCGTGACGGGACGAGGGAGCTCCCCCGTGGTATCATGTTGAGGAGGGAGCCTCCAGTGTTGCGTTGTCGCGAAGGAGGGGTCAAAGAGTGGGTTGAGGGTGGGGGCCGCGATTTTTAAAACCGGAGTCGGTGAGGAAGTCCCACGGGAAGGAGGGGGAGGGGTAAAACGCGACGGGACAGCGAAGCAACTCGGGGGGGAAAAACTCACGATGAAGTCGTCGGTGACGTTGTTGGCCTTGCCCCAGCCGGACATGACGTAGGGGTCGTTGTAGGCGAGGAAGATGACCTGGTCAACGCCCTTGGCCTTGAGCTCGTCGCGCTTGGCGATGTAGCCGGGGAGGTGGGCGGCGGAGCAGGTGGGAGTGAAGGCGCCGGGGAGGGCGACGATGACGACCTTCTTGTCCTTGAACTCTGCGCGGGGTGAGGGTTAGCACATCGTGAGATGGAGTGAGGGGGCGGAAGACGATTTGGACTTACCCTTGGCGGTGTCGTACTTGATGGGGATACCGCAGACCTTGAAGTCGGCGGTGTCGGCCTGGTAGGGGATGTACTGGAAGTTGACACCCTCGGGGAACTGCTCGCCGACCTGGATAGGAGCCATTGTGATGTTTGGTTTGGTGGTGGTTTGGGAAGAAGTGGTGAGGTTTGGGTATGTGTAAGTTGGTTGAGGAAAGAAAGAAGGAAGAGGAGATCAGGGTCCAAAGAGAAGAGAAGAAGGTGCCTCAATTAGTACTCTACGGGGTCCATACACTATGGTGTGAGTGAGGTGGTCTCTAAGCAACGGGCAAGAGCTACCTGGGGCTGGATCCCGATCATCGAGTCAGTGGATGGAGGGTGGTCCCGCGGCCGAATTCTGCGAGATTCCACGTCCATTTCCACGTCCAGGGAACACCACTTGGTGACTTTCGGGAGTGGAGCTGCTCGCGATGATTTGTGTTTCTGGAGATAGGTAGCCGCGGCCTGCAGTTTCTGTGACAAAAAAAGAAGTGGGCGGTGGCATTCGATGCGGAATCCCTCCACGACCAACCTTTCCGAGTCGTTGATGTTATTTCCAGTAAAAAACTTCCGGGGCCGATAAGACACCACCTCAGCGACAAGACGTCGCGTTATCTCAGAGGTACATAGTATTCGCAGTGAGCACCTCTTTGGCCCACAGACCTGGACATGACGCAAGACCGGCCGTTTATGCCGCGTCCGTCTGCCTGCTCTCCGATCCCCGGCCTCGACGTTGGCGCCCCCCCGGTACGTGAGCTGAGCTGTCTTCTCGGCCGTCCGAGCCTCGTGTCTTTCGGGCCACGCACCAGGACGGGGACCCTCTTCGGATTTAATCCTTGCCAAGCCTGGTTGATTTGTGTAATGGTGTACGGTTTGTCATCGTGGCAAGGATCGGGCCACGCCCAGCTGCCTGGTCGGAATCGACATGTGCAGAAGCTACAACGGCTGCCATCGGGGAAAATGGAAAAATGTCGTCTGTCCCGGCCGGGACGCCATCACCGGTGACCTGGCGCAGACGGGCCCGGGCTTGTACCTGATTCACGGCACGCCACACATGTCGCCTTTAGCTCTCTGCGCCGAAGTCGGACGCCAAATCCAGCAACGCCGTTGCGACATCCAGACGGCGACGATGATGGCATTCTCCAAGCTTCAGCCCTGTGACTCTCAAAAAAAATTCGGGACATATTCGCCTCCCGTCGTACACCGAAACCCCAAAGCCCGCGGCGTCTGCCAGAATCCTCAAGGGCGCCGGCTTGACAGCTGACAGACACCGAGATCCCTGTCGGATCGCGCCGTGATTGGTCGCTCCGTCCGTTTGGTTCCTGCATCTCCGGAAAATCATCCGTAGCCGTTGCGTCATGTCGTTTCTATATTAGTCCCTCATCTCAGTCCAGACTTTTGTGACCGTGGAGGAATAACCTTGTAACTATCTCTGAATCCAAACTAAGTGAAGAACATAAAATCGATATCATGGCCTCGCAGGACGAATCGAGACCGCCTTTCCCGCCCTTCACCGAGGAAACGGCGAGGAAGAAGGTCAAGGCCGCCCAAGATGCCTGGAACACAAAGTCCGCGCTTACTCAAACTCGCCCGTCCGTGAAGCGACGAAACGCCGACTAACACCACGCGTCAGGAACCCCTCCAAGGTCAAGATGGCGTACACGCCCGACACGATCTGGCGTAATCGCGACACCTTCCTCCAGGGCCGCGACGAGGTCGAGCAGTGGCTGACCCAGAAGTGGGCGAAGGAGAACGGCTACCGCCTCAGGAAGGAACTCTTCGCCTTCACCGACAACAAGGTAAGATGCTATTCCATACAAATTCTGCCTCACCAAAAATGGAAGACTGATTGAGTCGCCAAGATCGCCGTCCAGTTCTGGTACGAGTGGCACGACGAGTCGGGACAGTGGTGGCGGACGTACGGGCTGGAGGACTGGACTTTTGCGGAGAACGGCTTGATGCGGAAGAGGCAGATGAGTGGCAACGATGTCAAGATTGCGGACGGGCAGAGGTGGTTCGCGGATGGGGTTGACGTGAACGCCGTCGAGATTTCTGAGAAGCACTGGTGAACCCTGTCAAAAGACCCCTGAGCTAAGACATTTTGTTTGTGAGCGATTTCCGATCCTTCCCGTTGTTTAGAGTGTCGATGAACTTTTGTTTCGAAACTATTCGGTGTGGGCTGTTCGTTGGTTCCGTCGGGGCGTTGACTATTTGGGCGATGTGAATGAGATCTGGGGTAATGTGCCAGAGAACTCCGTTTGCTCGTCACCCCGCGCACATGACATCAGACGCATTCCTCAAAGCCGCGAGACACGATAAGCGAGTAAAACAACCGCGTTCCTCAGGAGATCCGCTGGTGACCGCCGATCACCAACAATGCTCACAAGTAAAGAACGCGTAGAAGCATCTCGGCCCTGGCTGGGTCAACGACGGCCCGGCGATAGAAATCCCACACTGACGACGACAGGGCTCTCGAACGGGGCCGCGACGGTGGAAAACAGACGGCGGCAGCAACGGCGCGTGTTGGCGCAGGAATGAGCCGGACGAGAGACGGTCCCTGGCGCTAGGTATCAAGATCGTGACAGGAGCTTGACGCCACTGGTCGAGGACACGGGCTGGGGTCAGAGATGAGAGAGGTCAGTCAGCAACAGCCATCACGCACGGTCGGAGGCAACTATTCGATGCTGGTTATCGGGGTACCTTTGAAGACTACCCAGGCCAACTAGGGACGTATCGGTGTTGACCGTCCGGTATACAGGCAGAGGAGGCCACTCAATGGAGGAAATCGAAAGAGTTGAAGCCGACTCGCGGATTCTCGATAAACAATCAGATCCCGGCGCTCGTGATCGACTTGAATTCAGAAATCTCGTGCTCGTCAATAGCCTCTATCATATTGAGATGGACCTGTGGGTTGTTCATACTCGGAATACTGTCTCGAGGTGTGCTGTTCGAGGTGCGGTTATATTCGGGGGACATCATACTGGCACCATTGGACTCCTCCCCACGTTGGTTGTCAATAGTCTCGTCAACTCATGGTGGCTTCAGAAATCACAAGTTGCCACATACTTGAACTGCGTTTTAGCAGTTCGGGCAGAGGTCTCGGACCGTCGAGAACATGGCAAAGACGCTCACGACGACATACTCCCGGAGAGGAACGGCCCAATCTTCTTAGTTAGCGGTGTCCAGCAACATCGATAAGACCTTTGGGGCCTACGAAGTGCAGTGTTTTCGCCGGGAAACCCTGTTGTTCTTTCTGTGTTGCATCCTGTGACGGATGTTGATCTTATCCTTCATATCGGATAATAAGCAGCCCGCGTCTAACTACAGATAAAACGCTGACTGTTATGCCTGAAAAACTCAGGCCTGGTTTCTGATTGTGTATCGTTTGCAAGAGGTAACATCAACCGCCTGTCTAAGAGCCTGATGTCTAAGAGCCTGAGAGCATATCGCTACTGAGCATGCATGCCAAGCAATGGCGATATCTTTTCAGAGAAGTGGACTTGGGCGCGTGAATCGAATCAATGCTGTGGCACTAGGAAGAGAAACCTTTATGTGCGCAAGAGATGATGAGGGTTCTGGATCTGGAATGAGGGTAACTGTGAGTGGCCGGAATGCGCAAGGAACAGCAGAGAAAACGTCGTTATCGTGGTTGTTGTCGTATCATAACAATGTGGGTCGATAACGACGCGCCCGCCTGGTGACGTCCTCTAATGCGGCGGGAGAACTTGCCACCATGTACAGCGGTCGTCGACAACATGTCCTCAACCTTTTCGTCAGCATCAGTTCTCTCTTCGACGGATTCACGGCAACAGCCATCTCTGAGTGGAGAGGCGCCTAACAGCATCCACGATATCTCATCTGCACTGGGGCGGCCGAGCCAGGGGAAGAGAGCGGCCCCTGCGTACGAGTAGGGCCAACGGTCCCAGAGACCAGCTTGGTGTTGGCTTGGCTTCGTTGACCCAAGTTTCAGTCTCTTGAGACTGACCCCGATTCTGGCGTGGCCAAGAGTCGGCGAGTGCTCAGGTCTGAGCTCAAAGGCCCGTTCAAAGTACGCGTCCAGCGCGATCTCACGCGATCTCAATCTGAAAGGTCTGCCATCTGCAGAGATAGGCGAGCCAATACGAACTGCAGCGAGAAAGCACCCCGATGATCTACGTCTTCCTCGGACCGGGAACAATATCGCAATCGGGAACGTGACGTGTAGCTCGGTACAGGGGTGTTGGCCACCTGTCCCGATGTAGAGGGTCGGTTCGAGATGGAAGCAATGATTTGCACCGGGATCATCTCAGCTCCCGGAGCAGCATTTCTGAACGGGATCTCGGGCACCGGCAAGGGCTACTGAGCAAGACGTTGCGTCAAGAGGAGACCATCGTTTCTTCCCCGGGAAACTGGTTAGAAAAGAGCGACCATTGGAGTCCGGCTCAATCGGACAAGCCGCTAATCGCGTTGCACGGACAGGACGTGATCGAGGAGACAATCGGGTCGGTTGTCGCACCCGTAAGACAGAGGCTGAGCTCGGCGAGGTTAGTCGGCGAGGCTAGCGATAAAGCAAAGATTGAGGCGTCGGTGCCGGTTTCCTTTCATGATGGGCCTTGTCGACTAGCCTAGATTTGACTGGTGTTCGGAGCAGACGAGGTGAGATGGCCGGCGTATCGCGAGCATGATTGGCTGCCCCCCTCGAGGCAGGGGGTTCATGGAGCGATCGCGCGAAGACATGATCAAAGTGCCCTTGGCCAGGGAGGAACAGAGTCAACGATTCAATGCTAGTGATGTTTCGTTTGCGCTGTCGTCGTTTGGGGCGGCTGCGGTTGAGTGGTGTACGAGATATTGTCACGGTTGTGATGGCAGTGTTTCTGGCGAACAGACGAGAACGAGGTAAAAGACGAACGCTTGACAACGGCGATGGTGAGACGGCGAGGGTCGAGAGGTGATGTGACGACGCTAGAGACGGATTCTGACCATACCGATATCGAAGACCCTTGAATTTGATCTTAGGGAAAAAATGATGTTGAGTCTTGACTCAGTTTGAAGTGTCATTCAGGAACAGAAAGGTGATGAAGGCAAAGGAAAGGCCGCAGCGTGAGGTGCACCTTCCTCTTGACGATGGAATGGGACCAGCCGTGGGAAAAGTGGATCGTGACCCACTAGATGACCCACTAAGAGAAAAGGTACGTACCTCCAAATGCAAATGACAGCAGATGGCCCGTGCTCGCTTCTCGGTGAGGAAGGCACAGACCAATGCTGACCGGGGACTCCTTTCCCTCTTCACGTTGTTTTCCCCCTCCATCTTTCATTTCCAACAACCACGACCAACGCCTCGTCGACTGGCCTTTCCCGTCTTCACACTCCCCACATCGTCTGCTGTCTGTTCTCAGCTGTCTAGCCAGCCTCGCCTGGTCTAGTGGTGGAAGAGGCGCCAACCCTCCGCGAGCTGCTCCCTGGTCCAGGGTTAGATTGGACGTGATGCGCCCTGTCAAATCCGTGCACTCCTCGTTTCTTCTGTGGCAGAATATCGATTTCGTTCGACCTGGAGGATCATCCATGATTTTCCGCTTTCTTTTGTTCGAGAAAAACCTCATGGTAGAACGTCTTACATCGCCCACATGACACTGAATGAATGGGCGGACCAGCATTCCAGATCGAAGAAGGTACCACACTACCTGCGTGTCTGGACTTTCGAGCAACAAAGACATCCCCGACAGTCTCAGGCCCGGACCCTGACTCCGTGGGCTCGCCCTCCAATCTTTGCCCACAGCAGATCGATCCCGCGGCGATGTAGTCTTTGAACGGGGGGCGGCGCCCGGCTCGTCATAGTGCAGAAGGTTACCGGTAGCTCCCTCTCGCTCGGAACCAGTCCTTTGGGAACAGGAGGAAAACGGAAAACGGACGACTCGCATCTTCTGGACGCGGAATCTCAGCTTGCCATTGATACTCAATTGTGGCCCATCTCCGCCATCCCTCGTTTCCAGGCTCTGCGACCTGTCAAGCATCCCGAGAGCCAGGTAGCAAGTTCTTCAGACATCTGGCCAGGCTTTTGCATTCTCACCATACCCGGGAATACGGAGTGTCTGCTTAGGTATATCCTTGGCTAAGAGGCAGTTGCGTATGCGCAAGAAATCCTGCTGCCCGAGAAAAAGCAAGCCCAGCTGGGATTGTCTCAGCCGTAGAGACGTGCTTTACTCCTTCGAGAAAGCTCCAGATGCTAGTGCCAGACGACTCTCACCAATCACCAAGTGCTGCGGGTGATCAGCCTCGATTTTGCCGCTTTTGGCTTTTCGTCACTTCTTCGTTGGACGCAGCCCTGGCATTGGAGGAACCGGTGTTGACGAGGCGTCGCTCTTCTATCGCACTTGCTTTTCCTCGATCGCGCTTGCGGATGGCTTCTGCTCGCTGGTAACCGTCAGCAAGGCAACTTCACGCTCCAGCCGAAACTTGATGCTTTATTACAAGTCAAGAGAGCAACGTTCTCGTGTGTGTTGACACCGGCGAAATCCAGAGTGCAAATAGCTAGCGTCCTTTCTGCTTCTCTCCGCGGTATCGTCCTGCTTGCCCACACCCACCTTGGTCGAAGCCATGTCTCTCTTCCCATCTATCTCTGATACATTGCCTCCACTTCAGCATGGTAGCATAGCGGCGCTAGTACTCGTGCGTCCATTCCCATGGCTGCCAAGCGCATCTTGATATCAACATCACTTTGTCAAGACCGAGAAGAAAGCACACCCCGACCAACCATGTTGTTCTCCCCCAGTCTCGTTCCGTCAAAGACAACAAACGTGTGGACGCCTCCTCCGTCTGGTCCCACTGAACCCTCGGTGCAGACCAATCTTCACTTTTTGGATTGGCCCAGCTTCAGCCCTTTCCGTCAACGGAACCAGGCGAAAGATGGACAACCCGGTCTAGCCAGTGATGGGTGTGTGGGGTCTAGCCATCCTCTCCATCACATCAGCTCCGGGCTCTGCGATATCTGAGGTCAAGTCAGGAAGCCTGCTAGCCTCCTTTTTTCACAGATATATGCCCCTTCCTCTCCTTCCTTCCAGTCTGATCCCAAACTGGTTCTCAACTACCTCAGATCCATCCGGCTTCAACGAGGCAAGCGCCAGTCTTGATCTCGCACCTTTCAGTTCGTTGCGACCTTCATCTCAAGCCAGTATCACCTGCCTTAGAACACCTTTCGTTCCTGTCTGGCCATCGCCAATCAGCACTGTACCAATCTGTGAAGCCTGCTGACGTCTACGACCGGCACTTCCTTTCAACTGTTTCTTCTCCATATCCTTCTGCACGCGACCTAGAACCTAAGTATCCCTCGCCGACACCAATCTTTCTGTCTGCCAATACCGACACCCTTCATTTGATATCTATTGTCTCTGTCATCATGGGCCTTCTCCCCCTCAGCTACCGCCGTCCGGTTTACGTCAACAGTGTTTCCGTCAACGGGAGCTCTTCTGATGTCTCGGACAGCGGTGATGAAAAGGGTAGCACCACTTCTTCCTCCCTCAAGTCCGGCAAGTCTACCACTCCGGCTGGTATTCCCGAATCCCTAGCCTTTGACAAGATCATCAACGGCGGCACGTGTCCTGTAAGTACCTAAACTCAGCGTCTGCGGTTTCTTTGCTAACTTCCCGTCAGCCTTGCACTGTCCGCGACTTCATGAACTACCTCATCTACATTGAACTCGCGGCCGAGAACCTGCAGTTCTTCCTCTGGCACCGAGACTACACCAACCGCTTTCAGGAGGCCAAGACCACCGACCTCGCACTCGCCCCGGAATGGACTTCGACTCAGGAAAACGAAATTCTTCAACAATTGTTCAAGGAGAAGTCGGAGCGTATGCGCAAGAAGCCAGGCCAGGAAATCTTCAAGGGTACCGACTTTGAAAAGAAGGGCCCCGTGGCCGCCGTTATTGACGATGGCAACCCTTTCTCGACCCCGCCCCGTACCCCGAACGACCAGGAGTCTGTCTACACGGGCTCCAACGGCGTGTCGAACGCCGACTCCTACCGGTCACAGGCCAGCGAGGCTTTCGCAGCCGTGGGTGCCAAGCAGCCGTGTAAGTGATGTGTCCACCTCAATCCCCATCTCTAGTACTAACGTGGTCAGTCACTATCCAACCCTTCCGCGAAGAGATTGACCGTGTTGTTGCTACTTACATCATGGACGGATCGCCTCGTCAGCTAAACCTGTCCGCCAAGGATCGTGATGCTACCCTTCACGCCCTGGCAAACACCACCCATCCCTCGGCCTGCCGCATCGCCCTCAAGGTCGTTGAGGACTCGCTGCGCAAGCAAGCTCACCCCAACTTCATTCGCTGGTCGATCTGCAACGGCAACCCCGCCCGCGTGTTTTTCGCTCGCGCCCTCGGTGTCAGTCTTATTGCTATCGCCTTCGTCGTCGCCATCTTGATCACTCTCAGCCGGGCAGGCCGCGGCTGGCGCGCTCTGGCAGCCATCGGCTGGGTTTTGGGTATCTCAACCCTCGTCGCCGCCTACAAGGGCATGTGCGTCGTCCTGCACGGCATGCATCACCGCCACGTCCGCCCCTGGGAGTTGTTCGTCGACGAGGAAAGCGAAGAAGAGAGGCGGAAGACCTCATTCGAGTCGATCGGATCCTCCAATAGCTTTGAGTCGGAACCGTGGATTGTCAAGTACGAGAAGCGCAATGTCATCCGCAAGATCTTCGACCGCGAGGTTTGGATCGAGGAGCCTGCACTCCGCACCATCCAGGACACTATCTTTCTCCAGGCCATGCTTTGTGCCCTGTTGATCGGTGGCATCTTGACTGCTATCTTCGTGGCCATTCCTCACCGCGGATACTTCTAGTTGTGCTAGATTGCTAGCACTTGTTGCTGAGAAGAGACCGAATGCGTGGAATGGAGGAAAATCACAATACCAATTTGTTTGGGCAAGGCGTCTTTTGCAGGAGGAATCATGGTTCATACGGTTCTTCATTTTATTTTATTTAATTAAACATGGAGTTTATTGCTGAACGTTAGCCTGAGAGAACAGACCATGTGTTTGTGTCAACTTGTGATACTGAACATTCCAGTATGTTGCCCCTACAACGATGCGGACTGTGGCCTCTGAGAGATGGGTAAGGTGAACGCACATGATGTCCTTGGAAAACGTAGCCAAATGGCTGGCACCTGCATGTCTGAGGTCTCTTGACATTATGCTACGACTCAGATGACGAGCACTAGCAAGACACCGCAAAAGACGTGCAAGACATTGGGAGAAAGAAGCTCTGAGTCGAGGGAGAGTCCGCGGCTCATCACTCGCCACCCCACGTTTCCGGAACCAGAGGCCGGATCAGCACCTGAAGTGGAGACGCAGGACCATGCGGGAGAGTAGCTACGCATGCAATGTCTGGGGGCGCGGGAGGTGTTCGGGCCGCGCGGGCGAGAGGTCGCTCGTCGGGAACGCGACTTACACACCGATAACACTCTCGCCCCATGTTCTGAACGGGTTCTGCTAGCCCAGCGCCAGCAAAATAAACACGCACCGTGACAATTTCTCAACCACTGATTTGAATGAAGCTCGCTCTGGAGAACCGGCCTCGGCATCGTTGCAACGGTGGCTTGGCCTCAATCAAAATCGGCGTCACGGGACGCGCTGGCGATGTGGAGCAGGAGGCTTTTTGCCTGCCGGGGCCGCCGGTACCTTTTTTTTTTTCGGGGCGGGACCGGAGGAGAGATGGGGGTCCGCCTTCCCCCCCCTTTTTTTTTGGTCCGGAAAAGCCGGGTACATAAGTCAGGCCCATGCCCGTCCGGACTTTGAGCCCAGACCTTCAACCTTCTTCCACAACCGCAAGCTTTCTATTACAGTACACAATACACTTCTCCAGCCATTTCGGTGCAATAAAAACAGCGCATCATGGGATCGTTATGAGGGTGCAGTGAGAGTCTTTGTCTCCCGACGACGCCGTGGTCGCCTTTGAGCGATTGGACGATCGAAGTACGACAACCTGCGCGATTCGCACCGAGTACAGCAAACGATTTCACGGTTCAGAAGGACGTTCGATTCAACGGCGTCGAGACGACATGACCGAGGGCTGTGGCGGGTGGTTCGCCGGGGGCACGGGCGGGATCGATTCCATCGGGCAGGGGACGTCCGGGTCGCCGCCGAGGAACGGGCCGCCGCCTGTTTGATGGGCGGGGGGGTTGGACTTTTGATGTTGAAAATGAGGTGCCGGATGTAATACTCCCTTTGTATTGCGGACGAGTACAGTGGCCTTCTCTTAAGAGGCAAAGCATACCTTCCCCGACGTCATCCCGACTTATTCAGTACGCTTCGTCCTCTCACTTTCCAGCTCTTCAAACAATGCCTTTGCTTGGAGAGAAAACTTCTGGGATCCAGAAATACGGCAAAAGCGTGCGGAGAGGTCTACATGGATACCTCAAGCTGGCAGAATACGGGAAACAGCTGCCAAAGCTTTTCCCACGAGAATCATAGATCAAAGGCTCGTCTTAGTAGGCAGCTGTGAAACTCCAGCATTTGGTAGCTTTCCGTGCCTGCCTCTTGAGGGTGAATACTTCAGACCCGCAGTCACAATAAAAACAAAGCAAGCACTTGTTCGCTATTCGAGGCACACCAGGCGGAAAAGAGAAGTGAAGCGACTGAAAAATCTGAGGCCGTCAAAGTCTGACTGATTCTTTTGCCCTCGTTCGCTCTTGTCTTGTATTTTTCAACTTGTCGCCGGAGCCTCAGTTTTCACCTTCAACCACCTGCGTTACTCAACTGTCCGCGAATATCGACACCAGGGATTAGGTATCAACAAAAAGATTCGGTAGGTCTCCCTCCTTCTACGATACGGCGACAAAAGGAGTTTCTAACGCAGCTAAGCCAGGGCGGATATTCCACATTTTCGTCTCACGAAACGCGCCTACCTAACCAGGCTGATCTACCAGGCATCATGGACGACATTCAGATCTTCAGCTACACCCCCAGGCCCAAACCGAAGCCAAAGCCCCTTCGCGCGACCCCCGAGGGAAAGGTTGGACCGGCCTCCCTCTCCTACGACATCTTCCTGAACATCGTCGACTTCCTCGTCGCCGATGCTGCTCGCTGGACTTCTCAGTCCGCAGTCTGGAAGCTCGACTACAACCACGCCGCTGCCACAAAGCTCGTTATCCAAGAGAAGGTCATCGCCTTCACCAAGCCCGAGAAGTCACCTCATCAAATGGACCGCTACCACGACACCTTGCTCCCCTCGCAACTAAACCGTCAGACCCGCGTCATGGTCGGCAAGGTCTTCCCTCGGATCGCGATGGTCGACGAACATGGCAACGAGATGCTGCTCAAGGCTTGGATCAACCCGGCCAATGATTTCTTCATTTTGGACAACCACTCATCGAGCGCCCAAGGCATGCACCTTATGCAGGCCATCATGCTCCCTACCCCTCAAGGAGACATCCTGACCGCATCCATCCGCCGCATATCCATCTCCTCGGGTTCTGCCTTGCACAAATTCGACGCCGACGCCGTCAAGATTCTCGCCACTCTTCCGAACCTCGAAGAGATGAGCATGTGTATGGGAGAATTCTTTCCCGACTTCGGCCAGCGCATCGTCCACAACGGCATTCGCGCCATCGATCCAAAGACCTACGTGGAACTCGCCAAGTGGGCTCAGAAGCACGGAGCGGCCTTCGCCTCCGTGTATGGCGCTCTGAAGAAACGAGGCATCAGATTCGTCGCGGGCATCCTGGAGAGTACTGATCCTTGGCTGGAGATCCTCCATACCGCCAAGGGCATCCGCATCAGGCACCTCATGGCCAACTGCTCCTGCTGCAAGGCCGACAAGCTCTACTGATGTGATATTGCTCGAGCTTCCACGAGATTTGGCGGGACGGCAGCGGTTGGGTAAAGGTTTTGGCTTTTCCTTGGAGCAAGGCGTCGTGTCCCTTTCCTTCCAAACTGTCCTCTGAGTGTCGTCAGAAATGAGAGGTCGATGATACGAAGATGAAGCGGGAGGAATGTCTATCATGCGCATGGATGGTAGTGCAGTTAGTTAAGAAATAAGAACCTCTACTCTATCAGGCTTCGGGTTATAGTCTGCGCGACTCTCGACGGTTGGTGTTCTTGGTGTTGTCGAGTTGGGTGCACACTCACGGTATATACACCTCTCAGAGTATCAATTCCCGAAGGAGTGATAAGAGTCCGCTTTCCCCCTTCTTTCGGCTCAGAAGAAATGTGTACTCATTGGGTATGGTGAGATGATGTATTAATGACTAGATTATAAGGGTGGCTGCATTGTATTGCGCGGCATATTGCATTTGTTTCGATTCAGGAGAGCTAGGCATGAAAGTCACGATACCCATCCAGACTCTCTACTCAGCAGTTTCAAATTTCTTCTATGACCGAAACGCCTTTTTTCTTACTGCTTTACAGTCTACAATGCCCAGTGCGATTGAAACAGCGAACCATGAGATGGCTATGAGAGGTTAGCGGCACAAGGGTGCTCTCATCCTCGCGGGCCGAAACCATTGTTACATTGGCTAGGTAGGCACGTTGATAGACCCATCAGTCACAGATAATCAGCGTTGCCATTATTTGGCATAACATGTCGACATTTCTCCATCCGCCTTCACAGGTCTCCAAAGGGCAAACAACAACTACGTAGCCAACTCTTATTCGACAGAATCTTCAACACATTAACAGCTGCAGCCGCACGACCTCGAAACAACGCAACCTTGTCCGCAGGCCTGAGTAAAAGCGTTTGTGCCGCATTGCTCATAAGTCGAGCACTTGTTCCAATGTTTTCTGACTATCTACTTAGAAAAGAACAAGTACATCCAACGGTCCCAAATTAAACGGACCGTGCCGCAGACTACCTAGCCTGCTGGGGGTGAACAGACTTCACCCAACACAGCAGAGCATAGGTGACACGTGTACGCGGCCCTCAAAGGAAAGAATGAATGGGAACCAACAGGAGTTTGCCCCAAATAGTCACGCGTACCTGTAAATACAAAAGATCGGACAGTCAGCCCGTCCCGCCTGGTTTGCATTGCATCTACATCTTTCCTCTTGAAGCTCTTCTCCCACCAGAACAGTTCTTCGCACGCAATTACCTACTTAAGATCACCAGAATGCGTTTATCTACGCTCTCCGTCGCGGTCGCCTACTGAGCTCTTCCCGCTATAGCGAAAAAAGTCACTCGTACGTACCGCTTGCTTACCCATCAGCCGAGGACACCTCACCAGGACGGCCTTCCTCCAGCTTACACTCAAACAGTCACATACGATGCCATCTATGACAAGAGCGATCGGTCGTTGAGTGAGGTTACCTGTTGGAACCCAAACGTTCCCGGCTTGTTTTACGCGTATGACGAATGGCTAGTCCAGAGCAAGGTGATGCCGGGAATTCTCGCTATACCCACCATCACAGGCTGGGAGCACCCCGAGTGTATAACCTGCTGGATGTTGACGTGGATAGGGGGATCAAAAACTATCTTTCTTCTTGCTGTTGATCGGTCTGAGAAGGGCTTTGTTACCTCTCACAAGAGCATGAACGTGCTCACCGGCGGTCAGGCAAATGACTTCAACCCGCTGGAGCCGTTGGAGGTGGAGGCTTCTCGTGTCAGCTTGCGGAACTGTGGATTCGCTCCTGGGGATGTGCAGGAGAGGTTTTACGATGAGCTTTGAGCCCGGGCCGGAGGGGCCGACAGCGGCTTTGAATGCCGGCAAACACTGCCTATACGGCAAATTCTGGCAGGACATGGGGCGGGTGTAATTAATGAGGCTTTCTAGAGTCCTACCAAAAGAGAGGCTATCAGCGTGTTGCGTGGAAGGGGATCACAGCTAGGGTTTCGCTAGCTTTCAACTTTAACATCTCGACCATCTCAAACTAGTAACAAGAGTATGGACTGCTTGATTTGAGATTTCGCCGTATGAGTCTACGGCGGGCAATAGCCACAACAAGAGTATGGACAGAGACCTTGTTCTCTACGACCTATAGGAGAACTGCTATGCGGTGAATCAGTTCGGTTTTTCCACTAGGTAGCTGGCAGGTGGTTCTGCAGCTGTGTCACGTCACTTCATGCCAATGTACAGGGCGCAGACGCTCGTTGCCAGGATGCACCAATTCATCTCTTTTCCAGGTGAGGGGATCTGCAGACGGTCGATTCTTCACGCACATAAATCCGTGATGTAGCCAAGGGTTCTCCTGACTACCATTATGGAGTGACAAATGTACTGCCTAAGTCTGCTGCCGCAAGTATGTATTCTTCGGCAAGTGACTAAAAGTATCCGAAGTCATTATACAACCTAAGATATCCTCTTTCAGCTAATGGTCAAGCCTATGAGGGGATTACAGCCCGGTGGCAACGTCGCTAGAACAGCCCTCTCTGGTCTTGCTGAATATCCCACGATCTCTCCACCGTTGCTTATACGTTTTGGATTCAGAATATATAGCTGGTGGCCGAGATTAGGAACCGCGGGCTGGGTGCTAGCTGCCAAATAGTATCGCACGCGTCTCTTGCCGCTCCGACGATACCAACCCTATCTAAACTACCACCGAGAAATGAAAAACGATGTTGATGGTTATTGAAAGAATCCGTAGAACATCTCTCAAAACCGTGGCTGTGATATGTTCGGCGCTTCAAGCATCTGCAAAGCGTGCGGGATCTCCTCGTTTAACCCTCATCACCGTTTCGATATGATCAAGTGACAGAGGCGTTTTGTCCCTTGCAGCCAGCAGCCGCGCCGTCTTTACCACATTCTTGATCTGCCGGCCGTTAAGCTCGGCCTTTGCGAGCGACTCCAGCTCCACTTCCGAGACGCTGCAGCTTCTTCCTGAGCTGGGGTTGATGAATATCTTCCAAATATGCAGCCTGCTTGGGAAGTCAAGGTTGGGAAAGTGAATGGTGAGGTGAATGCGGGACTCAAATGCCGGGTCAAACGACGATGCCCGGTTGGTTGTGAGGAACATGACGCCCTGGTAGTATTCCAATAGGCGTAGGAATACCGAGACGAGCTTGTTCCTGTGCAGGTCCGAGGTGGAGCGCTTTTCGAGGAAGACGTCGCACTCGTCCAGAAGCAGCACCGCACCCCACTTGGTCGAGAGCTCGAGAACGCGACGCAGGTTTTGTTCAACCTCGTCCGCACCATGCCCCAACTCGCCTGCGCTCATGCTGTACAGGGGCTTCTTCATGGCCTCGGAGACTAGTTGGAGCGGACCATGTAAGTATGAGACCCAAGGAGTGGTGACTGTCAATACTAACCCGACTCGGACGTGAGCGTTTTCCCAGTTCCAGGTTCGCCGCTAAGGAGCATGATGATGCCCTTTCCTACGATTTATAATAGTCAGATCTTAGCCCTGCAGTACAAAGAAAGAAGATTACCTTTCCCTCCAATGATGTCATCAAAGTCGTCGACATTGGACATCTGCGCTTCAACAAATGCCCATATGACGCGCTTGTAGTCGTGCGGCAGAACGAGCTGTTCGAAAGCACCGTCATCCCAGACAATGTCCTTGACAAGGTCGACGTCGAAGTGAACTAGGTCAAGGTAAGATTTCAAGAAATATTGGACAGCGACTGCAGCGGTACTGACCCCAATCTTTAATCTTGAGGCAGAACCCCTTTACTACCGGACTACACAGCGGATAGTGCTCCTTAAATAGAGACTCGGAAACTGTCACAGTGTGTCAGCTGTTTGCTCCGTCCAATGTGGAAGTCACAAAAGCGTGGGAAGCAGACCCTTTGACTGCGTCCGGAGTGAGTTGAACCTCTGCCGCATTTGCCTCGCTCTTTGCTGCATCATTCGAATAGGCGGTGGCAAGAACATGTCGGCTTCTTCGTCACTGTCGTCAATACCGGTAAGCAGGCTCAAGCGACTCAGGTGTTCCGAAGTGACTGGTTGATCAAGTGGATCGAGCTGGCCGAGCGGTCCGCCGTTGTATTTGAGGAATGAGCTACAGTCGACCACAATTCTTCCATCGGCAACCTTTGGGCCAAAGTTAGAGGTATTCTTTCAGGGAACGGATAATCGTTGCAAAACTCACGTATTGTTTGCGCGGGGCTCCGTAAGAAGGCCGATGCAAGTCGTAAGCGCCCGAGTACGACTTGTAATGAAAGCCCTTCAATGCTGCAAATTTGCGTCCTCTCTCTTCGAGCCGACTCCGAATACTTTCAATGTCCGGCTTCAAATGGCTCGGGAGCACATTCAGCTCCGATATTGGCTGCACATTCTCAAACTCTCCAATCGCTAGTGATGTTGTACGGTAGCCGAAGGTGTCTCCGTCGGTGTCAATGTAACGGCAAGAAAGATTGAAGATCTTGACGCCGCCTGGTAGCTCTTGATAAGTTCCCCCGTTGAGGAGATACAAGCGGTCATGTCCATCGACGTGGGAGTAGACCTCGGTGCCCGGCTCAAAAAGTGCCCAGACGTAATCAAACGAGATCACGTTGTTGCTAAGCAAGTCTCCCGCCTGCTCGATATGCGGCTGGACTTCGGTAGATATGATGTCGAAAAGGAGCTTGTAGTGGTCATGCCCGATGTTCTCTTGCTCGTCGCTCTGGGTTTTTGGCTCGGCTTGGATGAACTCGCTCCATCTGTAGAAGAACTCGCGGAAGGGGGCTCGGAACTCGAGTTTCTTCAGCTTCGTGTTGATACCTCTGTAGCCAGCGAATACCGGATCCAGCTGCGTTTTGATAAGAGGGCTCTGCACGGCGACGGAGTGCAGAGCTAGAACGGGCTCCTCAGTGTCGCCGTTCTGCTTCTCACGCCGCACGATGAGGGCAAACTTGAGTGAAGCGGGCGTCGATTTGGAGTTGATACCTATGTCCTCGGGCGCCCACTCCTGCCAGGGCTGCCGGTAGTCGTCCCTGTAGAGATCCTTGGTCAGGGAGGTCATTCCAACTTGGATGGGTTCCTTCTCCTTGCTGGGCTCTTCGGGATTATCATCACTGCTGCTGGAAGTCTCGGTGATATCGTCATCCGTGGGCATTATGAGTGGATCAACAATATGAGACGGCAGCAGTGGCGGAGGCATTTCAAATGTTGCCAATAACTGTGAGATAGATTGCATTTTCCCAAAGGGTCCGTTGCAGCGAAGCTTCTTGCAAGCGAGAGAGAGATCCAAGATAAGAAAGAGTTTGTGGCAATGGGGGAAAACCAGACGTCAACATTCAAAACTGAGGGAGAAGTAGACTACACGTTTGTGTCTACAACAGCCGGGTCGTGGGTGAAAAGCGGACACTGAAAGTACGAGACCGAAAATATGGGTATGTGAATAAGCCTCAATGGAATACAAGTTAGGCAGCACGAGGCAGACAGGCCGTTTCACAGAGTTATCCTTGAAGACAAGGGATTAATGCCTGATCGTATCATTTCTGTGCCGTGTCAAAACTTTCCTAGAGCTCAAACGGTTCTCATTGGCGCCTATAACAGGTAAGCGCTAATGCAGAATCAAGACAGGCTGTGGCAGCCCGTCATAGAGTTCCAATGAGATGGCTGTTCTCGGGAATAGTCACTACACAGCCTGCTTCATCATTGCATGAGACCGTGTCGTGTCACTGCTGTCGAAATGACAATAAATGCAATTCGAATTTACAAAATAGTGGGCCGTTTTTCACTCCTGCCAATTCTGAACGCCTCAGTATTTTTGATGCCCAGTTCCGCCTCACTTTTGCGAAATCTTTCTTGCTTGCGTCATCCTTCAAGTAGAGCGCGTTTAGTACTACGAACCACGACAACAGCTCGAATTCTTGATTTCGAAATAACCAGGAATACTCATCCGGAATATCTGTTTCAAATCAGTTGCCCGCTGCATGTGGTGAACTAATCGCCGACCTCAATCCATCAAGATGTTTGACGACACGCATGAGCTTCAACCAGGCGATCAGGCACAGGCGGCGCCCAAGTCACAACCCCGTTTGATGCAGAATGTTTCGAAAATCCTGAGCAGCCCGATGATGCGAGAGCATGCACTGAAATGGGCCGAAAGCCTACGTTTTCTAACTTTCGACGACAGCGGCGGGAATTCCGAATTGGAGCAGGAAGACACGACATTGGCGACAAACGTTCCCAGAGATGCTCTGGTCCACGGGCAATGCCGACCTTGCAGCAGAAGATCCAGGCCGCCGGCTGGTCATATGTGTTATCAACACATGTACAATCGAAACAAGGAAAGAGCCGTGGAGCGTGAGGCGGAACTTCACCAATTTGATAACCCATGCGTCCACGTCCGCGAGCGTTCGTGCAGAGAATGCTGTAACATACCTCTCTTCCCCAACGAGGGACCCGTCACCAAGTTTCGGATCAGGCGAGTGCATCAGCCAGACGCAGAATGGTCTTCCAAATGTGACCATTTTGTCGCCGTGTCTTACTGCTGGTCGAGCGAGACAAGCGATAATCCCAACGACGAGCCTTATGAGGTAATGGAAGAGAATGGGACGGTCAGAAAAGTGCGAGCATCGAGAAACACGATTGACCGAGTTGTGGCCTTTGCCCGAGAGAATGGGCTTCGAATGATCTGGATTGACCAGGTACGTGGCCACGCACCCGTTTCGTGGGTGCTTGTAGCCCAATGCCCTCCATGAACTCCTAACTCATGACGCAAGGGTGCTCACTAACTCTCTTGTTTACACGATAGGAGTGCATCGAGCAGGACAACCCGCGAGAGAAGGAACTCGCCATCCAGGCCATGGACCACGTATACGTGCGCGCAAGTATGTCCATCGGACTTTTCCAGGCCGAACTGCAGCAGAAACACCTCGAGTCATTGCTGTTGGCTTATGAACATCGAATGGCCCACCAATTCACCTTTCGCTGGGGGAGAGCCGCGTTCACCAACTGCCGCACAGTTGACCTCAAGGTAATATGTGAGGCGGTCACCAGAATCGCCAATGACAGGTGGAATACGCGCGCATGGGTTCTTCAAGAAGCGTTTGCATCCAGTGGCAAAATGCTCCTACTCTTCCCTCGAGCGAAAGACATCAATACCCGCGGCTGGCTGTTGGTATGCCACGAACTATCTCAAAGCGAGTTGGCAGTTCGACTTGACGTCGTTCAAAGGTGTTTCCGAATATGTGCACCACTGATCGGAAAATTCCTTGCGCCTGAACCCGCCAGCAGAAGAAAACCGGCCAACGGTCGTACATTGAGTCGGAAGGAAAAAGCACAGCAAACTCTCGAAAACGCAGACAACAAGACGACTCTGAGCAGGATTTTTTTCTTCCACCCCGAAGAACCAGAACACTCGTGGACGGTTCTCATTAACAACTTAAAGCGCAGGAGAACATGCAATGCTGCAGTTGCCTTGACGTACCTGAAGTTACGCCAACTACTAAGAGCGGCAGACAAATTGGCTATTGTTGCCAACATGTGCGGGTACCACCTTCGTCTGGACACATACGAGCTCGAAAAGACGCAGGAAAGTCTGGCTGCATGTATCTTGGCACTTTCATTAGCCAACGCGGACTTTTCATTGCTGGTTCCACAAATGTATCAACAGCCGGGAACGAAGAACGCCTTGGGTATGTTTAGTCGAAGTTCCATCTCAAATGATGATATCGTACGGGTTTGCTAATGTTTTATCAGAGTTCTTACCACCCGGCGGTGCTGAATTTACATGGATGCATGAGCTCACGCGCAATATGCATTTAGCGACGGCAACGAGCTGGAACCCGTTCGGACGACTAGCCATGGACAATGTTGCCGCTGTTACGCATCTTTCGGAGAACGGGCTCGCCTTTCCGGGCCTTCTCTGGAGGAGAGGAAGCTTTGTGGACTTGAGTCTGCTCAAGACAAAGTATGCCGAATCTTGGCAGCGACTTCATGCGGCCAAAGGTCCTTTACGTTCATCCCCGAATACCATCAGACTTGCTACTACGCACCTCCTGTTTGAAATCATCCAGGCTTTGATTTCACAGGGCGAGGATCAAGTAGCCAATTCAATCCTCAACTCAACTTCCCACTGGAAGTGGAACAGGCACGAAAGTTCGGCGGACGATGGCATGATAGAGACGGTCGACCAGCTGCCGCATGGACTCGCACTCGAGAATCGAGGAGGAATGTTCTCTCTTGATCCGAACCCTGACGGGGGGTACTATCAGGACTGGATCATTGACAGAGTCATGAATGAAGGCGGTTTGTGGGTATGGACCCTCGAGGGCGAAATAAAAAAACGCGAAGCGGAGCTTGAGAGCTACTCGGCAAAAAAGAAGGGAGAAGTGGTCGCTGATGGGCACATACCCAACATAGAGGACCCGGACCCGATGGACGACATCCAAGAATCTTCCGAAAGGCAGGTAACTGATCCTGCGCGATCAAAACCCAAAGCTGAGCCGACCGATGTCTCGGGTAGACACAAAAACTCCAGCCATAGCGAGATGATGGGGGTAGCTTTCATAATGACGGCCACGGCCGAGGCGATGACCGTTCTGCCAGATGATGACATACCAAAACTTCCCGAAGGCTGGAACGTCCAATCCCGCCTGATATTTGCTCCTGCTTCGTTGACTGCGTGGGCTATGCATGGATACAAAGGCGAGGGAGTTAGGAAAGAACAAACCAACTGGCGTGCCGTATTTGACACAGAGAATAATCTTGACGAGAAGAGCAAGGTTCTGACGCCGTTTCAAATGGTCCTGGAGTCCATACCGAGGCCGGAGATGCGTAGCATGAGCGTCTCGTGGGTTGTGGAGGACTGCGACAAGCCGGATAATCAAGTCGACGACGACGAGAAGTTCATATCGGGACGACAGAGACTGACGGTGAAGAGTATGGTCAGGGGGATGTGGAGGTTCACGCTGTCTCACACGGGGAGGTATGAAATTGTATGAGCATTTTCACGGGAGCGCTCAGTTGCCAAGCATCTTATGATTCAAAAGTCGAGTTGGTTCTCAAAACAAAAACAGCCCCTGACAGGCAGATTCACTTTTTTTCATAGATAAATCGTATCCATATTCAACCTTGGAATAGGCATATGACCTTACACTGAATGAGGACCTTGAAAAACATTGAGAGTGTCAAAGAGTTGAGAAAGTGGGTGGCCTGTGACCAGAGTTAAGTAAACAAGGCCGCCAACTATCCCCTTCGGAATAACTTTGGTGGTAAAGAATAACCAAACTTCAGCTGTGTCATTATTAGGGCCCAATACTTGACAGGTTAGGAGAAATGGAGACGATTTTGGCAGGAAGATACTACCATCGACTTCCAGTCCTGCTTCCATTCAGGGATTCCTGCTCGAATATCGGAATGATCCACAGGGAGTCTTGGGCAACTTGAATCATTGGCTGCAGCACGCGTTGAAGCGGCGTCGTTCTGATGATTCTGCGTCCGATGATCAGCATGCGTGACAGCGCGTCAGATTCATACTGAACAATACGGGAGCCGCAATAGGTGGGGAAATCAGGGGGCGAACACATATCTCCTTCAAGGTGTGAAGAGTCATCGGGCCTGTTGAGGACCCTTTGATTTCAGTCTCCGACTCGTTGTTATACGTGTTCTAAAATGTCAAAAGCTAAATATGTGTTCTCTTCCACTGTTCAATGGGTAAGGTTGGGTTTGTGGTCTGCTGGGCTCTCGTGTTGTTGCGTTAGGCGCACACTTGCGTTACATAGGCCTCTCAGAATGTGTGATTTAGCACATACGACCATACCCACTGGAGAACTCGGGATCCCGTCCGCTCTCCCATAGATAAGCCAGTGAGGGCCGGATTAGTAGTTGGGTCGGTGACGACCAGCGAATACCTGGTGTTGTATGTTTTTGCTTTTTGAGCCCATGCTGAACTGTCAAGATGATCCTCTGTCATCTGAGTGGCTGGTACTGTTGTGCAAGTCAGTGTTCGTTCCTTTTGAGAGCTCTGGTGTTAATGGTTTGTGTATTGCGAATAGAGTTATTTGGCTGTTTGAATCGTTGGTTTTTTACTGCTTTTGTGCCACTGGTTCTCTGTTGAAAACCGCGGTATGTGTGTTACTATTGCCTACGAATTTCATTGGCGCGCGTTGTCCGATCCGATCTGCCTCTAACTGCTTCACCGCTTCTTGATTTGCATCGATGGATTTTCCCACCTTCCAAAAACATTACTCTTTTCATGTCCGGAGGAAAATTTCCTAATCCCCAAGCTTCTCGCTTATCTCCATCGCCCCACGCTAGTCCAGACTCATCGTTAATCTAAAGGGTCTGGATGGCCTGGCCCACCCAATCTCAGGGTCTGGTCCACCCACGTTGCCACGACATTTTTTAAAGAGGTTCATTCCAGCGGCCACCTACCTCATCCTTTCTCCTTTAACCTCCTTTCTCATCTTATTATCTCACTCACCGAAGACCTACAGCATGCTATTCATTCAACGTATCATAACCGGCAGTAGTATACGTGACTTACAGAGCTGACCAACACACATTCACTTCGCATACCTGACTTGCTACTTTGCATCATCAGTGCTACCGGGCTCCGAACGAGGCCTGAATTGACCACAGACACTCACTCACTCACTCAACTTACCGAGGCCCTAGCGACAAGTCAATTGCATCTCATCTCAGTGCCTGAGCCACCCGGTGAACCAGAGTCAACTCACTCACAAACTTCAGCCACTCACTCATCTTCACCATGGATCACATCGAAACCGACAGCGCCACCTCGCCGGCGTCCGCGGCTAACCTACACTCACTCACGTTAGAACTCGCCAAAACCGACGCCGTCATGTCACTCACTCACGACCTGCAATCCCTCACCATGGACCCCGCCGCCGAAAGTGACATCGCCGCCTCACTGACCAGCTACCCAGCATCAAGCGCCTCCCGTCCTTCTTCGGCCTCGTCCGCCCCGTCGCTGTCGACAAGCCCGGACGACCAATCGAAAACGGTGCTTCCCGGCGCCCCCGTCTCTCATCTCTTCGAGGTCCGAGATACCCCGACGGCCGGCCGGGCCGTCTTTGCCACGCGGGACATCCCCGCCGGCACCCTGCTCTGGCGCGCCGATGACCTTACCGTCTCGGTCCTCCTGCGCGAGTACAGGCGCGAGGTCTGCGGACAGTGCTTCGCGTACGACTACGGCAGGGACATGAGCATACGGGACCCCGTGGGGTTCGCCTTTTGCTCGAGAGAATGCCAGGCGAAGTGGAAGCAGGAAACCGGCGACGTGGGTGTTCAGGCGTGGACCGAGGTTGAGAAGCTCGTGAAGAAGAGGAGCAAGGAGGACAACGACATGGTCGAGCTCGACCTGCCACGCCCCACGGAGGAAGAAATCGCACGGGCGTGGGAGGAGACCGAGGCGCAGGCGGAGTTGATCCGGACCGCGAGGATGGCCGAGCTCAACGGCGGACCGATCACGAAACAACACCGCAGAGCCATCCTGAAGGCGCTCCAGCAGCCGATCCAGCCGGACGTCATGGGCTTCTGCGTCGGCGGTCTCGTCGCGCGGTACAACAGCCTGCGGAGGTGGGAGAACCTGCTCTCTCTGGCGGTGGACTCCACCCCGTATAGCAACGCCGACAACCTGCGCGCCTTCACGAGGAGTTACCTGCACATGCTCGCGGTGCTCCCGCTGCCTCTACTCTCTCTCCTCACACCGGAAACGCTGCAGCTGCTCTCATCGCGCGACAGCCACAACTCGTTTGGCATTCGGTCGTTAGAGGACGAGGGGTCCGAGTTTTTCGGGTACGGGTGCTGGCCCGGGGCTAGCTTTTTCAACCACTCATGCGCGCCGAATGTTGAGAAGAGGAGGGAGGGGAGAGTTTGGGAGTTCAGGGCTGCTGGGGATATGCGGTCGGGGGATGAGATTAATATCACGTACTTGGGCGGGGAGGAGAAAGATATGTCGAGGGAGAAGAGGATGGCGACGTTGAGGAGGAATTGGGGGTTTGATTGTGGGTGCAAGAGGTGTCAGGAGCTGTAATGACTGTTGGGTCTGATTCATGAATACACGAATTTGTTTGGAGCCATGAGTCGTTCCTTATGCGTGGTTGCCAGCCTCAGGGACAAGATACGCCACGGTATCACTCGCCTCATGCCTGTTTGATGCAAAGAGCCGCGAAATCTGCATTCTGATTCTGTGTCGTCAACCTCTGCAGAGTTCATCGCGCGGTCGTCTGAAGGTGCTTCGGATGGTTTGTACCAAGAAAGTCTACGTCGACTGAGTTCACCATCACAGCATGCGAACAGTATTCGCGGGAGGCTTAATGTTGCTCAACCTTGGGACGAGTCCCGACAAACTCTATTGAGCGCTTCTATAGTTGATCTAAAAAATCTCGTATCCGCTAAACATCGCCGTTGAAAGAAAGAAAAAGAAGATGGCCCGCGTTCCCGATAACCTGGACGTCTCCAACATCGTGAGTCGGGGGCTCGATTCGCTTAGTTGCAGCAGCAGACCTATGAAGAATAGGTGTCAGTAAAAACCATGTTATGCGGCTACAAAATTGTCAACTTACACCGCCGCCACGTCCGGACTTGGAGTTGCTCTGGCACTTGAGGGCAGAGCAGCTCTCGCCCTTATCGCCGCCCTTGGAACAGGTTCCAGCAGGCGCGCCGTCGCGGGCCCAGAGAGCGGCCTCATCAACAGAGGCCAGGTCGGGAGCGGGAGCTGCGACGGCCAAAGTGGCGAAGAGAGTGAAGAGGATGGTTGAGACACGCATTTTGGCTTTAGTGAGAGTTGGTGGGTTTTTCTACCGGAGAAAAGGAGAGTGTATTATTTGCAAAAGCTGAGTGAATGGAGGCTGATGTTGCTGACGATGAGGAACAACTCGAACTCAGGACAGAGGATCATTGAGCATTATATACTGATGAACGAGCAGAACATGACACTAGTGATCGACCCGTGCCATCTCATGAGACGGAACTGCCCAGACGGGTTGGCATGTTCGATCCAAACAGCTGGGTAAACTCCCTCGTCTCGTCTCGTCCTGCCCAGCGGGAATGATCCGCCCCCTTCATGGGGTTGACCCGCATGATCATCGCATGGCACGCGAGGCCCTCGTCCGGGAAGATTCGCGAGTCAAACCTCGACTATTACAAGCGTACGACTATAAAAGTGGCCGGTTCTAGTTGCGAATACTGGCCCAATCAGGCAATTCACCGCCCTATTCTGCACCATGTCTACTACTTCATAACAACCTCGTACCATAGCCCTCCGTTTCAAGCTACGCGGATAGCCTGAGTCAGGAGCAGTAGTTTTGACGGGCCTTGAACCGGGGCACACCAGGGTCTGGTAGCCATGCATCTCATCACATTCGTCTGATGTTTTGGGTTCGGTTTGAAGGGCTCCCTTTTTTAGACTTTTCCAGCCCCAGACTTGGGGCAAACGAGCTGGGCCTCGTAAGCGGCTTCGTTCCAGAAGTCTTCCAGAACGAGAGCGATGAAACTAGACGCGACAAGCGCACCATCCCACGTGTCTCGGAGGGCTGCCTATTGGTTGCATGGCGGATATACGGCTACCATCTGGAGTTGCTGACCACACTACAACTATTAAGGTTTGTATTGTCGACAACTATCGAAACAGTGGTCTGTGTAAAATCGTGCAATTACTGCGAGTTAACAGCCTGAAAATATATGTGCGTTTGTTTCGCGGAACAGCCCATAAGTCCGGCTGACAAGAACAGAGGTCTGGGCCAGTGAGATGTTTTGCTGGTATCGATAATTGCCTAATTCGGTAAGCACTGATCAGGGATGGAGTTGTCGATGGAGGATGTAGTTGAACTCTGTTAAACGATCAAAGGGAAGTAACGCTCGGCAATAATTTGCCAGAACAAGGTTCAATAACAGGTCTTGGTGTTTTCTTGGTATGGGCTGTACTCAGTCTATCGACATGGTACACCGCCATACTCGAGGCCTCCGCGGGAATGAGAAGCTCGGCGGCTTAGATGAATCATGATTTATCAGCCCTTAAAGTGACCGTTGACTGAAGCAGCGGACGTTGCCTCGCTGAAGCGCCTTTTACGAAGGGCGCTTTCCATCGCTAGAGTTCATAGCCGAAGAAGTCGATACAGGACGTCTCCGTGGAACTAAAGGGGCAAGCCTTTTGTTGTACGGAGGTACCCTCTTCGCTCTTTTCCGGAATTGGGTGAGCGCGGGCCATGGATAAGCGGCGGAGATGAAATCTGTCTTGGCCTCGACTGGGGACTGTGGTTAAAGTTCAAACCAGTTCTCGTATTGCCCTGATTGTGAGTTGCAGAGTCGAACTTTGAGGCTTCCAAACGTTTCTGTGGCTGAGTCGCAAGGAGAGATGTGGTTCCGCGTAGAGGTCCAGACCTTCTTCAACTCTGGATACACCCGGGAATTCAGCCACGGCTTAGTTGAGGCATGCCTGCTTGATCTTGTTGTCCGGTCATATCATGTCCGGCTAATCGGCTTATTGAGCGGGCGTGTGTATCATACTATCTACTTTCTAACTAGCTATTGCCTCATGCACCAAACAACGTCCATGGATGCGTAGCAATGGCCGCGAGTGATATCAGAAGTTAAAATCTAAACTGAGAGTGGAATGATCGTAGATATTCTTCAAGGAAAACAGAGATGGAATTATCCATCGGTCACGCCGACATGTCCAGCTTGAACTAGTTAATCATTCAATTTTGGCAAGATATTAGAGCGATAGAGTATAGGGTGTGCTCTGCCGATTCAAAGTGAGAACTTTGTGTATCTATGGGCGTAGTAAGTCGTTGTGGGGTGAAAAGTCCATAACTCCAGTAACAGTGGCTTGGAAAGATTCCCAAACACAATGAAACATACCCTACTTGAAGAAATGAAGAGTATCTTGAGCTATGCTGCTTCAAGAATCCCGACGGTCGTGAGTAAATGAAAGCCAAGTTCTTAGCTTAACTCAGATCTGTACCCTCATTTCATAGCGATTGAGGGCTGAAAAACGTTCAGTGTTGTGGATGACAGCTTGGCACTCGCACAGCCATGTCATACGCGGCTGGGTACCAGCTGAACCCATTAAACTTTCACACATTCTAGTATGAGCAAACCACGATCATCGAGCCAAACGTACGACCATGTTCATCGGAGAATTCCAGACTCAGTCCGCTCTCCCAAAGATAGAGCAATGAGACCGGGGCCGGTCCATCAAGGCCGGGACCCCGGTCGACGCGGCGGCATCGTTGCCGCTTCTCCGCCGTACGGCCGGCCGTCTATGACTACTTCAATCCGCCGCCCGCCCCGATCAAACCATCCCTCTTGCACGTCTTCGTCCTTATTGCCCCTTTAATTTCTTGGCGTCGCGTTTATAAACACGTCTCGAGTCGTCCCGCCCAGTCTCCAACCAGGCATGGCTATGCAGAGACTGCACCTGCCTGAACTCCCCGCCGCCCGCCCACAAGTCCAAATCTTTTAAAAGAGATAAGGCCAGTATGCATAGGGCATCCGACGAGGGCCTTCCGTTCCCTTGATCATAAAGTTCGGAAACATCAACAACACGGCGTCGTCGCGATTCATTCTACCGAGCATACCCCGCTTGTCGGGCGCGAAAATGAGGGACAGCGTCACAATCCTCGGTTCCTCAATCAGTGCCAGCCGACGTCATTACGTTGTATTGACTATTGAGCAGCATTTCTTTTCTGAAATGAATCAAAATGAGGGGGAATCCGGGGTAATGAGGGGAAATTTTCCGCCATACTCATAAGCTCGGCTAAGGAGGATAAATCGATCGCTGAGTCGGTAGAACTCAGTTGTCAAGCATGATTCAGAACTATCCGGCCTCAAAACAATCTCAACAGATCAGACAAGATCGTGGTGGTCACCTGTTTCGCGTCATAGCGATCGAGATACCATGACTTTGGGCGTATTTTCAGAGATCTTTCCAACAATTGGAAGAGCTGGTCCAAGGACCGGGTCTCTTCGTCGCGGGACACTGCTTTTGGCAACATGCATCTTCCTGATCACCAGTTCAGTCAATGCTCAAGCGGCTCCTGACGCCTATCTGCGTACTCCGGTGCAGCGTCAGCTCGATTGGCATCGGATGGAGTACTACGCCTTCATCCACTTCGGCCCCAATACCTTCACCGATGAGGAATGGGGCAGGAGCCAGCAGCCGCCCGACGTCTTCAACCCAACGGCGTTGGACACAGACCAGTGGGCGAAGTCGTTCGCCGACGCGGGAATGTCGGGCATGATCCTCACAGCAAAGCACCACGATGGAATGGTGCTTTGGAACAGCTCCACCACCACGTACAAGATCGCCAACGGCGGCTGGGCCAAAAACCGCACGGCTGCCGGACTAGACGCTGACGTCGTCCGCATGGCTGCCGTCTCAGCCAAGAAATACAACCTCAAGTTCGGCGTGTATTTGTCGCCATGGGACATCCACCGCGACCCAGCCATGCCGAAGCCTTTGCTTAACGGGACCATCTATGACGAGCCGCAGATCTTTGGCGACAACAGCACCGGCGACTACAACGACCTCTACCGTCGCCAGCTGACAGAGCTGGTGACCATGACCCTACCGGATGGTAGTCCCGTCTCGCTCTTCGAGATCTGGCTCGATGGCGCCAGCGGCTCCAGCACCGTTCAAACGTTCGACTGGGCAGGCTTCCGCGACATCATCCGCGAACATCAGCCATCAGCCATCATGTGGGGACACCAAGGGGTTGACGCCCGCTGGGTGGGCAACGAAGACGGCGTCACGGTGCCCACGAACTGGCACACAATCAGCCGAACGCAGGACCAGGAGCGTCTCGGCGAGGCGGAGCTACAAACGGGCTTGCGCGACGGGCTGTACTGGACCCCAGCTGAGGCCGACGCCCGAGTCCGGACCGGTTGGTTCTGGCACGCCAATGAACAGCCCAAAACGGGACAGCAGCTCATGGATATGTACCTGAAGTCCGTGGGGCAAAGCGTGAGCCTTTTGCTTGACGTGCCGCCGGATACGACGGGACGGATGACGGAAGAGGATAACGTTGCCCTGATGGAGTTCAAGCGTCTTAGAGAAGCCTTCCTGGACCGGAGGTTGGTTACTGCCGACTCGGAAGTCACAGCCAGCAGCGTTCGAGGCGGAGACAACTCCACGTTTGGTCCTCAAAACGTCTTGAGCAACTCGACCGATACATACTGGACCATGAACGACGAGGAGCGCACCGGTTGGGTGGAGATTGATCTGGGCTGCAAGTCTCGTGTCGACGCCTTCATTGTGCAGGAGCATATCGCCCTGGGCCAGCGAGTTGGTGGATACGCAATCGACTACATGGTTGAAGACGCCTTCGAGACAGTTGTCAACGGTACGTCTCTCGGCTACAAGCGCATCGACAGGCTCAACGCCACGATAGAGACTACGCGCATTCGATTCCGGGTCACGCAGGCAAACGCGGTGCCCCTGATACAGAGTATTCAAGTGCTTGGCACCAAGACTTCTTAAATGTAGCCTAGCTTAGAACCTTGGATTGGAAAACACGATAAAGATGACTAGGATGTGGTCAGATCAGCCGTAACGTCTCGCGATGAGTCTTCAGCGCCCATTGAGACTCAACTGACAGCATATAACTTCTAAGCCCGTAGCCATCGTCGTTGTAATGGTCGTCAAAACTTTCAGCACTGCTCTTTGGGAGTATCGAAAAGCCTACCAAGCTATCTTGAAAATCAAGTTCCTGAGATCAACCCAACTACTATCGTTCGGCAACAGAGCACCGCCAATGGAATAAACCTTATAACTCAACCGGTGTCATTCTCAACTTACGTCGTATAATACTAGCATACACAGATTCGTCCTCTCAATCAACTATTGCGTGCTACAGCTGCTTGAAGGAACCCGGCTTCGAACACAAGCTACACTGAGAATCAGTGCAGGAGTGGTGTAGCTTGAGGTCTAATCCAAGCTCCAGGTTGACACGCCGAAGAAAGCCACAGCAGTCTTCACAACAAGGTCGACTTACTAAGATTGATCCCTGTTTAAGAGTGACTGGAGGCTCAACTTCCTTCAGGCGTGAAAGCCTTTCCCTATGGTACCTCTGTGCCTGCTGCTCCTCGTATGCGTCATCTGACAACTCTTCCAGGCTTAGTTGTATGAAGTCTCCAACCTCATGTTCAACTTCCTCCTCAACTTCCCAGGGCAAGAAAAGATGCTTGTAAACGAAAAAGGCGATGAGCTGCTTCTCTGCGTGGCAAGCATGATACTTTCCGCTGCATCCTTGATCTTTTTGGTTTGCCGGGAGCGAGTGGCCGACAAGCTGGCAAAGCCAGCGCACTTCCTCTGTCCAACTCCTACCCGAGACTTGAACATCGGAGTCCTCTTCATGAGTCCACCCACTCATAGCCGCAACAGCGGTATAGTTGGGGCCCCGATAGAGCAAGGCCACAGTCTTCCATTGATTGGGTACGTCAAAGGTGTGGATTAGTGCTAGGGACGTGTGTTCCTCCGGCGAACGATGGAATATGAAACTCGACGGGATATGACGTGCTGATTCGTGCTCCTCCAGGTCTTCGCCCAACAAACGGACAATCGTACGGCGGTCTCTGTCTCTCTCATACGTATTCTCTACGTAGACTCCACTACTCCAAGAATGACGCTCTTCGACGTTGTTTCGAAATGGCCTCGCGAAGTCTGCGGCTCGGAATGGTCGACCATGGGAAACACAAGAAATCGCTTTGTCGGCGCCGTACTCCAAAAGACATTCGACATTTTGTACTCGTCCCCATAGTGCGGCCTCCATAAGTGGAGATCGCCCGTCCATATTGATGGCATTTGGGTTCGCTCCTTTCCGTAGGAGAAGCTGAACCATTTCGGATGAGCTTTCGCATGCAGCGAGGTGAAGCGCTGTGTTGCCAGTTACTTTAATTTCGTCTTCAAGCACTTCGGCCACTTCGGTGGCATCGTCTTCGCTTCCAGATTCGTAATTGTTACGTGGAAGCCGAGAAATTCGACGAGCCTCAACACCGTGGAGAAGGATATCCGCGTCTTTCGACGATTCCAAATAATCGCGCACTTCTCCGACCCTTCCACAAACCAAATCGCTGACCACAAGAGCAATCCTCTCGGTCATGAGGCTATCGTTCTCGAAAACCTGTATCTTCTCGTTTGCGTCGGTCCACTTCTTTTGGTGTTTGTAGTCGTCGCTCGTGGGCTTCGAATCATCCTCGTCGAAAGCCTCGTAGTATTCACTCGGATCAGCCCTCGTGGAGACAAATATGCCTCTCTTTTTGTCGATCTCATAGCTCATGTCGCCCGAGCCCTCGTCAAAGGGGAATATGATTGTGTAGCCGCGAAGGTCATCCCCAGATTGATCGCAGTGCGATAACCGTCGTGGCGGAGGCTTATAACGGCCCTTGAAGCTGTGGCGGTGTGTTCGTTCACAATCCGGGCAGCGGACATAGACGTTCGAATCATCCCACCACTGCACTTCCGCTCGATAAGAGTGGCTTTTCATCGTTCCGTGAGATGCGGCGACAATTGGGCCTGCCAGCCAATCTTTGGTGAAGGGTCTTGGACGCTATGAAGCTCCCCAACCAGATCAGACGGGCTATGATGGAACTAAGAAGGAATTCTATGCCGCTGTAATGTACAGGCTATGGCGCTACAATAGAGTTGATAAAAATAACTCTCACTAAGATTATGCCCTCGCATTTACCGTCTCACTAACATCTAATGCAGTATCGATGATTGGTCAGAAAGCATTAGTCGCAATCGCAATTAGCCGCCATCAGGCCTCTCCTGATCCTAATTTACAAGCAGCGGTTTCCTTGTAGGTTGAGTTGGACTTGCTCCCAACACATGTTCGGCGCTTATCTTTGGACGCATTGCCATTGGACCGATCTTGGAATCAGAACCAATCGCAACGGGTAAGGGCTTCATGAATCAAACGACCCTTCAATTTGACTTCCAGTCCCCATAACACAACGGGGCGCTAGACTCCAACGACACGTACGGAAGATAAGAAACAATGCTCAAACAAGTCAATGATACATCGATCAGCCTTGTATCACTATGTTTATTCAAGACTTTGTTTGCCCTCCTGTCACCCCCGAAGTAATGACGAGTTTGATGACATGAGCCTGGCGGGATATTCGCCGCTAATGACCCAACAACCGTATTTCTCTATGGATGGAACAAACTGTCATCAGTCTTCTGTCTAGTAGTCTTTTTCTTCCTCCTCTGCCGTTGCTCGGAAAGAAACGACACTCGCTCTCTCCAACCAGATTCACGTGGAGGCTCGTGTCTCGGCAACCCTGAGTCGTTATGGTCCATCGTGGCCATCCAACTCAGCTTTTCCCCTTGAGGAGGCAAGTACGCGGCAGCGTCTTGCTTACTTGACTTCAACGTTCGCGATAGCCACGCTCTGATGAGATCCCATTTATACCCATACATAAATGCAAGCCCTATGACTCCAAAAGTGACTGGCAGAGCTGTGGACCAGAATATCTTCTGGCTGTGCTCCGTGTCTCTGATATCGGTAGTGTTCATCCCAAAAAAGCTCGTAACGAACGACCTAAAGGGCTCAGTCAGCTCTTGATGTGGCAAACTTCCAGATTGATGGGCTTACAGAGGCAGGAAAAACAGTGTCACGATAGTAAACACCCGGATCGCTTTTCCGTGACCCTCGTCAAGTATCTCGATCCTCTGCTTCGTTTCGTCTCTCAACGCCCGTGTTCTTTTTCGTAAGACCCAGAGAGCTCTATTGCGCTCGACAAGTCGCCGTTGTTGCCTGCGTACACATTTGCTCTCAAGTTTGAACATTGACTTCCTTTCTTTGTAGTAGAACCAGTCGGTGGTCGGATATCTGAATGTCAGTGGAGAGAACAGCTTCTGGTAGGCTCTCCATAGCCCTTGCTGCGAGGCAGCCACCAGCTGCAGAGCTTCCAACTCCTCCTCCAGAGCGTGTATCTTTACAAATGCTTCTCTCTTGGGCCTTCTATTGGTGTCGAACCGTAGTCTGGCGGTGTGGTTGCGGTAATGGCTGATGAGATCAAGTCTCTTGTCAGAGCCGCGGAAAAACATATTGTTCTGCAGGTTGCTGATCAGCGAGGCCACTAGGAACTCGGGTCCAATAGGTGCTATGATGATTCTATTCATATCACCCTTGCTAGTACCAAGAAGCATGATGTCATCTTTGGCGCGGTTGAGCAGTCCCCGAATCTGTTCCGCGGTTGTCTCCGCCGCTCTTTTGAGGTGTTCCAATCGCTTTTCGGCATGCGCACCATGGGTCAGATCTGTACGGAGCGCAAACCTGTTCATCCAAGAGAACTCTTTGGATTTCAAAACGAATAGGCGAATGATGCGTTCGAAGGCCTCAACCAGGCTACTAGGGAGATGGGGTCTGCTGTCGCTGTGGTTGAGCGAGCCATTCAAGCTAGTCACGCTTGTGACCAACTTGTGCAGTTCGTCTGCCCGTTCGAACATGTCTTGCAGATCAGAGACAAACATTGAAGTACTCTCAGTGTTTGAGCTGCCTAACCTTGTAACTCTCGGTTCCACATGCGAGCGTCGGTTCTTCTGGTATATCCAGACGAAGCAAGGGTCGTCAAATGGCCTGCCACGTTTCGCTCGTCGAGCACATGTCTTTTTCGCATGATGTTCATGCCAATGATCAAGAGCATCGTCTGGTGACAAGTATTCTCTCTCATCATGACATTCCTGACACCGATGGGAATCAGTTGTGTCATTCTGGCCAGGTGGTCCTTCGTGCGGAACAAAGGCAGCCGCAGAGGTCAACACAGACCATGCTTGGTTCTTTTGCGCGTCGGACATGTCTATCGACCAGCGAAGTCCCTAATGAATTTTAGCTGAGACTGTGGTCTCTAAATGGTTTGTAAGAGGATAAAGTCCGTCTTACCCGCAAGATCGAGTCGACCGACCCCCAGAACCGTCTACAAAGTGGATGCGAAACGAGTCCGCTGTTATTAGGGAGAAACGCAGACACGATTTTTCGAGAGACGTGGAGTAGTTCTGATGTCACAGAAGTACTAGTTTCCAGATTCATGTCTCCTATTCGGGAAAAGCTCCCTCTCGGGTCGAAGCTGTCTCGTGATGCTTCAGGTCGCAATGTGTTGAAGCTCCCGTTGTCGTCTGCCGGTGGTTTACCAAATTGCGCGCGATCTTGTGCTTGCCGAAGAAAAGTTTCCAATCGGTTTGTGACTTCGTCCTCGGTGCACTCAAAAGACGACTTGTACCACTTGCGAAACTTGTCCGTTTCAAATGAAGCGTTCAGGTCGTCTAGTAACTTCGTGATGACTTTCTCAATTTCGGGTTGAGATCTCCTATCATCGTTCCATGTCAGTCTCCAGGCAAGAAACGGAACAAAGTCCATCTCGGCCAAGTTTAGAGGGGGGAAGTCTGCGGAAAACTGATCGGAGTACAAAGATTGGCCGGCAATCGACTCTGCTCTTGATTTTGTTCTCGACCCCGTAAAGCGAGGAGTTCCCTGAAAGGTTTCACGTGGATCAGACCATCTCGCCAAATATTCGGGATCTAACGGTGAGTTCTGGGCGTAATTGATGTTTGAGCTCCAAGAGGAATTTCGTCGTCGTCGTTTAACGTGAATATCCAGGGAATAGGAAGATTCAGTGCCAAAAGACGTGGACCGACCCATCCTTCGAAACGGCATCGTAAATCTTGTCTCTTGCGGATTGTTCCAGAGCCAATCCTCTCGTTGAGTAGAAGGACCCCTGGTCTTTGAAATATGTGCCCTGTTAGTACACCTCGCTCGAGGTTCCATTGCTTGAGAGTTATTTCCCACCGTTTCATTTTGCCGTATTGCGCTTTCTCCATGATCCTCAAGTCTAAAAAGTTCAGGTGCCTCAGTGAACCTTGGTTTCTCTCGGGACCCAGCGATGCTCGCTTGTCTTGATCGAGAGCTGATCTCAGATGGGGACGTGGTCAAATCAACCGTCCCGTCGAGTGACGAATTCTCAGCGCCCAAGTGAGAATCAAAAGACAGGGTAGAAGTTTCACTTTCATCCGCGTCTTCACCATCGTCTCCATCGCCATTGCCAGAAACATTGTCGTCTTCGTTGCCACTGTCGTTCGCATTGTTGTTGTCGGTGTTGCTATTGTTCTCGTCGCAATACTCCTCATCATCTTCGGCAACACCATCAAAGTCTTCTGGCGGGCCGGTACCATACTCCCACATCTCAGGACGCACAACCATTTGCATGTTCAGCTCAGATCCTCTGAACTCAGACCGGAAAGAACTGTCCAGTTGTCATTCAAACTGAGCTTTTGAAATCATAAAGGCTGGTAATCTTACCTTCGGCGCGAGTACCTTCCACTTCCAAGACTGCTTCGGCTGCTTGAAGTAAGAAGCTTTGCGGAAAGGGCACGAAACTCCTCGTTCGGTGTTCGATTTACCGCATTTTTATCGCGAAGGCCAAACACGTAGTCTTCGATCACTCCTTCAGCAAGCAGGTTCAGCCACGTGTCTGCTGTGATTAACATCCCGGCCTCATCAACCAACACGTAGTCTGTAACATTCCATCTGATCTGACTCTTCACTGCCAGTTGTATGGCATGCCTCAGAAAGTCCTGGGACACTCAGTAAGACTGCGAATTTGGGGAAAAGGGGATGACCAACCACATATTTACAAGTTGTACTTATAACCACATGATACCGGCACATATCTTTCTCGTCGATTAGACGGATTGTGTACGTTCCTGTCGGCGATGATGTCTCATCAATCGTGATGAGATTGCGTTGTAAATCTACCGCGGGTCGCTCTGAGTAAGTGATGATCAAGTCTGCAGCGATCGTAAGTTGTTAGAAGGCGATGGCTTTTGCGTCTAGGTATTGAAAGGTTGCATCATACCAGAACCGAGGACTAGAGTCCATATTTGTGAGACTTGTATCGAGGATGGCCCCATACCCTCAACACGAACTCTTTCAGCCCCGCCACTGGAATCGTGAGGGGCTCCATCGTCGTAACCATATAGTATCTCCCGAAGACTTCGCGTGTAGTGATTTCCGTGGTATCTTTTTCCAGAGGGCTTGTCTGCCAGGACAGCGAATGGAGCGGAGGTAAAGTTAACTGGCTCAGTATCGGACACGTCTTCGTCGGGGTATCTCCCAAGGCTGCTGTTGTATCTGCCGATGTATTGAATCATTGAACCAGACTCAATGTAGGCGCCCGTTTCTGAAAACCTCTCGCATCTAGCCGTAACTTCTGTGAGGACTGTGGATGCAACTAATTTCAAGGACTGAGTTATGAACGGGCAGTCTCTAACAAGGGTCTGTAAGTGTCAGTCTGGGACCAAATCAGCAATCGAGTTAGAAATACCTTCAAAGTTTCCATGTTCAAAGACTGGGTCTGTACGTGACTGAATCTCATTAGCTTCGCCATGGTTTTTGGAGGCCTGGATTTCTACTTACAGCCATCTCATACGAACCAGAGACGGGTCAGCCATTCCGAAACCGTCGTCATTCGGACAAACCAGGGTAATTTTCTCATTGCCGGCGCGATCCATGTAGAACTCCGCGGCATGTGCTGAGTAAAGTTGTGTCACAGCACCGCCTATGAGACTCGAGTTCCTCTGATTCCAAGCCATCATTTCCCCAGAAGTGTTGTTCATGATGTTGTCCGTGAAATCTTTTGTGTTCTCGAGTGTCAGAACTCCGGAATAGACCACTGGGCCATCAATATCATCAAGCTCTTCTTCATCCAACGTAGATTCCAAATCATCTTCGCCTTGTTCATCGCCATTCATTCGCGGATCTGGAGATTCCGGTGCCGGAGCGTCCACATTTATCCAATTAAAGCTTCGTTCTCTGCTTTGACGTTCCGGTTCCCACGCGTCGCCATTTTCTGAACTTCCTTGCCCGAAATCACGGATGTGTTCGCTCAACCTGAGGAGTTCCTCAATGAGATCGGGCTTGAGGGCTAGTTGCACAATGATGGTGTCGCCATCCTCGGCGAAAGGGTACCCAAGCTCGATGAGTGCGCGCCTGGACACGATACCTGCAGGAATCCGGGTTGTGCCTCTCTCAGGGCGGGAGCCTCGATGGAAAGAATTGACACTAGGCGTTGGCGATGAGGCGGGGGAGTCTGACCAATCTTCGAAACCATCTTCCTCAAAGCGAATCTGTTTCGGCTCGTGCGCCATGATAGTCGTGCAAACACCAAACGCGAGGAAGGAATTGAGTATCAATCGATGGGCCTCTTACCCATTCGCTAGGCTTCATAACGCGTCGACTCCGCAAGCACAGATTGTAGTGTTTCAAATGTTCAATTAACTCTTGAGGCATTTCCCCTCAACAAAATAGCAGCAATGCAGGAAGGATCCAGAGCCTTGTGCTTACATACCTCCTTCGGAGCTAACTTCAGCTGGCGATCAGCCAAGCAAGGGTCACATGCATCATGACGCAGCTCGCCTTCAGCCCACCTCAGCGATCACCAGAGTGGAAAACCTTTCGCTTTCACCTCGACCTTTGACGACTTGCAGATTTATGCTGCTCCTACAGCACAGACACGCCGTTCATGATTGTACGTATTTCGTAGTTGAGAAGTACAGTATGATAGCGGACCGGGCACAAGCGATATTCTAAAAGCACACATGACTCTATAATCAAAAGACACTCAATAGATAGGAAAGCAAAAAGATACTCAGAAGCTAAATACAGCCATAGGCTTAATAACGAACGACACGCCGGGCGAGACCCACACCTCCGGACGGGACTCCGAACTTGAGTGGGACCACGGTGCTAAAGTCCGGAACTCGGAGCTTGGCAGCCTCTGATTGCTGGTCTAGCAGTGCTGTTTAAGTATGCTTCTAATGCCAAAGTGCAGGCAGCTTAATAGCCTGAAGTTAAAATCATAAGTTAATATAGTTAGAGATTAATAATGCTAAAGACTCTTACTTGATTTTATATGTAACAGTTAAGTAGATAATACTATAGCTACTAGAAAACGCTTATAGACTTTTAATAGATTTTTTATTAAATTACGCTTAACTTAAACTATTAATATATAGCTCTTTATACTATTAGATTAAGGGATAATGAGTTAAAAGAAGGGTCTTCTAGACCTATCAGGCTGATATATATGTAGCTAGAGGGGTAAACGTGTGGTGTGTTAGGCGCACTCCTCATCTACCTGCCAGCTTCGGGAGTTGGCGTCCGTCCTATCCTTGTTAGACCCTGGCTCCATGCTGATCTCTGCAAGCTGAGCGAAGTCACAGGGTAGAACGGTTTGTGGGACTTAGGCCCTCAAGGTTCTCGGCCGTCGCCTTGACAAGTGGGTGAAAAAAATAAACCGCCACTCTACTCACCACTTCAACGTACCTACGGCGGCGGGTTTTCTTCTCACCCGATAGCATAAGAAGGGCCAAATCCTGCTATAGAGCCATGTCAGCCTGGAAGCTTATTAAGAAATCTGGCCGAATATTGAGCGTTAAATGTGTACTCATTAGATATGGCGAGGTGTAACTGAAAAGAATAAGGGTAGTCGCGTTGTATCGCGCGGAATATTGCAATTGGTGGTTCGCTCGAACCGACTTACCTGTTACGGCCCAACTAGTTGGGATGCTGGCCGGCGTAGTTACATATTACAGAACAGGGATCAGAGGCACATCATTATTGAGACTTTTGTCTTGTGGTGCAGTTGGTTGCCCTGACCTGCTCGTAACAGTTTCGTGCCCCACTTACTTGTACGATCCGGATGTTCAGGGTAGTAATGGGCACTGATGGGATAGGTCGTCGAAACAGTGCTGGACAATTTTTCCCGTCAACTGACATGAAAGAAACTGGGAATAGGCCCAGGACCCTTGACATTAGGCATTTCATTGCAGGTACGAGGGCGCTGGCTGATTTGCCTTTGAGAAGGTGTGGAGGCGAGGCTCCAGACGTCTAGGACCTCCGATCACGCCCAGTCAGCAGAAGCTCGATCACATACTACCAACAGGCAAGACAAGCTATAAAAGAAATCCGTTTCTTTGATGGATCGTTGAGTGAGATGTGTCATCCTGTTCACTATCGTTTCTCATATCATTTCTGATTTCTACCATGGCGACTCACGAGGCTCCTACCGGAGGTATACCGGGCGACAAGCCAACGAGCACACTCCTCAATGGTGCGATTGTGGATGAAATCTCTGTGGATGATCATGACCAGCGCATGAATGACCGCGCGCTTCTCTCACCCGACGAAGAGAAGAAGCTGTTGCGCCGCGTCGACTTCCGCTTGATGATCTTATGCGCCATCATCTTCATGATCAAAAATGTCGATGCGAACAACGTGAGTATCAGCCATCGCCTCCGGAAGCTTAATCTTGACGACAGCGGAACTGATCCACATCAGGCCGCAAATGCCAGAATCATGAACAAAGGCACCGACCGGAACATCATGACGCAGCTGAAAATGACTGCCGATGACTACAACTGGGTCAGCACGATTTACAATGTGAGTGTCTCGAAGCCAATGCTGACAATAGTCAAGCCAACAATTCACAGATTCCGTTCATCATTTTTGAGATTCCGACCAACATGATCGTTAAAAAGATGCTCCCTTCACGATTCCAGTCGCGTATCATGGTAAGCGCCCAAGGATATTCTGCTTAGAACTCCAGCAGTAGCACGGCTTGCTGACCTTCTAGGTAACTTGGGGTATTGTTCTGGCCTGCCACGCTGCCGTCACAACTAGTGGTGGCCTCCTCACCGCCCGTTTCTTCCTTGGTCTTGTGAGCTGTCGCTGAAGTCGGTCCATGAGAGCAACGAGGTTGACCACCCAACAGGCCGAATCTGGCATGTTTCCAGGCATTATTCTGCAGATGAGCTACTGGTACCGCGCCGATGAGATGACTCCCCGGCTTTTGATATTCTGTGCGTGATACTCATCATGATGCCTCAACGCTGTAAACTGGAACATGTCACTGATGTAGCAACAGACTCATTCGAATTCTTTGCCAACATTGTCAGTGCTGTTCTGGCCTTTGGGTTCAGTAGCATGAACGGGCGACATGGCTTGTCTGGCTGGCAATGGTCGGTTTGCTTTGCCTTGCGTTGGCTTTTCCAGCCCTTGAACGCATTGTTAACTAGAATTGCAGGTTCTTCTTGGTTGAGGGTGTGATCACGATTGGCTTTGGCGTTTTACTCTTCTTCATCTTCCCTGATTGTGAGAACCCCTGCCCCCGCCATACCTCTTGACGATTGCTCACAAGTATGGTATCCAGTTCCCGCGCAGGCCAAATGGCTGACCGACAAGGAGAAGCGATTCCTCCAAGCTCGCCTACCACCAAACGCCCCTCGGTCGTCCGAGAGCAATTTCAAGTGGAGCGAGATCTGGGATACCATGAAGGACCAGCGCCTCTGGTGGTTCGCGTTCATCTGGGCCACCAAGACGATTGGCAGCACAGGTCTTTCGTTCTACTTGCCTACCATCGTCGCCAGTCTGGGACTTGCGTGAGTGATGATCAATGCCGCAGCAAATGGCCATACAGTATTAACTAAGGTCTCGCAGTTCCATCGCCGAAAGCCAACTGCTCACCATTCCATCCTCGGTTCTAGCTATCATCCTCATTGCTATCAGCGGTTACTTGACGAATTCGTTGAATTTGCCGTACCCCCTTGTGGCACTGGCGTATTTGATCTCCAATTTAGCTTGCTATGGCGTGATGGTCGCATACCCGAACAACGGAGGCGTGTATGCTGCGACGCTGATTGCTGCGGGTGTCTCGCTGGCCTGGTTCGCAACCATGTGGCCATGGCGTCTCCAGACGACGTTTAGGGCGACGGGTTCCGCCTTTGCCATTGCATGGGTGAACGCCCTCGGCGGTATTGGAACTGTTGTTGGGCCCCAGATCTTTCGCTCCAAGTATGCACCCGAGTACACAGTGTCGTTCGCGGTGGCCATGGGTATGACGGGGGCGTGTATCCTTGCCATCTGCTGGACTTGGTGGCTTACAAGGGAGACGGAGAGACAAACCCGCCAGCTAAGGAAGAGACGTCTCGCCGCCCGCAAGACGAACGAGGTCATCCTGGATGACGTTGACATCGACGCTGATTTCAAGACAACGAGGGCACACGCCTAGGCTAGTGTCAGGCACTTCGTGCTTGAAGCTCGACCGAATCGCCGTCAGAAATGGTTGAAGGTAGTGCGGGATAAGATCATGGTCTTTTTCCTGTCCGGGTACAGATCGTCTAGCGTGTGTTGCCGGCTCTATTCGCAGGTTGCCCGGGTGGTGTGGCAGTACAGGGTCTCCGAAAGCTCGCGCAGAAGCGGTTGAATCAAATGTATGTATCACATTTGCGTACAGAAGTGGCAATGAGATGCGGTCCCTGGGACTGGCAAACCCGCACCTGCTCTCTTTGTCGGTGTTCAGGCATCTTCATGTGCCCTTCGCGTGAAGATGAAACGGCTTGCGTTGTCGACAAAGGTTCCCTGGCAAGACTTGGAGCCGAACCAGAACCGAACTTATTCATGGTCTTCTTAGAAACAAAATACGATTGTTATCGCGACGTAGATGGGCCTGCAATGTGTTGAAGACGCCACAGCAGCAACAGTAACGTCAGGGGGATCACGTCCACGGACACAAATGATAGCTCGATCATCCAGGTTCATCCCAGCACCAGGCTAGGACACCTGGAACCCTGAATGCAGACACATGCAGTTGCAAAATTAGCCTTCGCCATCAACTCATGAGGCGCGGACGGAAGGCAGGTACAATCTTGTTCTTTACATTGACATTATTGAATGAAAATAACAACATATAACATCATGTGGTACCAATGTGATGGGTTCTCCCCTTCATTCAGGAGGAAACTCGGTTGCCGAGCGATTGCCGAGGGAACTTCCTCGGCCGAGCTCGCAGCCATTTGCTCTGTTGGATCAGGTTTTCGAGCCACCCAAAAGGCCCTTGTTAGGTTACCGACAGGTGTTGTTCACAAAAGTGCCTTGAACCTGCTGTTTGATTGGCTTCGCCGCAACATGTTGCGCAAGGATATTCACTGCCAAGTGGATCGTACAGACGCATAATCAGATTTACTGATTGATAAGATGCATTTCTCTCACAGTGATAAGATTGAATCAACATGGGGACATGGGACATGGGTCCACGTATGCTTAACTCTCAGCCTGCAGGTCTGATTCGAGAATGCTTTAATTGTAGGAGATAAGCTTACTTACTACCTCATCTGCAACTTGGCAGGGTCGCTAACTGAATGGAAGCTCGGTCTGGTCTTAATCTTTACTCTTTTCACTCATATATCGCTATCTTGAGTGACTAAGGATACAGGGATTACTGGAATAAGAGACGCACTAGTTGATAGTTCTACAATAGTTAATAGGGGTTATAATATATACTAATTAGTATTGTTTATAAATGGCTACAAGAAGAAAGTTCAAGCGTGGTTCTTTCTTATATTCTCCCTTTATTAATATATTAATATCAAATTAGAAAAAATAGATAGAATACGTCTATAAAGAGAGGTAATAATAACTAGAAAGTAATCTAACACGCGGCTATTTCTATAGACGTTATAAGATGCAACTTAGACCTTGTTATAGTAAGTAACACTGTAAATCACTGATTTGATGCGCTCTCTTATTCTCGAGTCTTTAATTTCCCAATTGACTGTCTTGTTAGAGCAGATCTGGATTGTATCTAGGAAGAATGAAGCAAGTGCTGAATTCATCTAAACAAGAACGTGCCCATCAATAAGAGTACTACCCCTCCCACACGGCCAGACTACCTTCGTTAACGAAATTGATTGCCAGACGTACTGTACTTGGCATCTACGTCCATGAGACCACATCTGAAAGTAGCTTCATCGCGAATATATAGCCGCCCATCAAATCCTTTGGTAGCGTTGGTCTTATCACTCAAGGCCTTTTGCACTATACTCTTTAACTGCAGCTTGCCAGCTTTGACTCAAGCTGCAGTTGATCTCGTAGCTGATCTCACCAATCTTAGACGATCCCGGGGCGCCTGAGGACCATCCAGTCGAGTTACGGCATCTAGGGGCACCTATCTGCTGGGGCTCCTAGTACATGCATTGCTATGCCACTGGCTCTTCGACGAAGAAGATACACCTTCTTGTCAGTTATCTCTCCCTGAAGCATCCATGCTCAGGAGTATCACATGTTTTTGTGGAGGAGCGGGCGAGTAGGAGCGATCATGTCAGCTCTCTCTGAGAAGAACCCATCCTTCTCCTCTCTATAGGTTGCATCCTTGGCGAAAAGGATGCAGCTTATTTCGACGACTTATTCCCTGCAAGTCTCCCAGAGAGGAGTAGCGGGCACCTATCAAGACGTTTCACTTGAAGTTTGCAGGCAACTTTAGTATTCGCAACTTAAGTCAGTCGTTGACCGAACCTCGATTGGGAGGGTGCTGCAAGCGGCGCAATCCATCGCTCATGATACAGATACCGCAGGCGCAACCCATGCCTGGCCCAGAGAAGCACAAGTAAAAGCTCCAGGCTCATCTTAACACGCCATGGAAAACTTCACAGAATGCCCATACCCTTTCTAAGTAACAAATTTTAGTGCGTCCGTGATGCCAGATGTGTATGTTGGGTCTGAACTCGTAGGCCAAAAGCCAATGAGTTGAACCCTGATAGAGCGAACGATTGCGAGAACGATCTCGACTCTCTCCGTGGGATAATGGTAAATTCCATGCTCATGGCTGTCGTTGAGATCTTCAATGACTTCGATCTCTGGTTCCACCCGAGCCAAGATGATATTGCAATATGGGCAGTTCATATCGAGTCTGACACTCCTTCAAGCTTTGCTTGCACAGGTTTCGATTCGTTGCGTGGGAAAAGGCGGTTAGCCTAGTGCCGTGAGATCAAATGCACACTTGTAGCAGCTAGTATCATCTAAGATCACCGGGAGTCCATCATTCCAGGTACTAAAGCAGCCCTGATCGATATCTACACCACCTTGGTGAACGCCAAGGACTTTACCGAGCGGTTCCCAATGGATGGCAGGAACAAGAGTCGGAGCGCATAGTCTATGCCCGCCTGCCGTTGTTCCAGGACCTGTTCGGGGCTGGCAGGGACGCTGTCGCCAAAGGTTCCCGCATGAAAGACCTCTTTTGGATGGTCACGAGACTGTCTGTTCACAGTCTTGAAGTTTTCCAGTTACTCGTCGCAAATCTCGAGGAAATGATTCACAGTCTCGATGAGCTCAGCCCAACATTCAAAAGTTTGGATCGACAGTGCTCTATCATGGTGTCTGAGATTTGATCGATTGTCGATCCTGGTCAACTTAAGGCCATGAGGGACGCTTTTCCAAACTCTATCATCGAAGTCATCACCTCTTATGTCGAAAATCGTGGAGGCACTTGACAGCCTGTCATCCCTAACATGAGTATCCACGATCATGACAGTTAATGGCCATACCACAACATCTGCCAAGTGCCTTGCGAAGGCGTATACTAGACGTACTCACCCCACCAAGTAAACTCTGTAGAGAGTTTCGGTGAGGGTCAGGAGGATCTGTGAGAAGCCTGCAAGACAATCAACCTGTCAATGCAAGTTCGCGGCTTCCGACGTGCCCTCAATCATGACCAAGTCTCCGAGCGAAGTGGTCACTGTCGCTTTTGCTATCTCATGCTAGATTCATACGAAACGCAGAAATGTTTTGTGTTACAGGTAGAGTGAGATTCGACAGTAACCATCCGGCAGGTTGGCGAGGTCGATTACTTCCGAAGGCCCTCGTGACAGACATAGCTTCTTCAAGCACGATGATCCTCACACAGGTGGGGCTAATCATATCGTGACTTCTGAAGGTATCTCATGTCATTTTGCGTCTTACTTCAGAAGAGCATGTGCCGATTGATACGCTTCATGATATGTTCGGTGTTATTCAAAAGTGGCCTTCCAACTCGAGGAGAAGGCCAAGCCACTGACTCTCCCAGCAATGTACACCTCTTCAGGGAATGGCTCGCTCAATTCTGTCGTACTTATGAGAATCGCAAGTATGTTACTTATTCAGGGATTCGATTATGAAGACGAAGCTGGCTGCATGAAGCTTCCCTTCAGAGTGATCGATGTTGAACCCAGTCACGGATCACAAAAGCAACGACTCGTAATTAACAACTGCCCACTATGACTGGCTGTTACCCAACACTGAGCCATTGCTGGGGCAACGTCCAGCCAACAAACACGACAATGGGAACCGTCAAGTCGTGACACATAGCATTGCCGGAAAGGGGCTTAAGTAAGATCTTCCAAGGCACAGTTTGGCTTATGAGAGAGCTCGGCGAGCGTTTTCTCCGGATCGACTCATTGTGCACGGCACAAGATGGTTCTAAGGACCTTCTGCTCACACAAGCTACATAGGATCGATATTCGAGCATTCACAGTAGCGATCGACTCGAAAGACCCAGAGGACTGGGTTAGTGCGTATCAAGATCCCCCACTAGATTATGTTTTGCCGGCCAAATAATCATGAGTCAGTTGAGGAATTCTCAGAACGCAGATCAGCTATTCCAAGCCTTCCAATCGCAGGCGGGACTCGTCATTTACGGCGGCGTTGTCAATATAGTTAGTGTTGTGCCGAAAGGCTCTCACATACGACCATACCCATTGGAAAACTCGGGATCCCGTCCGCTCTCCCATAGATAAGCCAATGAGGGCCGGATTAGTAGTTGGGTCGGTGACGACCAGCGAATACCTGGTGTTGTATGTTTTTTGCTAGTTTTGACATCGTTTAGCATAAAGCCTTCTATGTTGTGTCTAACGTACCCGTGCACCCAAGTTACACTGTTGTGGTTTGTATGCTAGGATGTGCTCTTTTAGGCTTGAAAACAATGTTTCTTAAAGATAAGTAGCAGCCTTCTATTGCCTACCTATCCACGATACCTTACTGCGTTGAAATCCCTTTTATTAAGGAATAGAACCAACCCAGTAGTCTCGGACTGCCTCTCTGGCTTAACGCTGGCTGTGTAGAGGTTGGCACAGTAAGTCTATGCTACCTATAAGAGAGAGCTAATTAAAGGTCGATTAAAGTACCTTCTTGTTGACTTTCTATTTGAAGAGTCTTGAGAGTTCACGCTGTCTCAAATTCATCGAGTTATTGCAACATGTATACTATCACAAACTCGCCAAACTGACAGCCTTCCAACCACCCAGAAGAGTTCCTTAACACACGCCTTCTACCAACACGCTGAAACTTAAACTGCTTAACGGAAATATGTGGTTCACTTTCTGAAGCCATGACTGACGGCGGCAAGAAGTCGATATATATTGGCTCCTCCTCATCGTTCTGCTTGAAGTACTGCTGAATGGGGGCTGCCACCACCTGACCGGGATTTTCCAGTATATTTATTGCTACCCATCCTATCATTTTTCTGATTTCTTCAAACTATAGTGCGTGGCTCGATCCATGAAGAAGCAACTAGGACGATCCGAAGTGAAATTGGTGAGGCCACGGCTGGTGCTGATTACGATAAGGGAACTTGCCGATTGTACCTTCAAATAACGTTGGTCATCTGGGGCTAGAGATGTGAACTCCTTTTTTGTCACTGGACCTCGAAAGAGAACTCGCAGAGCGATTGTGGTTGTGTTAGATTGTTGTTCGATTTCTAATTCATGCTTCCGTTGACTATCAACGGCATCTGAAGGATTTGAAGGCATCGAGGGCCGCACGATTTCACATCCTTCCAAGAGGAAAATCATCAGTCATGAGCATTGGGAGGCTTACTTCGATCCGCAATCTCATTCAACGACCTCGCCGATGAATACCGCGCCTGGTGTTATGCGCTTCGTCGCGCCAACTTTCGCTGCCAGTCTTGACAGCCTAAGGGTCTGTCGATGTGACTTCTCAGAATATCATAATAAGCATTGCATTGTTACTGGAATGAGGGAGTTTGGTTAGAGCCAAAGAAGCAGGGTTGGAGCATTCAATTGCGAGGCGTATTGGCTCTTTGGGATGGGACCTGGGGAAGCAGCTCGGTTTCTCGACGCCGTTAACTTGTTGCGAGCGACATCGAACTTCCAGGTACTCTCAAACAATTCAGAATGTGGAAATGCTCGAGCAGACGATGGAATAAGACAAATTAACGTTTGGCCGCCTCTGCATCACGGAAGCGAAGCAGTTCAGCAGTGATCTCTGGATGGTCGCGCAGAACATATCAGATGTGTTGGATCGGCCAGTCGACAGGTCGAGCCGCGCAGGAAACCAGACGCTGGGAAGAAAGTACAAAAAGCAGTGCAAATTTGAGGCACCCTATTCAAAGTTTCTACAAAGGTGCAAAATAATTCCCTCCCAGTCAAAACTTATGTCTATCATTGCAATCATCTTGGTGATGCGATGCGGCCTTGCGACTTGGCGACTTCATTCCCATATGGATGTCTCCACAATGTCAGCAACAAAACTGTGGACCGATTCCACGCTAAAAAGTCAGCAGGCGACATCGTAGGTAGACACTGGCGAACCAAACCGCAATTCAGTTGCGCCCGGTACCGAATATTACTAAGGTAGTTACTGTTCAGATACTTCAAATGACCAAATATTGCCCCGCACGCCTTCCCACGGCAGCGGTACAGAATCGTACATCGAGGCAACGGCCGTATCATCCCGTGCCTCCTCATTCCTCCCTCGTTTCCTCATGGCCCAAGTCTCTTGTCCATCGCACATCCATGGATGTCTTGGTACTACATGCCCACGACAACACCACGCCCTCATTGCGCTACTTCCTATAAAGCCCTGCCATGTCTCTACTGGAATTCCGAATCCAGCGGCTGAAAACTGTAACTCACACCCTTCCTACACATTCGAATTCATTTACCGTTCTAATAAACTTTCCGTGAACTTTCACTCTCAAAGACGAGGCCTACAAGATGGCATCCCAGATTGCTTTTCAGGGGTCCATCCAGAGGTATGCCTTCCATGAAGCTCTCGACTTCTCCCTCGAGATTCTCTACAAGAGTCCACATCAACCACCACTTCTGTCTCATAATAGATGCTCCCAAGCATTTGTTGGTTCCCTCAATAATTTAACACCTGCCTTTATAGCGACAACGACACGGCTCCTAAGCCTGAATGCAAGCAGACCCCAGCTGAGACGGCTACGCGACTTCAAAAGTTCCTCTCCGATACGGTTCTTAACACCATTCACTCTGATTACTTCGATCCAAGCATTAGAGCTCAGGACCGGGATAAGAAGATTGCCTCCGACATAAATGGAGCTGCCCGGAGCGTACCGCGCGGAGTAGCCGGAAGTGCCAGTGCCAAGTCCGAAGGCCGAACTGCCAACTCTGATCTTCAGGCCGTCGGGTCGCAATTCGACAATTGAACTTGTGACCCAGGCGCATTCCATATTCCATCTGACACAAGGTACAAACACAGTTGTCGCCCTGTGAGCTTCAGCGGGCACTAATACTCTTTCAGCCTAGATACCCATAAAGCTCCGAAGACATGGCCTGCATTGCATGGATTCTGGTGTGCTCACTACTGCGGAATTGACACAGTGCGGGAAACTATACCACTGTTTGAAGTGTTGCTGTTGATGCGTCAGCAATGAATGATGGATGAACGATTTCTACCGGCCTTTTTTCTTTTGTATTTGGTCACTCCTTTAGGAAATAACAGCAGCACTACTTGCATTACCGTCATATTGTTTCTGCATTCTCTTAATTCCAGTGTGAGTTACAGAAAGCGTGAAAGATCGAAGACAGTTTCTAAAGACGCCGACGACAGCTTTGGCGACAGTGGTAGGAGAGACGTACCGCTTTATTAGTCATCCGAACTGCCCCGGTTCCAAGGTATCCACACCACCGGACCGGCCTCCGATGTACACCAGTGAATCCGGGGACGGGGCAGACAGAGCCCGGAAGTTCGGAGCTAGACAATCTGCGGCATTCGGATCCTCGAATCACCGGTCCTGCAGTACTCACCTGAATAGACTCCCGCACGAAGATTCAAACTCCCGTTACATGCGACAGCAAACAAGCTTCTTGACACCTCGCCCACGCGTCCCTTCCCGAGTCATGCCGCCCTCAGCCCCCAAAACGGGCACGGATATCCAATCCCCCTCCCCAAAATTACGACCAGCGCAGAACCAAAACTCCCAAGAACTCTTGACAAATTACCACGCCCAATTCCCCATCCCATAGGCCGCCCGCCTGAATTATCTCTCCCGCGGGTCCCTGCATATCCATCACTTCTCTTCAGTGCAAACAGCCCCAAGCTTTCTTCACGTCGGGTCCGAATCGTCCTGGTTGGAGCGTCTTCGAGTGTGGAGATCGACGTGGTCCGGGATACCTAGCCCCGGCTCCCCTCCACCGTCGCGGAAGGAAGCGATCTGATGTTCTTAATGAGAAAAAAAAAGTGCGATCTGTTTTAAGCTCCGCTCCGCTCCCTCTCTCCCCTTCCTGTCAGTGAAACCTGCGACAAAGCAAAGCACCTTTATCTCCACCCTTGAGAGCTACTTTCCTTCTTCAGAGCTCTCGGCCGCCACACTTGCTTATCCCCCCTACCTCGGCACGCACACCGTTTGACAGTGACGATGGCATCGCCGAACCAGCCTCTGGTGAGTTTTGTCTCCGTTTGTGTGACTATGCGGCGTGCTGATGAGTTGCTTGTAGGCTGCTGATGATTTCGACTCGGACTCGGTCATCTCGGAGGTTAGTTATCCCCACAATTTTGCCCCTTTCGAGATGCCTGGCCTACGCGTCTGGGGTTTCATGTGTACAGTGAACTTGAAGGCTGATGATATCGCGAGGATGAAAGCCGCCTTCGAGTTTGGAATCGATTCGTTCGAGCGTGTTGAGGTATCAGGTCGAGAATGGGAGGACGTATCACTCCATGAGCTCGGGGAGTACGTCGCCACTTCGACATCAGTGAGGCTGATGCTGATGATGCCACAGAGTACTCGTTCCCCAATGACGAGAGGGAAGCCGAGCGTCTTGGTATGTTGGCTTTGTTGCGGAGGATGACGGAGAACTTGGTTGACGCTGTTTGACGGTGACAGATTTGCAGCATCACATGTGGATGTTGACGCTGCGAGGGAAGCTCTGCTTGTGTCCGAAAGGCGATGAGCCTGCCAAGCGCGTGTTGGATTGCGGTACCGGGACGGGGATATGGGCGATGGAATATGGTGAGAGGGTTCTGTGATTCACGAATGATGAGACTGACGATATCACAGCGGATGCGCATCCCGAAGCCAAGGTGGTGTTCACTCGGTTTCATCTGCGACCTCTACTAACCGGCCTGTGTAGGTGATCGGAGTCGATTTGAGTCCAATGCAGCCTTCATGGTGAGTTCGAATTCATTTCAACTCATTCTTCATCTCTGACTCGAAGCTGCAGGATCCCCCCAAACGTCTCTTTCGAACTAGACGATCTCGAGAAGGACTGGACATGGTCAAAACCCTTCGACTTCATCTTCGGCAGGGTGTTGGCGGGTAGTATAAGCAACTACCAAGACTTCTTCAACAAAGCCTTCGCGTATGCCCCTCCCTCTTTCTCCAAGTCAACATCACCATCTAACACACCACACCAGAAACCTCGAACCGGGAGGCTACCTCGAGATGCAAGACTTCGCCCTCCCCTACGGCTGCGACGACGGCACCCTCTCACCCAACTCCCCGCTCCACCGCCTCTCGACGCTCTTCCGCGAGGGCACCGCCAAGGCGGGCCGCCGGATGGACGTGGCACCCTCCTACCAAACCCTCATGCGCGCGGCCGGGTTCGAGGGCGTGGTCGAGTGGCAGAGCAAGTGGCCGGTGAACCGGTGGCCGCGGGACCCGCACTACAAGGAGCTGGGGATGTGGACGCACGCGAACCTGGACACGGGGCTGGAGGGGCTCACGCTGGCGCTGTTCACGAGGTTCCTGGGGTGGTCGAGCGAGGAGACGTTGGCGTTCTGCGCCGAGGTCAGGACGGCGTTGAAGGATTTGAGGACGCATGCTTATTTGCCCATGTGAGTGTTCTTGGATGATGAGGGAGTAGTGGTTTGCTGATGAAGGGCAGATATGTGGTTTACGGGAGGAAGCCGTTGGGGACGACGGCGCAGGCGGGGACGTCCGGGGCGGAGGTGCCGGCGGGAATTCAGTGAGTGCCGGAAGGGAGGGAGGCGTGCTGTTTTAGACGTGTCTGGTCTGTCATCAAGTTTGACGACATTTGTTGGTATTCGGAGGTCATTTGAAGGAGTTGGCGGTATGGCGAATCTGCTTTTGTACCCTTGAAGAGCGAATTGCATGGACAGATAGGGAGGATTTTGGAGCATACCCGGTGCTGGAAAACATTGTTCGGTTTGAATGGGTAAAGGATGGTTCCCGGTGATAGCAAGTGAATGGCATCTCAGTTGGCTTGAACCCGAATCACCTTGAATAATCCAGAATCGCAATTCCGACCCGTTAATCCGTAATTCCAGACGGGAGTTCATATCTCGACGCCGCTTACACAGCAACCCGGGTCCTCCGATCACCGTCACCAAGTCCCGAACCACGACCCGGAGAAGACGCTCGGGCCTCGATCCTTTCAAAACCCCCCTCCACATTCCCTGAAGTGACTGATGTGGGGGCGGGGTAAAAAAGGCGAGCGGGGGCAAAGCATGAGGTCAGGACGGGAACGGCACGAGAGACGGAGGGGTAAGGTAACTGCCGCCCTTGGTCCTTACGGCGTTGACTTTTGCGCTTTTGGTGGTTGAAACTCGTCTGACGTATGTAATAATCTTCTCCGTCCCGGATCATCGGATTTAAATACTCGGATAGTGCTCTGGGGAATTGGACTGAAGAGACGACGAGAAACGGCTAAGGAATCACCCGCAGCGTCGACGAGTCGTTGGAGTATCATTGCATGAGGATCGCGGCCGATTTTACCTTCCTACACGCACGCGCAACAGCCCACTCGGAGGGTGGTGATTACCGAGCATTACATAAAGAGGGTCCTGCTACGTTAGTACTCTTTCATCGGCATCGAGGGCGTACATAACTCCCGGGTCGAGCTACTATCTATCTTCAATCATTTTGTCAATTGGAAGCCGAAGGGAAGCATTCACACCTCGAGACAGACAAACGACATCAAAATGGCGGACAAGACACCGGAGCTCCTGGATCTCACGATCGACAACATCACACCGAACACGATCCGCATCAACTCCCAGAGCAGCGATGCGCGCCTCAAGTACCTCATGGAGCGTCTGGTCACGCACCTGCACGACTTTGCGCGGGAGACGCGGCTGAGTACGGACGAGTGGATGAAGGCGCTCAACTTCCTCGTGGGATGCGGGCAGATCAGCAGCGACGTCCGACATGTGAGCTTACCAGACATGCTTCTTAAGAGAGTCAACCAGGCTGACGATTAAACCAGGAATTCATCCTCCTCTCAGATATCCTCGGCCTCTCGTTGCTGGTCGACAGCATCAACCACCCGAAACCGAGCGACTCGACCGAAGGCTCCGTGCTGGGCCCCTTCCACACCCACGATGCCCCTACACTGGAGAACGGCGCCAACATGTCGGGAGACCCCGAGGGCGAGCCGTTGTTGGTGGTCTGCACCGTCAAGGACCGCAAGGGGAACCCCGTGTCCGGCGTGCGGATCGACATCTGGGAGACGGACAGCAGCGGGCACTACGACGTGCAGCACGAGGGGCGGACGGAGGCGAGCGAGCGGTGCGTCATGGTGTCGGACGACGAGGGGCGGTTCTGGTTCCAGGGCATCAAGCCCGTCAGCTATCCCATCCCGCACGACGGGCCGGTGGGGAAGCTGCTGGATCTGCTGGGACGGCACTGCTGGCGGCCGGCGCATGTGCATTTCATGTTCCAGAAGGAGGGCTGGGATAACTTGATCACGTAAGTTTGCTTGTTACGCCTCCCCGTTGGGATGCGGAGCTGACGATGCGGGCACCAGTGCTCTCTACCTTCGAGGAGATCCGTACGAGAAGTCGGACGCCGTGTTTGGCGTCAAGAAGAGCCTCGTGGTGGACCTCGACAAGGTAGACAAGGCGACGGCGGAGGAGTACAAGGTCAAGGAGGGGAGCTGGCTGTTGAAGCAGGACTTTGTGCTGGTGACGGAGAAGGAGACGGAGGAGCTGCGGGATCGGAACGCGGTCGAGGCGTTGAAGAAGCTGGGGCTGACGCATCTGAAGCTCGTGGATCACCTTCCCGTGCCGGAGCTGGACTGATGATGGGTGTAGTCGTCGTAGGGTGAGTATGTCGTAATTATGTCACAGCTCGTTTGGTCAGGTCTGAACAGTTCGAGAGGAAGCGAGTGAACATCAGACTGCTGCACGGTCCGGATCGAGGGCTTATCGAGGCTGATCCTGGGACTAGAGGTCGGAGCCCGGATGCGGGATGGCTGGTAGGGCTGGCGGTAGCGCTGAATGCGGGATGACCGAGGCGTCGGGCAGTCCAGACCGGCTGGCGGCAGGTGGGGATGTGAAGCTGGAATTGGTCACTCGTACGGCGGGACGCGGGATGCAAGGGACCTGTTGGAGACTGCCTGCCCTTGCCGATAGAAACAAGATATAATGGAGCTGTGTTTGTCTAGCGCCGTCAGATGATTCCCATTGTCTCAGTCCAAGACAGAGGGAAAGTAGCGGGAGCCGATGCGATACCTGCACAGATGGTAGGAGAGGGCTCCAGTGCTGCGGGAGGTCCGGTTGGAAGGGGCATGTGGCTGTACCTGGCGCAGCGGTAGTCGAAGAGGCCGAGATACGAAGGGAAGCAGTTCGTGCTACTGCTGGTTGCTGTCCCACGCGGTTTGTTGCTTGCCCGAGAACTAGACCGCGACTAGCCACGGACTCGACGTCGAAGGGTGACCTGGAGGAAACAAGAAATCGGAAAAAAAAAAGGCCAAGCCACAACTGGGTTGGGAGGGACCGTGTGCTGGTATGTGTGACTGTCACTGCACCGATTATGACCATCGGCTGCGTTGGACTCGGACTTCCCAGTGGATGGTATTGTTGTGAGATGGGATGACGGCTGAAGTGAGTGTGACTGATACTGGCGATGAACTGCGCGTGTGTGTATCCGTAAGGTAAGGTGTGATGAGCTGCGGCAAGTGAGTGAGTGAATGAGAGTGGATGACTGACTGCGGTGAGAAGTTCGAGTTGGGACTGCCCAGGTGGTGATGGCTGTGGTGGTGATGACCCACTTTGGACTGTTTCCCCAGAAATGATTGGTCGAAGGCTGCTCGTGTTCAGGGCTGCCTCACCTTATCTGCCAATCACGTCAGCAGGGCAGGCACAATCCGTTCAGCGCTGAGGAGAGGGAGGAGAGGCCCGTGCTCCTTCCATTGCCCCTCGTCGCTCACCCTTCAGGCCTTCACCCCTTCACCCTGAGTTCTGAGTTCTGAGTCCTGACCCGTGCCTTCCACCTGCCTGCGCCCCTTGACCACGCCCCCCCTCCCCCCCAAGGCAAGCACCAAGGCCCCAACCCGACCGAGTCCGTCATTTCTCCCAACTTCCACAAACATCAGTCATAGATCTGCAGACCAACCCACCCCCCATAAATCTTCCGACGTACAAAACCCAGCAGACTTCGCCGACTCTTTTCAACTTCGCCACCTCTTCGTCAAATATAACACCATCCAACTCTCTCTTCGGCTTTCAGCTTTCACCAGCAAAAGACCACCAGCACCCGCGCTCTACCAACTCCACTCACCAACCACACACGCCCGTCGCAGCGAGACCGCTTACCCCAAGCCGTCTGTCGCTGACCTCCAGTCCCTTCAACAAAACCCCTTTCCCAAAGTCACCCCCGAACAGACGAGTTTATGTCAATTGAAAATCTCAAGACCTACGGTACGTCTGCACCCCAGGCCTCCCGTCCACGTCGTCGCCGACCGCCTTCTCTCCCACACGAGGCTGTCGGTCACGTCACGTCCCCCGGACACGTCGCCTCTCCTTGACCGCCATGTCTCGAGACCCCATCCGCTAACATTCCAACCCCCACAGACCCCTTCGCCGAAGCCGACGAGGATACCGGAGAGACCAAACAGGCTCAAAATTATATCCATATACGAATCCAACGTACGTCATCGCGACCCCCTATCTCGACCATCGCGTTCCATGCGGAAATCCCGCACGTGCCGATCCCACTCGTCGTTCGCGTACCCCGACCTTGCTTCGACACGGCTTGCTAACATGTCCACTCATAGAGCGCAATGGACGAAAGACTCTGACCACCGTTCAGGGTCTTCCAAAGAAATTCGACCAGAAGAAGATTCTCAAGGTCATCAAGAAGCAGTTCGGTACTTTACCCCGCTCCCCACATCAACGCCACTGTCCGCATCTAACCAATACTAGCTTGCAATGGCACCATCGTAGCAGACAGCGAGATGGGCGAGGTCATCCAGCTCCAGGGTGACCAGCGCAAGGTCGTTCAGGAATTCCTCATCAACAAGAAGGAGGGTCTCGGACTGGACGCCAAGGGCATCAAAGTCCACGGTTTCTAAGCCCGCCGCAGGTCGCCGCCGTTCCTGCACAATCACCAGAGATATTGCATCTTTACGATTGACGTCCTGGGTTCAGGGAGGCATCAGGCATGAATAACCCGATGCCCTCCCACGCCGCTCAGCACAGGCGCCCAACTTGACGTGGTAGGACGGTATACCTCGCACCGACGGAAGAGGTTATCGGTTCGATGGTTTAGGGCGACTTGCGTCTTCCAGACGCGATGATGAGATAGTCAGATATCGAGGTATCTCTTAGGATTGGCCGTACTTTCATTGACGGTTGGGCGGTCCAGAGATAGCAGACTAGAAATTGACATCTTAGTCACAATTCGGGGGCAATGCTGTGTCGTGAAATGTTGTTTGTCTGCCACGGCTAGCCCGGATGACGGCAGGAGGGCGTCAGGCGCATGAGTTCCAGAAGCCTGCAAAGTTTAGATAACGTTGCGTATGCACGCGTCGAACAGAAACCTTGTTCTAGACTCGCGACTCGCAGGAAAGTTTGCACGAGACTTCCTTCCAAGAAGGTCCAGACACGACGACGAGCCGAACGCGATGCATCGGCAGGGCTCGTACTGCAAAACAAAATGTAATTATTCCGTGATCGTGGGTATCTATGTTCTCAAAGCATTCCGAACCAAACGGACCAAGCATCCAACATCGCTGTCATCATGATGTCTGCAATATTCTCTCCCAACACGACGCAACACCTGCGCTCTGGTCCTGCAGCCTTACTTCCCTGCTGCGTGCTGGCAGCCTCGTGTAGTGTTTATCCTACAGTTCCGCACGCGACGCCGAAGAGTTGAAGGACGCAGGCAGTACGGCGTCTCCTGCCACGCGCTGTACGAGCTCCAGCAACAGCCTCGCGAGCGACTCGAACGGCTTCTCGGGGTAGTCGGAGCCGTTGTAATGTAGGTGCGCGAGGAGGGACACCATGCTGATGAAGCTGGCTATGGAGAAGATGTTGATCGAGGTGGATGTTTCTTTCTCGATGTTTATGCTTCGCTGGGTTATGTGGTAGGCTATCGTGAGGGTCTGTCGGGTGATGGGTCAGAGGTTGGTTTCCGAACAAGTAGAAGGGCTGGAGGCTTACCGTCGCGATTGTGACCCATCCCGGGAGTAGTAACCTGGGATCCTCGAAGCCGCCCGAGAAGGTAAGGATGCGCTCCGTGAGAAAGGCGTTCGTGATGTTCATCGTCAGGATCCGGATGATCGTCGCCGAGGGCGTGTAGTTTATCAACCTGCGACAGTCTTAGCCTCCATCCGTCAGTCGAGCTGAGCTTCGTGCGACGTACCACCGGGACATTAAGCAGTCGATGAAGAAGAAGGATAAATAGGCCGACGCTCCACACTATTGTTTTTTGGTCTCCTCGTCAGCTTCTTTCCATTTCCTCGCGCTTCACGGCGCAGCAGCAGCAGCAGCACATGTACGCACCCACATCAGTCCCAGCGACATCTCGGTCCACGGGAACGGTATTTCGGGGTGGCCCGGGGGCCAATTGCTCGGCGGGCACGCGGCGCCCGCCGCTCCTCCTCCGGGTACCACTCCTCCCACGGCGCCGCTCAGCCCCGTGACGGCGGCGGCGGCGGCATTTCCGAAACCGGCGGAGGCGAGGTTACCGGCGGTGGTGGCGGCCTTCTTACCGCCGGGGACGGCGACGGGGATGATCTGGACGAGGAGGGTGAGGGCGGGCTGGAGGGCCCAGAAGATGGCGGGGAAGATGGAGAGGAGGCGGCAGGCGAAGAGCCAGGGGCGCCAGGGCTTCGGGACGTTGAGGACGACGGCGATGCGGGGCTCGAGGAGGGAGGAGGCGACGAGGTCCGGGTTGTAGGGCGGCGGGAGGTCGTCGGGCGAGGAGGAGCCGTTTTGGGCGTGGTGGTGGTGGGAGTAGGAGGAGGAGGGGCGTCGGGGGCCGGGAGGGGCCATCTAGGTGCGTTTTGAGGCGGCGGGGGCGGCGGCCATTGAGGGGAGAGTTGTGTGGTTTGGTGAGGTTTTCGTCAAGGCATGGGATGGGAGAAGAGAGGTCGTCGGGTTCCGGGGAGGGTTGGTTCCTTTTTGGACGAGAGGAAAGATACGAGGCGAGCTACCTTAGCGGTCGGTTGATTAAAAGGCTCGGGTGCCGCGGTCTCTCGTGCCGGCTCGGCGGGTGGTAGTGTAACCTTTTAGGGTAGGCGAGGTGAGGAGTAATTTGAGAAAGGTCAGTCTGTCTGCGTTGTTCTTGTTTTTTTTTTCTTGTTGTAGGTAGGTGTCCTGTCTGTCCCGGGCCCTGGACGTGACGTGGACTAGAGGGGTTTGAAGAAAGGTCGGGGGAGGTGTTCGTCAAGAGAGGACGGAACCCTGGACGGAGGATGGGGGTCGCGTGCCCGCAACTGCGTTCGAGGTTTCAGTTGGCCAAAATGTCCAGAAGTAGTTATTAAGTGTGTGCGTGCGTGGGATTTTCGGGGGTCTGTAGTGGTTTGTGGATTGTGTCATTGGGCTTTTTTATTTTTTTTCTCCAATGTCACTTTGGATCTGCATGCCATCACCTTCTACTTTTGGCTTGCGTTCTGTTATCTTTGCATTGAGTTTATTTGGATGGTGATATGGATATGCACCTTGGGGAGTTGTCACCCTGAGAGATGGACATAATTGTGTTAGATGATTTGGAATCTAGGAGTTCTGGATGGATAGATACGATGCCTCAGAGCAAGACGGAGGGAAGCTGGAGGTAAGGTAGGCAAAGAGGTCTCCATCCGCATGAGTGCCTGACCATCCTCATCCACGTAAGCAGCAGGCCTAAAGATAACCTCACTTGGACAGCGGGCAGCCAATTGATTATTAGTTTGCACGCGAGCACACAATTTCCCCTTATCGAGCGGCTTTCGGGACAGCTTTGCTTTGGGCAAGATGCTATCCGTAAAGCTGTCAAGACTCTAAACTGTGATACCTAAGACGTCAACTTCAAATTGTGTCGAAGAGATCATATCCAAAGCAATCCACTGTCCAACCAGCCGAGATGAAGCTCTGTCCGAAACGAAAACACATAGATTTACAGAAGCTCAACTTGATACAATGCCCTCTGATACCTAGCTCCCGTGGTGTCAAGGTCCCTGAATCAATCAACTCAGAACCGTCAGCGGCAGGGTCCTCGAGCTGGCCCGCTCCAGGGACCCCGTTGGCGGCGGATCCCCAGCCCACAGAGTCCACGTCGTCGTTCGTCATCCTTTCCCGATCATCATTGAAGAGAAAGAAATAAAGATAAAAAAGGATGGATGATGATTGGCGCCGTTGTGATTGGTGCAAGCCACACCGAACATGGCTGTGGCTGCTGCCGATGGCCCGAGCTTCTCAGCCCCGGAGGATCCCGGGCGAGCACCGGTGACCGGACTTCGAGGGGAAGGGGGAAAAAAAAAAAAAAGGTCCAGAAGCTTGGACCAAGCCGTTTTTTGCAATTGGATTCGCATTTTGACGATTCGTCCACGGGAACGTCTGGGAATCAGGCCACTCAACGCCCCTCGTCTCTGCGCCTCCGAGCACGTCTCCCTCCCGCCAGCCTCGACAAACTCCCAGAAACGGGGGGACGAACTCACCGAACCGAACCGAACGATGTACGGCTCCGCGAGGCCGCTGCTCGGCCTGGGCAGATCGGCAGCCATGCGCCCTCAGAGAATCGCCTTCCCGACGACGGCCAGGAGGATACCAATCGCCGCGGCCTCGGCGAGAGGATACGCCTCCAAGGCTCACTCCTCGGACATGCGCCTTAACCAGCGCTTGCAGAAGGAAATGGCGCTCAAGGGCGACAAGGGATACTCGGCCAAGCATATGGAGGCCGCGCAGCTGGAGCACATGAAGACCGTCATGCTTCCGGGTATGTTTTATTCAGAGCAGACACTATCGCGATGACGAAGACTAACCGCGGAAAACAGGCACCTTCGTCCACCTCCCCCTCTCCCAGCTCGACAAGTCCCCCGGCCCCCTCTTCAACTACCTCTTCGCCCGCTTCAAACAGCACCTCAAAGACCTCGCGGCCATCGTCGGCCTCAAGTTCCAGTCCATGCCCAAGATCTGGCAACGCCCCAGGATCAATATCCACCGCACCCAGGTCGTGCCGACCGCGAAAGCCCTGCACCACCGCCTCGCCCAGGCCCTCGCCGCCGGCGACAAGGACACCCTCCGCGAGATCTGCGTCCCGCGCCTCTACGACGCCCTCAGCGCCGTCATCTCCCGCCGCAGCTCCAACGAGAAGGTCACCTGGGAGCTCGTCCAGTACGACGGCAGGCCGCGGCTCGTCAGCCACCGCCTCGCGCCCCTGCCGCCCCAGGGCCAGTCGCCCATCCTGCAGCAGGCCGTCGTCGCCATCAGCAGCACACAGAAGCTCGGCAAGGTCGAGGCCAGGACGGGGAAGCTCATCGAGGGCAACACGAAGCTGCAGAAGCCGACCGAGTACTTTGTCATCATGCGCCATCTCGACCCCAAGACGTACGAGCCCACCAAGTGGCGGGTCTGGGGTAGCACGCAGCCGACCACGGCCGAGGGCTGGGTGGTGGAGGAGAAGAGCGTGAAGCAGATGGAGCAGCAGGACTTTGCCAGGAGGAGAGGACACAAGATGTAAGGCTGGAGACTTGTATTCATAGATGTGCGTGTGTGTGTGTGTGTGGAGTAAAAACATGTAATGAGTGTATTATATGTGTCTGATTATCTGGCTATAGTATGAGCCTTGGTTGCACAGGAGCAAAAGACTCTTCAACCCCAAAATACTAAAGTAAAATCTCCCTCTCCTTCTCCCTTCCCCTTTGATGGTGATTATTTGATGACTTTGTTGGCTGTCGATGATAGGCGTCAAGCGTTCAGAAGAACTTGCCGGCGGGCTTAACGATCTCAACATCGGAGGTGACGTCGGCGTACTCGTCGCGGTCGACGGCGCGCGGCATGCCGTCCGGCTCGGAGGTGAAGCCGGGACCGACAGGACGATCGAGCGCGTCGAAGCGGCGACCGCTCTTCTTTGCCATGACGTACTGGAAACCCAACCTCAGCCCCAGCGCGCCGAAGCCCCAGAGGAAGCTTCCCACGGGCGCGGCGACGAAGGCCCCGAAGACGCTCCAGTCGTTGGCGTACAGGCCCTCGGAGATGATGAGCAGGTTTCCGGCCTTCTGGACGTCGCCGTCGTAGTAGACGACTCCGAAAATGAAGACGGTCAGGATGCCGCCGAGGCCGCCGACGACGACTTCGAAGCCGCGCCACCAGTAGAACCGGTCGACCAGCCCGAAAACCAGAACGGGGATGACGGAGGCGGAGATAAGGTCCGAGACGAGGTAGATCTGCAAGACCGAAGGTGCCTTGAGGGCGATGACGACGGTGGGGATGATGATGAGAACGACGCCGACGCGGATCCACCAGATGTTGAGGCGGTTGCGGAAGAGGTCGTTGGAGGCGGAGGAGACCATGGCGGACTGGAGGGTGTCGAAGGCGGCGGTGCTGAGAGTGCAGACCATGACGAGGACGATGCCGACGACCCAGGCGGGGAGCTGCTGGAGGAGGAGGAAGAAGGCGACGGAGCCGCTCTCGGAGATCTGGTCGAGCGGGAGGGCGCCGGACCAGGCGGCGACGAGGCCGGTGACGCCGACCATGGTCAGGACGCAGAGGATGACGACGACGGCGATGGAGACGCCGACGCGGAGGTCCTTGTCGGTCTTGGAGGCGAAGGTGCGCAGCCAGAAGCCCGAGAGGAAGAAGTCGTTGGTCAGGATGCAGATGGGCAGGATGTAGAGGAGTTGCCAGCCCAGGAGCGTGGGCTTGAGAAGGCCCGAGGTGTCGATTAGGGAGGTGTCGATCTCGGTCTTGACGCCCATTGTGATTGCGACGATGATGATCAGGCAGATTACCATGACGCCCTGGAGGGTGTCTGTCAAGAAGGAGATGCGGAAGCCGCCGATGGCTGGGTGGTGTTAGTCTGGGTGTTGCTGCAAGGAAGGGAGGGGATATGTACAGGTGTAGATGGTGGTGATGACGCATTGGACGATCATGACGGGGAGGCCGTCGAGGTTCGTCAGGGCGTTGACGACCTGGCCGATGGCGGACAGCTCGGCGGTCATGTACAGGAACAGCGTGACGAGGGTCATGAAGCTCAGGTAGAGCATGGCGACGGTGCCGTAGCGCTGGCGGGTCCATGCCGTCAGGACGAAGCCCTCGGGCGTCTTGCGGCGGATGATGGGGCCGAGGAACGCAAAGATGAGCAGCGGCATGGAGGAGGAGAGGGCGTAGACGATGACGCCTTGGATGCCGGTGATGGTGGCGAGCTCCGGGTAGGAGAAGAGGATGCCGGAGCCGAGGGCTGGGGTGGTCAGTCATTTCTCACTAACGCAGAACGAAGGAGGGGGGAGAGATATTGGAGCGGCAGCACGTTTCCCACGCAAGCATTAACTTGATCGAGTAATTACGGTGCAATCTCAGCTTCATTTCCACAGGGAGGGCATCTCCTCTGGACAGAGGGTGGATGCCGCTACCGGCTGCTTCAAATCCGCGCCCGTAGTGAGCCGCATCCTCGGGGTCCCGCCCCTTTTCGGTCCGTCTTTCGGGGGACCTTTGTCTCGGAGCCGGTGTGGACGAGTGGTCAGGACATCGGCCCCGTCAGACGCACCGGAAAGGAGGGGTGACCGAGGAGAGTTGTTGATCTTTGGGTTTACGAACCTGCCTGTCAGTTTCGTCGGATGCGTCACCCTGATCTCATCGTCTCAAATGATTTACTCTGAAGGCCATGGTAGAGGGTATGTCCCTCTCTCATGTCAAGTTTGTCGATTCGCGCGTTGCTTGTCGGTAGGATTTCGCTGTGATGTCGCTTGTGCCGTTCTGCCGCTCTTTTGTCTCGAAAAGAGCATTTCGGGCCGGAGAAGCGCTGTCGCGTCTTCCTCACTCACCAGAGGCGATGAAGTTGAGGGCCAAGGGGAAGGCTGCGGGGAAATGGAGGGTTAGTTGCCGAAACTCATGAGTGATTGAGGGTGAGTGAGGCGCGATGAGCGATGAATGAGCTGGTCGATGCGACTGCTGCCACGAGAGGGAGATTTCTGACCCGTCTGAGTTCTGTTACCAGCGAGGAACTCTCCCTTGGACTGGTTGCGGAACTTCCACGCAAGCCCAGTTCCCATGATTCTGTATCAAAAGTCAGTGAGATTCGTTGAGCGCGTGGCGGAGGAGATCCAAGCCATGAGATCTTCATGTCAGAGTTCGTACAGGAAGAGTCCATAAGTGACGTAAATGACGGCGTTGGACGCCGCGGAGGATGGCTGTCCCATTGTATCTGTGCTGGCGGGATGTCGCTTTGCTATGCGAGACTCTGTCGTCGACTCAATTCAATGTGCAAATGAAGCGAAGGTGATTCCTCGATGTCGCCGAAGGAATGAAGAAGAAAAAAGCTCGTCAATATTTAAGCTCAATCTGTGGCGTGAGCAGGATTTGCGCGCGAGAGAAAAAATAAAACAACCCTTGCAATTGACCACGACCAAAACGACCAGCTAATCAGCCCGGAGAAGCGTGATTCGACGGCTTGCCATGCCCATCCTTGATTAGTTAATGGTCTGCTAAGAGAGTGGATAATTTGCGTGGGGGGTAATTCGGAAAAGTGACGGATGGTGGGGAGTTGCGCCGTTTTCTGCGAGGCGACATTCTGGGCATTTGGTAACACGGCGCAACTCTGCAGTCGTCCACGATTACTTTTCCCTTCCATTGCAACTATTTCTCGCTACCTCTTTGCCTATCCTTGCTGCTGTTGCTGTTGGCTCTAGTATCGCCCTTGGTATCCGTCATTACCCCTGAAGTATTCGACCAGGAGTAATAACCTTGGAGTGGTGTATACAACGCAAACCGAGAACTATTATGAAGACTTCTATGCAGAATTGCATGTAGTTTACGAATAAGCAGCCAGCTGTTGGCTTATGTATTGTTTCCGGCCCTCCAGGCCGGCTTATATGTACGGGATGCGTACTTGCTAGAGATATACAGAGAAGTTTCCAAACATGGCCATGTCTGGCAGGTAGGTGTAGGTGTTCCGTTCCTTACTTTAGCAGCTGGCTTGGATGCCGTTGGCGTAGAGGGCGAACGAGTCCGCGTTGTTGAGAGACTGAGAAGCGCTGATGCTGTCAACGCAACCCTCGTAGCCGTAGCACACATCATCGGTTCCCGCAACCTCGGTCAAGTGAGTCGCCTCGTGAACGAGGACGTACGGCTGGTCAGCCGCGTGGCAAGCCGCGCCGGACGCGGGGAACTGGAAGAAGTAGTCGCAGGTGACCATGTAGCCACCAGTACCAGGCCTAGGAGGTTTGTTAGTATTCATATCAACAAGAAGAGGATAAAAGGGAGACTTTCTGGGTGTAGGCGACGACTCCAGAAGTACAGAAGTTTCCAACGTCGGTGCAGTACAGCTTTGCGCCGCTGGTTGTGCTGCCGAGGACGGTGGCGACCTTGCCGAAGACGCTGGCGACGGAGCTCTTGGTGCTCGACGAAGTGGACCGGAAGTACTGCTGGAGACGAGTACCAGCGTTAGCAGCAGACTGAGCGGCCGTAGCATAGGCCTTGCCCTTGCTGAGGGCGTTGGTGACGGCCGTCTTCTTGGAGCCGGTGCAGTCGTTCTGGATGGTGGCACGCTTGGCCGCGATGCTCTGGTGGAAGGCGGCGTGGACCGAAGCGGCCTGAACGCCGTCGACCTTGGCGGTAAGAACGCCAGAGTCGTAGACGACCTGGCCGGCGATCTTGTTGCTTCCCTCCTCGGCGTAGCGGAGGGATCCGACACTCGAGATGTTGTACTCGCCACCACCGCTGAGATCGTGAACCTGGGCGGGCTCCCACTGGACCTCGACCTTCTCGCCGGCGGCGATGGTCTGGAAGGCCGAGTCCGGAAGGTCGGTGTCGTGGACATAGACGCGGACGCCGGAGAAGGCGACTCTGCTGACTGTTTGATGTTGTTAGGGAAATCAACTCGGCAGGTAGCTTCTGGTTTCACTCACCACCGTCGGCAGAAGCAGTGGAGAACTGAGCCTTCTCGATGGGAGCTCCGTCAAGGATGGAACCGGCCTTGAGAACTCTCAGGGGGGCGGTGCCGGTGTTGGTGATGCTGGCCTTGAGCTCGCTGTTGCCGACCTGCTCGATCTTGACATCGAGAGGACCCGCTCGGCGGGCAAGGTTGACGGCAGCACCGTTGGCGAGAGCCGCCAGGCAAGAAACGACAGTAGCGGCCTTCATCGTGGCTGAGGGTTATGAGAAAAGAACGAATGAATGAACGAAGGAATGGAGGTTGAGGGTTGGTCGGTGGCAGCTCAGCTGTTGAATCTCACAACGTCAAGACAGTCCGTTCACCAAGAGAACAGCGGAAGACCATGGTTTTATGCGGGATAGACGCAACCCCTGGAGGGGCGCTCTGGACCTTGGACGGACCATACGCCGTATGGAAGAGAACGACAATCAAGGATGGAGACATGTTCCGTCACGGAGAATTAACTATTTGGGGAGCGGGTGCGAAAAACAGCAATTTTCCGATAGGTTCATAGAGTCGGAGTGAGCATTCTGAGGGTGATGGACAGCCGCCAGTGTCTCCACCAACCGGCGCTTGCGCTGCATTGACGCGGGTCTTTTTTTGCCCTCGTACTTTAAATGAGGCGGAACTGAGGCCATCGTTGACTGGTTAGTATGTTGCAGAACCGGGAAGAGTTTGTCATGAGCTGGGCTCAAGGCCCCCTTGGTGTTGTTGTGAGTGTCGATCTTTGAGTGGGAGAAGCCAGGTTCGGAGTTTAGAATAGAGTAGTGGGCCGAGTCGAATGCCGTCTTCTGGTTTGTCGTTCATGTTCTACTGCCAATTAGAAACGGCCTCGGCGATCTTGGCAGACTTGGCAAAAGTGCCGAGTTGATTTGAATGATTTGAAGGGGGGTTACATCTCGCGACTTTCTCTTATGCGCAACATTCTAGATTGGCCTCTGACCTCGGCTACGACATCCTCATATTTAACTCCCGCGTGCCCCGCATTATCGCCATCATTCTAGTTTAATATCCCACAAACATCGCTTATTCTTTGGAGTCAGCCACTTGCCTAACCCAGCCTTACTTGCCCAAGTCAGCTTTGACCCCTGAGCGATCCTCGTATTAAGCCTGCCGGCAATCCAATAAGGAGTTCTGAATAGTCCATTAAGGAGTTGAGAACCCATTTGTCGCTTGCGACCCGAAAGCGAGTATCGAGACGTCCTTTTTTTACAATAGCAACTCTCCCTTCTTGACTACCTGCATCTATCAACTCTGCAGTCAAACCAAACGGGAAACCATCGATTATCGCACAGCGCTTCAATCGCCGACGAGGTAGTTAGATCACATTCGTCTTTACCAGTCAAAGTCATCATACATGATCCACCAACACCGCAGCCGAGGACCTCTGACGCTCCCGACCGCCGTAGCCATCGGCGTCATCATCACCCTCTCCCTCTACTTCTTCTCGCCACTGCAAATGCCCACGATGGCCGAGTCATCGTCGTCTTTCCTTCCCAACCTGCAAACAACCCTCTCCCAGTCCGCCTCAGATCCCCCCAGCGTCTCGGTGTCGGTCAAAAACACCAGCCCCGACACGACCGTGACGATCCTCAAGTGGGAATCCCCCCTCGACCCCGCCGCCCTCGGCCTGGGTCAGGTGTCCATCACGCCGGCCGGGGCCTCCGAGCCGATCCCCGCCCACGCCATTAAGATCAGCCGCAAGATGCCGCCCGGCGCCGAGTCGCTGGTGACGCTGCGCCCCGGCGAGAGCGCGGACAACGTCATCGAGCTGCGCGAGCCGAGGGTCCCTGGTGATGTGTGGAAGGCGGGCAAGGCGCAGGTCGCGATGAAGGGGAGGTGGATGGCTGTTTGGCCCGGGCTCACCACGGAGGAGTTGTTGCAGCAGCCGGAAAGGCTCAAGTCTGTTGGTGCTGGTGCTGGGTCGTTGACAGGGGAGTGGGAGACGGAGAGTATTGAGATTGGCAAATAGAGGCCAAATAGAGGAGCTAAGTACATGACAAGTACATGATCAAATGATAGACCTGACTCGAACCGAGTTCGTTATTCAAGGTAACGATTGCCCAAGCACGTGGGCGTCCTAGCTTTGCTATGACTCGTTCGTAACTCTTCAATGATAAGATCATCTCTATCGTGTCTGTTGAGGTTCAGAGCGGCCATCAATTCCTCATATAGCAACGATCTCAAATCGAGTTCTGAACAGTCGTTTTGAAATCCTCCGGCTCTCTCCCCAACAGCTCCTTCAGCAACGGAGACGCGTCCGCCGCCTCGCCCCTGCGAAACGCTTCAAACGCCGTCGCCCATACCTTGAAGTCGAACCCACGATACGTAAAGCCCGGCGGGACGCGGGACAGAGTCGCAAACTCGTCGACCGACACCTCCGTGATCCGGACCGGCGCGTTGGCGATCTCGCCGAGGATCTTGACCGTTTCCGACAAGCTCAGAGTCTTGTTCCCCGTGAGACGCACAGTCTTTCCGCGATAAGGGAACTCCTCTGGCTTTCTCACGAATCGAGAGATGAGCTCTGCGGTGCCCTCGCCGAGTTCCTCTCGCTTTACCCAGGCGACTCCGGGGCCCGAGCCGTCGTGAGGTATCTTGATCTCGCGACTCGGATTCGTGGGGTCGAAGAAGGCTGTGTAAAGGGGGTACGATTCCGTATACAGTCCTTCGCGGATGATCGTGTAGTCGAATCCGGGGTGCGCCTTTCGACAATCTTCCAGGTACTTTTCGGTATCGAGGTGCGGTTGCATGACGTGGGCTACGCTGGTCTTATTGTCGCTCGATCCGGCAAAGCCAAGAGATCCGTAGAATATGTATTTGACTCCATTCTCGATCGCCGCGTCGACGGCAACCTTATGCCGCTATCCGCACCTCGTCAGCATTTCGAGAGACATCATCGACGAATGAGGGGTTCTGGGTACCTCGGTTCTGTACTCGTGCTCCACGGAAGCATACGAAATCAGGAACAGGATATCGATGCCGCGGAAGGATGTCTGAATCGCGGTGTCATCGTCAAAGTCTGCCTGGCGGACCTCTGCTCCGAGGTCTTTGGCGGCCGCAAGCTTCTCAGGATGGCGAGCTATGAGAATGAGATCCTCCGGGGAAAGCCGTTTGAGAATGTGCTTCACGGTGCCTCCCCCGATCCCTCCCGCTGCAGGAAAGATACCGACCTTTTGATGCCTGTTGACGGGCATCTTGTCTGATATTGTTGTCACGATACGCTGATTATGGCCTCGATTGAGAGTCATACGGAACCCGGCGGTATGCAGGTGTCGGAAATGACCAGCCCGAAAGCCATAGTCCCTCAACAATGGCCCAAATAGTGTCGGATCGTCAGGTCCACTTTGTGATCATGTCAGACGACACGAACTGCGATCGTGGTGGGTTGAGCGACCTGCAAAGCTGCATGCAACCGCGTTGGCTGCCGGCATCGGAGCCATTTGTCGTGGAGATTCGATAAAACCGCACTTCTCTGCATCTCGTGCAGGGAGCCTCTGGCTGATTTGCTGTAAGTTTGCCAAAAATGGGAAGCTCAGCCCACTGATGGCCCACGAAACGCTCACGTCCCGTCGGCTCACGAAGGGAACCCACATCACCGGACCCGGACCCGGATGTGGGGCCGATGCCAGTCGGACGCCGAACGCCTTCTGAGATCGTCCGTGCGCACTTCCAGGTTCTTCTGCAGTCACCAAAGCCGCCGTTCCTGCTGCCGACTATTGTCGCTATCATTGCTCTTTCTATGGCTGTTCCTGCTGCAAATGTCTTTGTCGCCCATTCATGATGAACGCATCGCTAGTAAACAACTACAACAAAACATTGAGAACACAACCAGAGCAAAAATAAATGCGTCCTAGGGGAGTCGAACCCCTGTCCCCAGCTTGGAAGGCTGGGATGATAACCGCTACACTAAGAACGCTCGAAGTGTTGCTGCGAGAGAACCCGCTTTGCTGACAGAAACCTCGCCATGATGGCTCATATTGTGGAGGTCTCGCTTAGCAGTGTGGAGATCCGCCGTACCGAATCCTGCCGGCTCGCCGCCCGAGGTCGCACACTCTCAAGAAGGACAAGTCGTATCTCTCAGATGCATGATGCAATCTGAAGATACGCCGAAGATGTTTCCCAGACCCAACGCCTTCAGGGACGTCAAGGAACCTCGCCGGCCCAACAACACCCCACACCGGGCACCCGAGCAGCGTTGCTCCGGCCACGACGAACTGCGTGCCTCCAGCCTCCACGCTTTCCCCTCAGCTGTGTTTCGGTCGCCCAAACAATTGCACACGCCATTGAGCCTTCCCGGGGCTCGCGGCTCGTGTTAATCCTGTCTCACCACTGACCCTGCCACATCCAGTCTACCATCGACCTGCCGTAGCCCGCGGAGATCCTCCCCGCCACGCGAGGCCGGCAGGGAGAAGAGCTCGGTGCGCGTGATCCCCACGCAGCGTCCTCGCGGGTGGAATGCGAGCTCGTCATGGAGGTCCCTGTCATATGACCTCCCCGATCTCGCAACGGTTGCGACGCCTGGCTGTGGCGGGCGAGTTCCAGGACCTTGATGTCTTGAGATCTGAGACCTCACGTTCTTCGTCGACTCGTGGAACGCGGCGACCCTGGAAACTTTGCGATTGACGCCGGCACAACTCGAGCTCGAGCATCTCCATCTTTGAGAACGCATCACTCGTCATCAGAACGGCAGCTTGCAAGACAGGAACATAGTCTTGATTGATCAGGATGGCTCTACCAATCCTACACACTCTTGTCAACGGAAAAAAGTACACTTTTGTCCTTGGAAGACTCGGCTTCCAGTACTCCATTGTCCCAAAACCAAAATCAAAACAGACGACTGAGGAATAAATCCCCGGTATAATGCAAAACAAACTCCCTCGAAGGATTCCAAAAAAAATCAAATGGGTATAAGGTGCGCCGCTCCCAAATGCTCTAATAAGCCATGCCGCGGCTGCACAATACCGGAAATCACAGTCTCCCAACGCCCCTGCGAGAGAACACCGGTCTACTCGCTTATGAAAGCCCCGTGCCGTAAAGGCGGATCATTAAGTTCTTGCTGGACGTGCTGTCGTCGGCACGTTTGCCCAAAAAATGTCGCCAACCAGCCGTCATCGCGACGGCTGCCGTGGAAAGTTGTCGTTGTTGCTGATGTCGTAGACCGTCGAAATAACAGCCCTTACTCGTCTCGGTTGGGATCGAACTTGGTCCGGTCGATCATGTGCTCCCAAGGCACCTCCGTCTTGACGCCCTTCTTCATGCAGCTCTTGCAAACTGAGGCGTCGTAGTCGACTTGCGTCACGACGACCTTGCAGCGCTTCTGGGTCTGGCTGTAGCGGTAGCACCACTCAGAGGCGCCGGTAAAGTGGTGCCCGCAGGCGTAGTTGCGTCGGTACCATTCGCACATGTTGTTTGGTTGTGGTTTGGAGAGGAGATGGGTCTTATTTGCGGCACGGATATGGGGTCAAACGGCGCAACACCTGCTATCAATCGTCAGTTCTCAGACTCGTGGAAACAAACGTCAATCGTGTCAGCAACGTACGGTTTGGCTTGTGTGAAGTCGATTTAGACTGAAAAGAGGGGACTTGGCATGACAACTCGGTCAAGGCAAGTGCAAGGGCCGACAGATACCGGTGAGAGAGATAGCCTGTCAGAAGACGTCCCGAGGTGCTGGTTCGACGAGCGGGTATATGTAAGATCTTAAGCTATGTGGCGGCTGCAGTAGGCTCCTCACGAGGGGGGCCAGAGAGCAGCAGTATATGCGTGTGCGTACCTCATCCCTTCGTCCCCGGTCTGGTCTCTCTCTGGGAAACACTTGGCGGGCGCTGGACTCAGCTGGGGGGCGTGTGGGCTGGCCATTGGAATGGTTTCTTTTCGAAGGTAATGTGAGTGTTTTTTCCCCTTGAGTTGCGTATGGATGATCAAATTATCAAGGGAAGAGAGGTGGGCTTTTCCTCAGGAGTCAGGCCCTGTCTCACACCAAAAGAAAATGGGGAGATAATTACCATTTCCCTCCGGTCTGCCAAAAGAAATCCGCCATTGCCCAGGCTCGTTTCTCTCCGGTGTGCCTGGCTTCTCGGCCGTGAAGCGCCGCTCATTGCAGGTCACCGAGAAACCCGGATTGGAATGGGACGGGCGAGTCGAGTCGAGTTAGAGGAGATACCCGGCCACCCCCCTCCTCCAGACCCCGGGCAGATACCATGGCCTCTTTGCTAAGTGGCTTGGGGGGTCTTGAAGAAAAAGAAAGTATTTCACACTTCACGACTTGGACCCAGTCTGGCCGCCGTCCCACTCGGAACACGGCAATCCCAGTGAATATCAGACTTTTGGTGACGATACGACGAGGTATATCTGGTCGGGCGGTTAATCTCGTCAGTCCGGTGTGGGCGATTCGGCCGGGAACTTAATTGCTTTGCCGCGTGGGAATTTCCCCGAGATAATCAGTCCCCCTCCCTCCGGGCCTCCAGTATAGAAGATCGGGCAGCGAGAATGAGATGAAGGGATGAGGGGCGTTTTCGCTTGAGCAAAGCCCGACGACGATTTTCCCAAATGTCACCTCAATAAACCGAGCAGAGTCGCGGTTGCAGAGAATGGGACCCATTTGTCAATCCTTGCGACCTGCATTGCGCTGTCATGCGGCGGACTTTGTGATATGTGATAGCGTCCGCGCAGATGGGGTTCCGCGCGATTGGGGCAGACGATCTCTCGGGTATTCCACCCCGGTATTCGAAGCAAAAGAGTAGAGCGAGAGCTACGTATTGAGAGTTACTTGCAAAGATGTCAATTCTTTTCTTCCTTCCTGTGCGCCCTCGCAAATAGGTGTCCACAGAGACGGGGGCAGAAAAAGAAAGCTCTGCGTGGCAACAATGGCTTGAAGCGAGGGACAACCACACCATTACTCTCCCCGGTTTTCATTTTTCTCCTCTCTCGGCTCTTGCTACAAAATCTTCAAGACACACATATCTGTACACCTCCTTCATCACCACGACGGTTCAGGATCAGAATGAGCTCACTGGGCCGCGTTGCAGAGCCAAAAAGAAGCCCGAAGACCAGTCTTTGCCAAGGCGGGTGAGACATCATGGGGGGATGGCATGCAGAGCCAGAGCTGGGGTAACGAGGGAAACGGGAGGGAGAAGAAAACGACCGTTCCTATAAATGAACAATTCGACTTGGATCCTTGCATGAAGATGGGTCCTCCGGCCCAGCCTCGCCTGCTCTCCCTTTGGATCAAAGACAACCTCCATCTCCATCCCGCCCAGGGTCGCTCATCCCGTCGCCTTCCGCTGCAAGCCAGGCCCAGCCACAGCAGTCCAGCCGCCTTTCAATTTCACGAGACGAAAGAGCATTGGGATCCTCGCGAGTCGAGATTGGGATTGGATCGGAGCCCGCCCGGGGAAAGAAAAGAAGTCTTGGAAGTCAGGATACATTCCGCCGTTGTACCTTCACCGCCGGGTTTGATGACGCCAGAGCAGCAGCAGCAGCAGCAGCAGCAACACCTCGTGAGCCTTGCCTTTTCCAAACCAACTCCACAAACATCATCGACGAAGCAAGCAAGCAGCCGGACAGACTAACCATGCCGTCACCCGCAGCTCCAAGCCCCTGACTCGACCTCCAGCAACCATGCACCCTCGAACCAGCACCCCAAAGGTCTCAACCGTCCTCCGCGACTTCATCGCTCAGGCCAAGTGCATCTGCTGCACGGTGCGCGTGGTCTCCCTGACGGCGTCCCGCGCCGTGGTGGAGTGGGGCTGCGTCCCCTACTTCACGGCGCGCGGCCGCCGGGCCGAGTTCGTCTACTACACGGCCGAGCACGTCGCCGACGTCCGCCCCGAAGTGCTCCGGACCTACTCCGGCAAGGACGAGTCGGACGAGTGGGTCCGTGACCGACTGCGCGACAGCTGGCTTGTCGAGCAGCTGGCTTACTGGGCTGAGTTCCTCGACGAGTGGAAGTTCTATCGCGAGTGGTACGTCTACCGCTCCGAGCTGTTCGAGAGGATGCCCGACGTGCTCAGTCCTGGTTGCAAGGGTTGCGTGAAGACGCACCGGCCTGACGGTGCGCGGCGACGGGCTTCGTCCTGCGCTTGAGATGGATTCTGATAGGCTGGATGATGGGATGTCGGGGGGACAGAGAGAGCCTCGGGTACGGAAAACGGGACGAGAGGAGGATGTGATGGGCTGGGACCAGTGCGGTTTCGCGTTCTGCGTGTTCGATTCTACCGGCGGAAGGGTTTACTGCCTCGGCTAGTGCGCGAGGCTCGGACTTACAAGGTTTAATCCATCGATATCTGATATCACATTTTTCGGCAAAGGGGGGATTTGGGGAAGGTGGTGTCGTGGAGGAGGAAATGGTTGGTTGGCTCTCTCGGGTGGTTGCACGGAGGAGATGTCCCAGTTGACAGGTTTGTGTAATCCGAGGGCAACCCCCTCGTCGTAGCTTAGGTAGGTAGGTAGGTAGAATAATCAAGAGAAAAATCGGTGGCGTCCTCCGGTCTCGATTCTGATTTCCCAATCCGGTGTAAGTGAAGCCGGAGAAGACCACCACCGCCTTCATCATCATCACCTCCATCTTCCCCTGCTTCCATGGCATCCTCGATTGTGTCACCACATACCGTTCTCTCTCAACTCTTCTTTTCCTCACGATCATCCAGGCGATTTCCCAGAAAAAACACCGAGGACGACGATGGCGATAGATGCCAAGATAGCAAGGATCTCACGCGGAAGCAAGGGCCCCTCACTCCCCGAGCATCCCATGACCCCTCCTGGCGATAGACCTGAGATCCGTCTGTCTCTGTCTCTGCCTGGCTCCCAAAACGCCCAAGACATAGAGCAGGCCGTCAGAATCGGTCGCTGCGACATGGCACCGGGGCCCAGAACCAGAGAATCCTCCAAGAAAACGAAGCACGCGCTGCCCTACCTTCAGACACGTGTACCGGCGTGCGACCACGGTGCCCCCATGCTCCGCGGTCTTCCCCGACGACCCCGGCCCCTGGAACAGCAACGTCTGACCTTCCCGCCGCGGACAATCTCGATTCCTCGTCTGTCCAGACTCCATAGAAAGCAAGAAAAGAACGTCAGGACAGTACGAATAGTTTATTCATCCTTCGTACCCTCGCCTTGGTTTCACCGCTCCTCTTTCTCTGTCTCTCTCCCTTCGTCGAGTCTTTCCAAGACGATCCACACGGGATGGAACGAAGTGTGTCGAATGCCACGCCTTCAACGTCTTTTGAGTTTCTCCTGTCTCGAGTCAGTCTTTGTTTCTTCCATCCCTTCCTTTCTTCCCAATCCGGCCTTGCTTATTCGTTCCCACAGCGCGAAGGAAGCCGGACGGGATCAACCGCGTGCAACCTCGTCCGTTCCCCTCCGGTTTCGACTACAGACCATTCATCATCGCGAGATGAACCGTCGAACCACGTCAGAAGCGACCATCTACGGGCGTATTCACCTCGAGACGTGCCACTGTCAGGTTCAAGGTCGGCGGCGCCAAAGGCAATCTACCCGGCTGCAGCTATCCGTCCGCTGCCCCGTACCAAGATTCACATCCTCGATCTTCACCGTCCTTTCTTCTCGCAAACTCTAACCTCCTCGCCTCGCCTCCCCGACCCTTGCGATACCCCTCCCTGCGTGCCGTGACAAGGACGTCGTCCGCGGGAGTCTCCGTCCGATTCCTATGACCCTCAGACTCGCGCACCCTAGAAGGGAAATCTCAGCACGACGGTTCACCTGGCAGACCATCAAACGCCTCCCAAACGCCTTCCATAGAGCCTCAACATACATCCCTTGCTGGACCTCCCCTCAGACACAGCGCCATGCTCAGGAACAGTGTCTCAAAGGTAAAAAGTCTCGGGTAGTGATCTCCCCCGTCCTCTCGATGGAGCAGGATGATCGACCCGACTTCAGGTCACGGGATGACAAGCATGTGTGAGCCAGACAACTTCCAGCCCCTCAGTTCCAAGATGCGAGACGGTTTCCCTCTCAAGCGCCCGCGAAAGACATGAAAAGAACTCACCAAGAAGAGCCACATTCGCAAAAGCGAAAGAAGACTCTTGGGAAAAGCAAACATACGTTCAAGGATCGGAATCCACACCCTCTTCGATCTCCCACGTCCCCTGCTCGCCAACCCATGCTACCCTCCCTTCGTCAGAGAGCTCATCCCTGCAAAACAACAAGGGTCCCCGATCATGTACATCCCCCCTCCCCTCCCCAAAGAAACCCCATCCCCGAGGGAAGACTGATCACTTTTCCAGCATCTGTGCGGTCGTGTGTGTGGACCAGGCCCCTCCATTCCCTCTTTCTTCGCCCACACACTCGCATCTCGCGATCTCTCGATCTTCAAGCTTGTCAACCCTCCCACGGGCACCATGGCCCCATCCGTCACGCTCGGTTGCGCCAGCCGTCGTCATGGGGGGGAAGGGCACGGAGAATTCAGCAACCGACGAAGGGAAAACTACTCCCAACTCCGGAGGTTTTCCTCGATCGGAACGAAGGTCCACGAAGCTACGGCACGCCATCATCGATCTCCGCCCGGCTTTGGAAAGTTGGCCCATGACCGGAAATACGACGAGGAAGAGACGACGGCCGGCCGGCCACCCCAATCGCGCAACGCGGAGATTTAGACGTGCGGCAGCCTACCGCAACGTGGCTCGTGGCGGCTTGCATTAGATATCCCACGCGCTTGACATCATGGTTGGCCGGGCCTGGCTGGCTTGCTGTAAGTAAGCCATGAGCCATGCAACAAAGAGGCGCGGCACACGCAAGAAATACCAAACCCAGCCGATCGGGGCGGGCGCGAGATCAACCGCACAGTACAGAGTAGTAGCAGTAGCTTTACCGCCGGTTATCTGCATGGCATTAGCAATGTTATTCAAAACCGGAGAGCAGCGAAGTGCAGAACACGACCAACACTACCACCATCACCACCATCACCGGCGGCAATGCTACGAGACGAGTACCTAGACCAGACTCAAGAGCGCAGCGTTGCAGATGAAACGGTGTGCAGACGAAACCAACAACGGCGCTGACGGACTTGGAATCTCGGCCGGCGCATATCATCGGCGCGGTCGCCGGCAGGCACAAGATCGGATGAACTGAAGAAGATTGGACAGAGACAGCACTGGCTCGTCCCGCTCGACATCGGATGGCAGACCGGGCATCTTCGCTCTCTCGTCTCATCTCGTCTCATCCCGTTCTGGAGAGATCCCCCGCTGCAGCCTCCCGAATGACACCTCCTCCAAGTTCCAAGACCTCGCGTGTCGTCGTCGTCTTCGTCGTCGTCATGTCCGGTTTATTCCAGCCCGTCCAAAACCTCGTCATGACTCTCTCATTCTCGTCTCTTGGAGGTCAGGTCTTTCTCGCCAAGCACTGCAGAACCTGAAAATGAACCTCTTTCTCTTCCTCATCCTGCCACAGTGGAAAAAGAAAGCCGACTCGCATCCGGACCCCGGTTCGAATGTAACCCCGTCCCATCCAGAAGGTTTCCAGAAAAGCAACGACCTCCGTGTCATTCACGAGGAACGAATCCTGCAAGGCCAACTCATCATCCCTCTGAGGAGCAATCTCCAGCAATCGCAATCTCTCTCCCAGTCTCTCTCCTCTCCCCCACCCCAATCGTCGTTTCTACTCGTCATCACGGTCTCGTGCAGGGTCCCGTATCAATCGCGGCGGCAAGACCGGGCGGCAAATAGATTCCTGGGCATATGGCATGGAACAGCCTTCGCAATCCCACTTCCCGAATGCGCAGAGAGAGAGATTTGACGGACGTTTCTGTCCTCTCGCAGGGCCGAGAATCCTTCTCTCAAAGCCCAAGGGTCCCTCCAGTCCCTCTCTTGCGGGAGATTCCGCCGAAGGAGACACCGACATTACCACGACCCCCAAAGATCGAATCTCCCCTCCCATTCTTTTTTGGGCAATTCCCTCGCCCTTGTGTCACTTAACGTACATCAGAATCGGACCATGTTTTCCAGCCCTAGGAAGGCGAGCGGGTAAAACAACAAGGGTTCCATCATCGTCTCGCCTCGTCGATGGCTTCCTTTTCTCCACCCCCTTCTTTCGGCCGTCTCTCTACCCCCCCTTGGAGCTGAGGAACGAAAGGTGAGCGAGACACTTTTGACAAACAAACGATACGTTCCGCATCCCAGCCCAAAATAAGAAACCATGTCGTTCGTGTCTTTCCCCCTCCCGTGACCAGTGACCGTTACACGACAACCTCTTCCTCGTCGTGAAGGATGAGCCCGATCCATTTCAGCCCAACTTGATGATCCACCGTCCCCGACTTCGCCTCGTCTCGCCTAGCGAAACACACATCAGATGACATGTACCGGCCGTATCGTGGACTGTCAAAAGGTTCCAGAGCGCCACGCGGTAAGGCGAGACAGGGAAAAAAGGGCTGACGCTCGAACCTAAAACATCGTGGACCCGGAGGACCTTTTGGAAAGACATTCACCTTCACCGTTTTTTTTGTTTTTCTTTCTTTCCAAGTTCACGATGCTGCGTCCTGTTTAGGCCAAGAAGAGAATGAAGATTTGTCACGGATGAGAGGACTTCTTTTTCCTTTGCCCCCGCCGATCGGAAATTTCGAGGTGATGCTCAGAGTCGCGCATCAGGTCATGATGATGGCCCCATTTGAGATCGTCAGAGCTCATGTGATGGGCAGTGTGAGAATTGCAGACCCGAGTGGCGGTGAGCGCGATGACAAGGGGATGACGGCTGTTCTCACGATGACAAATTTCTGAGCTCATCCAGGAGGGAAGATATGCCTGGCTACGAGGTGGCAACCGCCCAGATTACACTAGATGGTACTCGATGCACTTCCAGATGATACTCGAGGCCAGCGAGTCGATGGAAGACCCAGTCAGAAGATCAGTGGCAACAGACTTTTCAACATTTCATCATGAACACTTTCATTCCATTACTCTATCTGGCGACAAACTCCTGACGCCCTGAAATTTGTGCGTACAAAGAAGACCATTGGTGTTGGATACGTAGCGTTTCTTGTCCTCGCAAATGAAATAGATCGAAGCAAAAGGGAATCTATTCTCCCATGTCCAGAACAAACAGTTCTTCCGAGCAATTGTATGGAGAAGAAAGACAGGAATCGTCAATAAAGTTTGGCCAAGCGTCTCTTACGTGTCGTGAGATCCATCAGCGCCCTCGCCTCCCGTCTTGAGACGGTCAAAGTGTCGCTTCCACCGGGCCCACCACGCGCCCATACCCTCTGCAGCTACCACTGGCTGGTCGACGGATCCGTCGTCGTCACCTTCGGCAGTGATGTTATGATGCCGGAAGATGGGACCGATGCCTCCCCAAGGGTAGGCCGGGTTGGACGGCAACGGGGCACCGCTAAGTGTTGTGGTTGGCACTACGGGTCCGAAAAGAGTCGTATCTCCATCGGAAGAAGACGTGCCAGTCGTTGTGGACGTGATGAGCGTCGTGGGAAGGCCAGAAGAAGTTCCTAGAGAAAGTCAGGACGAGCAATGTGTGAGGGTAAACAAGATAAACTTACTGTTCGTCGTGACCACTGACGAGAATGTCGAGGTAGTGTTCTGCCATTTGGACGTACATGATGACTTTGGTGGCATGACAGTGCAATTCGAAGTCAAGGCTGGGTCGACTGTTGAGTCGGCACTCGTAGGCAACGAAGATACCAAGACGCTTCTGGTTATAACTTGAGTGGTAGTTCCGTTGGTGACGGTGACGGTGTGGCATGGAGCGGAAGTCTCGGCTGGTCCTGTAGAGTTGGTGGTTGTGGCATGAGGAGAGCCAGATCCTGTCGGAGGATACACCAGAGATGACGATGTTGGAGCTGTCCAAGGGGCAGTCGAATTACCAAACGGGGCCGAGTTCGTTGGTAAGACCGTAAGCGTCTGCGTGCGGCGACCTTGTGCTCTGGTAACAGTCATAGTAGAGACAGCAACCCCGGATGGGACGCTGGAGAGCCAAGTAACTGTCAGATTACCGGTCGAAACTGGAATCACGGTGACATTGCCAGCTGGGAATGGCGGTGGAGTGGCAGTGACATTCAGGCCGGTTGATGTCTGGAGCAGAGTCTCAGACTCAGACACAGAAGTCATTGGGCCAGTTCCTGTTGGTCCTGGGGCGAGAGTGCTATTTCCAGTCGGGAATGGGGGAAGAGTAGACGATCCTGGAGAGCCTGTGCCGGAAATTGAGAGGGTCGTATTTCCTGTGATGGCTGGAAGGGAGGTGGAGTTGGCGGTAGGAAAAGGTGGCAGGATTGTCAGATTCGTTGTTGAGGAACCTCCAGTCATGGTCGGAATGGCAGTGATGCCAGACGGCTGCGACGTTGCGTTGCTAGTTCTGAAAGTTGATGTCAAGTTCGTGCTCGGGAAGGGCCGCTGTGTTGTAAGCGTAGAGATAGCGACGGTGCTGATAGGTGAAGCACCGGTGCCCGACCTGATTGTAGACATCACGGTCGAAAGCCAGATGCTATTTGTGTTCACTCCGGTCGGGAAGGGGGCCATCGTCGAGTTTCCAGTCGGGAACGGAGGCACTGGGGTTGAGAATGGTGTCCCTGTCGCAGTAGCTTGCGTCGAGTTTGCCGTGGGCGTTTGCAACACGGTGCCGTTAGTAGAATGGATGGAGGTATTTGGCTGGGAGGTCCAAGTGACGTTGGCGAGCGTCCCAGTTGGCCATAGAGTAGAGGCAGTAGGTGCCCCAGTGATGGTACCCATCCCTGTCCCGGTGAGGCTTGCAGTGGAAGCACCTACAGATGTTGAATTTGTCCAAGTGAACACTTTGGACCCTGAGTTTGTCGCGGAGCTAGAGAACCCAGTGCTTAAATTGCTGGAAGATGTGATCACAGGGATGGAAACAGTGCCGGTGAGAGATGGTGTCGTTGAATTGAGAGTTGGCCACGGTGGACTTACAGAGCTGACAACCGAACCTGTCGATAGGCCAGTCGGTCCACCTGTCTGGACAAAGGTCGTCGAGTTCCATGGAGCCGTGAGGCCAGTGCTAGTAAGAGAGATCGGAGTCCTAGTGACAAGGCTGCTTGAGAACCCTGTTGGCAAAACCACGGATGTTCTGTTGCCGGTAGGAAATGGGGCCGTTCCAGCAGATGAGTTTGTTGGAAGATCAGACTGGGACGAAGTTTCCTCAGTGACCCAGCCAACAGTCCCACTAGGCCAGACCGAGGAGGACGAGTTGGCCGGGAAGGGAGGTGCACTGGTGATGTTCGAACCCGAAGATGAGCTGAGAGCCCTTGAAGTTTGAGACCCAGCTGAGTCCGTGGACGAAACCCCCGTTCCGAAGGTGGTTTGATTTCTAGACGCCGAGCTTGGCGGGACTGTGGTGTTCCAGCTCGAAGATGTGGGTGATGTTGGGCTGGTCGTTGGTAGAAGCAGAGTAGTGGTGTTGCCAATGGTCATTGTGATGGGCGGCGCCAGCGTGGCTGATCCGGTAGCCGAAGTCTGATTAGACGAAGTTAACTGTGTAGTCGTGAGATTTGACCCTCGAGAAGTTGTCCCCGATGTCCAGACTGGTGGGATTGGAATATCAGGCACAGATGTTATGTTGGGTGGAGAAGACGACTGGGTTCCGATGGAGGATGTTAATGAGATCAAAGCCGATGAGTTCCATGTCGGCCAAGGAGTCTCAAGAGGCTTGGTCAATGATGAAAGAACCGACTCCGAAGTTGAGCCTGCAGAGATTGAAGCGGGAGAGCCAGTGCCGCTTGAAGTTGTCACTGACGAGTTGGACGCAGTGAATGGCGGCGCCAGCGTCGCGGATGCCGTTCCCGTGGTGATTGGCGAAGTGACTGCAGTGCTGTTGTTTACAGTCGACTGGGAAAGGCTCGGCGAAGTATTGGAAACGCTAGAAGTGAGAGAAGGTCTTGTTGAAGTGATAGACGATTGTGCCGAGCTTGCGGTCACAGACCAGGGGGCAGTTGTAGAGTTCCATGATGTCCCAGATGAGCTTGACAGCGTGGGCTCCTCTGAAACTGTAGCCAAGGTACCAGATTCGGTGTCTGTCGAAGTCGCCGTTGACGAAGAAGAGTTGCTTGAAGCGCCGGTGACGCTAGCGACCGAGCTGACTCCGGTGTATGAATCTTCTGAGTGTTAGTAAACTGAAAGAAAGGGGAAAAAGCTGCTATGACATGACAAACCATCACTTGAAGTGCTTCCGTAAGCGGTAGTCGACGACGAAGAAGACTCGTCTCCGTAGGTAGTGGGAGACGGAGGAGCCGGCAACGAGTATCCATAGTCGTAGCTAACGAGCTCATTAGGATCTTGAGGGCTCCGAGCGTGGTGCTCAACGTTCTGGGCGGCCGCGAACTGGGGCTTTTCTGCATGGCCGTGGACCTTGGCCTCGGTGCTGGAAGCTTCGACGACGTGCACGGCTGACGATAGCAGCGCAGCGGCCGAGGCAAGACCGGCGGCGAGAGTCAATACCCTCATGATGAATGCTACGAAGAAGGATCAGCCAAACAAGTTCAACATGATGAAGAAGGAGGCGCGGGAAGTTATACCTGGCCGTATCAGTCGAATGGCCGGTCGCGCTCTCTCTCTCGAAATGCGATTGAATGAATGGAAGCTTCGATTTGAAGCGTAGAACGAACGTAGACAACCTTTGCACTCGAAGTTGAGTGGATGGAAGGAGGTTGCCGAGGGGAAAATAAGGAGGAGAGACGGAGCAGAGGAGGGAGTTGGAAGAAGTTGCGGGAGGGTGGTGAGGGCAGGGACGTAGGGGGGAAGGAGCACATATAGGAAGGGGTCCTGACTTCCAAAACGGACTTACACCTTTGTATGAATCAACCTGGTACCTGTCCCGTATCGCCTCCCATCGTGGAAGAAGGTCCCCTTGGTACCTTGCCTGCCCGTGAAGGGTCGGGTGCACGCCTGCCTCGACGCCACTGCAGCTTCCGCAACCCGGTTGTCATCTATCCCGTCTCTGCTCTTGAGGCCCGAATGGAATAAGAAACAAACATAATCATGATTCCAACCCAGGTACGACTAGCAAACCATAGGTAGCTCAACAAGTGCCCATCAGAGAGCTTCAGAAGCGATCTTGGTCGGGCCATAGTGGCCTCTCCTCGCAGTTCTCATAGAGCAGTACATCATGACCTAGCGAACTGCTTGAAAAGGTAATCTTCTTGTGGAAGAGGGAAGGCGTATCGGATGAGTGCTTTCGCCACTTGCGACGGCATACATGACGTGTGGAAGCTGAGCTGGTTCATGATGCCATCGTGCTCGTTGATGTTCGATCGTCAAGAACTCACCCATAAGCTGTCTCTAGGAGGGCCTTTTGTGATATCACTGATGCCGTCCTCACTCGGAGTCACTGACTTCCGTGGTGAAAACCCAGAACAAGTGCCCAGGCTCGGTACCAACGCTTGATTGCGATCCGCTCCGGGTGCTCTCTCACGTTGAACGTATCGTATCAATCACCATCGAGTCACCATACACAGCGTGACATGACCCTCATCACTAAACGGGATCATATCCTACGCAGTCGCACTGGCGGTAGCATATTGATGGCGAACTCATGTCCAACGGAGCTGGAGCGTGCCCTAGCCGTGTCTTCTCCAAGACTCTCAGGGGTTTGACCCCGGCTCTGCCAGTGGACAAACGGGACAGGATGGACTCGGTGCTCTGTCCAAGATCGCGCAGCATGCGGGTACCCGTGTACCGCGAAACAAGATTGTCTGTTCCTGACCGGCGTCTCACAGGTTTCTGATGGCCTCAGTGCGGGGGCTCGCGATGTCTTGTCTGACGACCTCTTCCGACTCGAGCGTCGGCCGCTTTCATACTTGGTAGTTGAGGACCAATTGGGCCATGTCTTGAGACCTCCCGCTGGACGAACAATCCCCAAGACAGCACGTGCAGAGAACCCGAGGGGCGCAAGACACAACGCCACAGAGCGGGTTGGTACGCGAATGCCATTTATCAACGGCTGCCACAATTCGCAAAGTCTCAAATTGTTAATTAGGAAGCGTTGTATGCAGGTCCCTCCAATTTTCCATGTGCCCCTCTCCATAGACCAATCCCCAGGACGCCGTACCGTAATCCGTCGCTCGTAACATATGTAAAGATACTGTTGCTCTCGTTTTGTTCTTCTCTTGCGGGTCTCGCCGCGAAAGATCCGCGAACGGGAACTCGAACACGTAACACCAGATTCATGACTGCTGTCAAGACGTCGTGCCACCACCACCACCCGAGAAAAGAGGGGGTTCCGTATCGTGCAGATGCCCCGTCGAATCCCAACTTTGAACAGGGAGGTGGACTTGGCTCCGGAATGCTGTGTGTCGTCGCCTACTCGGCTTTCTTAGCCGTCTCGCGAAGGGTGGGAGCCGTGCCGTCGGTCATGGACGTGTTCTTGGACTCGATGTCGGCGGCCCACAAGGCAGCACCAACTAGCGACAACTGTCAGTGATTGTCGGAAACGTGAACCCGTCATACTTACCGGTGTTGGTGAACGTGAAGAAGATGCTAACGAAGGGGATCATCTCGAGGGCAGTCGCGACAAGTCCGAAGCTTTGACATGCAGGTCAGTATACTTCAGAACAAACGTGCACCGTTAGAGCCAAACATACGCGGTGTAAGGTCCGGTGTGTCTCTTGAGCCAATCGGCCCTTCGGGAAGAAGACCAGTTCTTGAGTTGGAAGTACTAGGCAAGAGAGTCAGATGCTGGCCGTGAAGGTGATCGGTGGCTACTTACGCGCCCATGGACGCTGTGGCCTCGGCTGCGGGCTGTGATTGTAGTATGTTTAGCAGACGCATTAGAATACATAAGGCCTTGGTCAACTTACCTTGCAGAAGAATGAAGATTCCAGTTCCAACAATGGGAATGAAGTTCAAGGGGAGGTAGACGAGGTACCGGATAAGGGCCTTAGGGCTGTACTTCTCGAAGGGGTTCTTGAGGATTTTGCCCAACTTCTGCATCGGGTCGGATCCGGGCCCAACCTGCCGACCCTCCTTCACGATGCCGTCCTCGTCTCTGGACAGCAAGGTGCCATCAAAGGTATCCAGCAGCGCCTCTTGAAGCAGGTAGGATCGCGAGACGAAGTTGATGATGGTCGAGCTCTCGTTCAAGATCAACAGCACGGTGGTGAAGACGGCCAGGGGGCCGTTGACGAAGACGAGGATCGCAAGCTGTGGCACGTAGGTGAAGACGAACATGCCCGTCACGACACCGACGGATAGGATGATGTAGGCTCCGATGCGCGAAAGGAGGGGCTTCCACAGCGCTCGGTGCGTCGCGAAGTAGACGATACCCTTGATGGGGTACAGGTACGACTTGCTCTTAGCAGCGTCGGCCACGAGGCCTCTCGCCTTGTCGTAATCTTCCTGTCTGTTGCACGGTGGTCAGTTCTTGTTGACACCGAGGGTTGAGAGGTCTCGCGGATGGCACGTACAGGACCTCCTGGGCCCTGGCCTGTACGGAGGCGGCCGCTCTGTTCCTGCTGTTGGAACTGGGAGCTTGTCCCTCGGCGACAGTCTGTTCGTCGGCCATGATTGTACAGATAGAGTGTCGTGATGTTGATTTCGGACAGGCGCTGAGATTGTCGTTACTGTAGACGAGGGGCGCGGGGGATGATCTGGCGGAAAGTGGCTGCCACGGAAGTTGACCAAGGCTGGCAGCCAGCTTTTATTCGGTCCTGACAATCGTGATCTGACAGTTGCGTAGTTACGGAATCTGAGCTATCTGCCAGCTACCGGAGCCATAGCTCCCTGGCGTGCCAGCTAGTGATGGCTCTATGACGTCGTGGTGTGGCTCGCCTGTGATACATGTGATGTGGCGCCAGGTGTTCTGGCCCGTGCGACAGGCCCAAAAGGGTCTAGAACAGCGTGATTCTCTGGGATCCAGCTGGTACCATCTGGCTTGAGATTTGCTCAGGTTGCTGTACGGAGTACGCCAAAGTTGCCGCGCCAAAAGCCCTAACAGAGGAACTTATTCCAGCCTACAAATCCGGACTATTGTAGGTATTTCTGGGTAAGATCGGGCGCAGAGCGTGCGGGTTTTTCTGCCAGTCGCTTGTTTGCCCAGATCACCACTGGCGCAGATGGATTTCGACAACATGTGTATGGGAGGGCGAGAAACGAAAGAGGACGATGAAAGTGCCCGTCAAGAGAATCAAACATCATTTCTTGTCCAGGAGTCAGGGTACTCTGGGATAGCATCTTAACCTGCAGTGGCACCTTGGGCATCTCGACTGCCGATGATCGACGCGACAACACCACACAATGCACAGACCCTGTCAATTGGATTTGGACGCGAACACGTTCTCTCTCCTAAACGACTTGACTTCATCCAGAATGGACTGTCTACCTACTCTGTCTTCCCTTTCCTGATGTTTGTTCCGCAAAACATTACTCCAACGTGTTCCGTCTATCTCATTCGGACTCCCAAACGGCCTTTGTCTCTCCCGTCTTCAGCGACTCAGCCGCGGTTGTTACCCCTGTACATGGCCTCAAATAGCGCCTCGCCCAACCGGCCACAGGCGTTGTCGTAGAGGGCTCTGAGTCTCGAGACTTCATTCATGGCCTCGATCAGTCTCGGATCGTTCGTACCATCCGTCATTCTCGAATGGACTCGACCGAAGCTGGCCACGAAGTTCGAGGGGTCAATGGCGGGGCCCACCGAGGGACCACGTCTGAAAGTTCCGACAGGGCCAGCGGGGAGAGGAGGGAAGATGGGAGCTGCAGCAGCCTGAGGAGCAGCCGCATGGTTCTCGAGAACCGAGGGGGTTCGAGTGGCAGCAGAGGCAATAACCTGAAAGTGGAAGAGATGAAAGGCAGGAGTCGACGACCCTAAGGCATCAAGCGGGCTCGACTTCGGTCAGGTTTAAGGTAGGTTGAAAGTTGCCTTCGACAAGAGTGGAAGGAGCGAGAAATTTGCTTGTCACAAATCAACAATGGATTGATAAATTAGAAAGGTCTCGTTCTGCTAATCGAACAACAACAGGCTCAGGTTCCTGGCATACGGCAAATATCACAAGTATACTGCAGCACAAAAGCTCTCTCGGGTGAAGCAGGTCCATTGATATCGTCTAAGTTTCTCCCCATCCACGTTTTCCGTTGAACAAATGTGTGAATAACCTCGAAACATCCCCGCTACGCAGTACTGCTACGCAGTACTGCCGCTCATCGCCCGCCTCAATATCTCGAACATGCCACGCACCTGGTCCTCGCAAACAGCACCGTTGACACCAAACGCCTGCGTTACCATCCCAAAAACCACATCACCAAACCGCCCGTTCGCGTCTCGGATTTCACCTTCGATCCTGTAGACCTCCCTCGCCGTCTCCTCAACAACTTCTTGCGTGTGGCCTCCAGCTTGACCGAGCAATTCTGACACCCCAGGTGCCTGGTTGCCTGGCCGGCTTCGCGGCCTGAGGGCTTGCAGTACTGCCGAGGCAAGTCGATCGCGGGCATTATGAAGGGCAGCCTTAAGCGCGGCCACTTCGTTCAAGGCTCCTAGAAATTTGTCAATAGCCTGTGGCGAGAGTTGCGCGTGATGGGCAAGTGACGGCGGTGTCGATGGCACTGGAGGGCGTGCTTCAGCCACACCTGCGTCGTCCAGACTCCGGTTGTCGACATTATGCTGCGTCTGTTGCTCTCCCAGTTCAGGTGACTCGTTTTCCCTAACAAAGCAAGACGTACGCGGGATACGTCGCGATCGCCTTCTAGGTATGTCATCATCGCTTGCCTCGTCAGCGTCGGCAGGCTGCTCGGCACGTCTCTTTGGTTTTCTAGGTGCCACATCATCATCGCTTTCATCATCAACCTCGGCACGCTGCTCGACGCGTCTCTTTCCGGAGTCTCTGTGATACTCCCGAGTGTTGCGATCGACAATTGTGAAGGCTGCTTTGAGATCTTTGTGATCCTGTTAGATGAGTGAGTGCTGTCCAGGACGGAGCGATATCGCAAGGGTTTTCTTACTGCAGAGATTGCCTGGCGGTTTTCATCCTTTGCTGTCATCATCATAGCCTTACTGCGAGCGATGACCTCTCTCGCCAGCGGCCATTCCGAGTCTGGAATCTATGCAACATCAGTATGGAGGCCAGTTGGCCGTGGGAATGGGGATCTTACCATCATACACGCGTGCCCTCCGGTCCGAGGTTTGCAACGACCACATCGCTCCTCCGGATCTGTAAAACATGTAAGCCGACTTGGGACCACGGAGGCGACGAACAAGTATGTTGAGGAGGCTGCGAGACTAACCTGCTACGGCCCCGTCACATATAAAGTCAACATCGGTGCACCTTTCCCCTTGGTTGCTCTTGTTCGCGCCTGAAAACCATCCCAGACACCGAAGGCACCATCGATGGTGCTCGGGGACGGCGGCAAGTGCCGCTGCTGAGACCGCGTTCCGAGGCATCTTGTGGCGAGTCTTGAGAGTGTCCGAGAGGGAGAATGGAATGGTTCTAGGGGTGTGGTGAGTTGAAGAAGAGTGAAGTTAAGGTACCCAGGTTGCCTTTGGCTTCCAGGTTAAATAAGGCAGACAGGAGACGGTGACGACGGTTCGAGGTAGTTCCGTCCTTCCACGCGAGCGGCTGATTAGGTATCGTCTACACCAGTAGCGCAATAGCTTTGGAAACACTGAAAAGAAAGAAAATTCGGCGTAGACCTTGCTTCCATTTAAGGTGTGAACCCCTATTCAAGCATGAGCTTGGACGTCTTCTTTCAGCATTGTTTAGGCATTCAGCCGGGCTCAAACAATCACCACCGACAAACAAAGTGAGATTAAGCCTACCTAATGAACACAAACTCTTCTATAGGTTGCCATGAGTTTCTATACTTGTCTAACTATGCGTGAGAACTGCCAAGAGGGTGAGTTGATTGCAGACAGCCGACAATTCCCAGCCCCGCAGCTTCGTTGTGTATCTTACTATGCTAGGTGTGCCGAAGCTCTGTTAATAACCTCATTGCTTTTCGAGGGCTTGCTGTTTCTTACCTACATTAGGCACCGGCTCTTCATGGCATGGTGCCAGCTGATGAGACCCCGGCACACAAAAGACGGCGAACGTTCCAAGCATTACTGATGTTATGATCCAAATTGAAGTCCTTGGAACTTAAGAGCAGCCCCAAAGAAGTATGAGGACTGGCGTCGACGAATACTACTTTCATACTCCATGTCGGAACGCCTAGTGGAAAATACCAATCAACCACCAAAAATAAGAAAGCTCGCCCTCTAATGCGATCGTCGCCCGCAACCCATCTCATGATCCCTCCGAAACAGTCGCATGGTATTATTGAATGCAGTCATGACAGTCCATACTATGTCTTACTCGCGCCTTGCGGAGGCAGCCCTTCCTCTAGGATCCGAACATGATTCCGAATAGCAAACTTCCACTCCATGGCAATCTTCCACGCAAGAATTGAGAACATGACAAACATAACACTACAGAAGCCCAAAATCATCAGCACGCTAAACCACAACGCAGCAGCCTGCAGCGGCGCCGCCGTGTCCACCGCCACCGCAACCTGCAGCCCGCTCAGCACGATCGAGACGATACCGATTGCGAACAGGATGGGCCCGTAAAAGTGCGCAAAGTACGCTGCGTATTGATACTCCACCCTTTGAAAGTACGACCTCCCCAGCAAGAACGGCGCGTAGAAGTTGAGCCGCGTCAGCCGTATCTCGCCGTACCCGTACCGCCCGGACACCTCGTGGTCGCCGACTCGCGCAAGACCAGCCGTGAAATCACAGAACTCCTCCCACGTTATCCCCTCCGGTATTAGCCGCAGTGCAGGGTCTTGCGCGATGTGAAAGTCGGACTCGTACCGCACGAGATGCAAGCACGTCCTCAGAAACCCCAGCGCCGCCCTCCGGATCCGGTCGCGGCGGGCCCGGGCCTCGGGGTCCACTCCGACCCCGCTACCCGGCGCCGGTCCCGGCGGGACGGTTAGGTAGCGCCGCCAGAAGGCGTGGGAGGTGAGATACCGCGGAAGTGGCTTGATGAATATGCGGTCGTGGATCCAGACGAGATGCAGCTTCGCCTCCTCGGTGATGACGATTGTGCGGCGCTTCACGCGCTGGCGGTGAAGCGGGGAGATGTTGGCGCTGTTTTGGGAGGACATCCACCACAGCCTGTGCGCGATGCGATCCAAGTCAGAGGAGCAGTGCTCGCGCTCGAGGAAGTCTAACATGCCGATTTTGTCGTGGAGGGACGTGCGCGGATATCCTGGCAGTCGGCGCGGTTGGGCTGATGGCGATGCATCGTCGAGTGTGTCTAGCTCTGTGCAGAGCTGGTGCTCTGCTGGGAATGGCGGCTCTTTTGGTGAGACTGTGTTCATGATAGAGAAGCTGCTGAGATGAGTATTTCGGGTGAATGCGTGGCGCTGCGATTGGACTTTTGATGCTTGCCAGTGAGCAGCAACCTTAAAGCCTTGCTCGACAACTTTTCGCCATCTCGAGATTCTCCCGAATCATCCTGAGTGGCTTTTTCATCAGCCACGATGCAAGCGTTAACTGGATAAAGGAAGTCTTGGTCCATCGAGAATCTGATTGGTTTTGGTTTCTGCAGTGTCAGCCCGAGATGTCCCTTCAGGTAACTCCAATTGGCGCGATACCCTTGTCGCACGCCTCAGAGGGGGCAGTGAAGGCGGGGTTGGTCCGCCCGAAATCACAGCTCTCAGCCTGTGAGAGGTTGCATGATCAGCTGGCCAGCCATCTGATCACTTTCATGCACAGAGTAGTATCATTTCCTGACTGGAGAATATCACTTCAATGAGTATTTCAGAAGGCCTCAAAACTGACTTTACCTTATTCCTTCTAGGGCTTGTATCTTTGACTGCTGGGATGACACATGGGGGTTAGCTGCGGGCCGTGGCAGCGGTCCCCGGGGGCCGATGGTGAAGGATATGAACACAAAATCGGTGATCCTCCTAAGGATTTTACGCAGCATCTGCAGAAAATTTGTCCATGCCTCAAAAGGGATTAAAACAACATTGATTTCGACAGAAGTCGGATGTGGAAACAACTAATCGGATGATTCAGAACCAACATTCGGGTCCGTCTCATTACCCCTCAGCCGGATCCGCTCCGACGGAGCTCCTCCGACATCCCCCTGAAACCTCAGCGCTAAACACCAGACGAACCAAAGTCAGACACTCAAGGTGCCGCCAAGTCATACGCCAATGTTTCCGTGCAAACAGATTCCCGGATCTTGTGAAGTCTAATTCATCTCAACTTCAAATCGAACTTCAGGTTGTGGTAGGGGCGGGGCCACTTACTTCTGATGTGCCGGGTGCCCCGCGTAAGACAGCACCTGCTCCTCGGTATCCAGAACGGTCATCAGCGCCATGTCGAAGCCCTGCGCGCGGTGTGCGGTGCTCGCGAGTGGCGGACCGAGGGTGAACGACCTAAGTCCAGGGATAACGCCGACCATGGCTTCACCCACGGCGCGCATCTCGTCGATCTTGGAGGACGGGACGTCGGGCTTGAGTTTGAAGAGAACTATCGATACGTCAGTGCAATCACTTGAGGGGGTTGATGGTTGGATTCTGACCGATGTGGTAGATTGCCATGTTTAATATGGGTTTGTATGATTAGAATAGAATAATCATCTAGTGAAATATGCAAAGAACCGTTGCCGGCGGAGAGAAACGCGCTGCTTTATGTGTCTAGGGAAGCCAACGCCGGAGCAGGCCGGGGTCGCGGCCCCGCTCCGAGAACACGGACATTTCTTCCCCCGCTGGTCACCCAACAAATGCATTCCCGAAGTGCTACCTGCTTTGTCTTCGGACCCGGTCGCAGCGAGCGAGACCCGCGCAGACCGCTCAGGGATAGCCATCACGCGCAAAACAAACGCCCAGAGTTAAGTTCTATGTCGTGATACCTACTATCAGCTAAACTCATTCAGACGGCCGCCACCGGATGACAACTCTCTCATTCCCAGAAACCAACTTCCGACACTTCGACATCCGCCCCGGTGAACTTTTGACATCAAACACTCACTCACCAGCCGACCATTGAAGAGCACGCTGAAAAAATTGTGGGTTAAAATCAGGGAAAGCCTCCGTTGCGTCCAACTCGCCGCAGCTATTCCTTCTTCTCAAAGCACTCTGGTCCATGAACATGGACCGGAGTCGGCGAACCACCCTTTCCCCATCCAAGACTCAATTTAAATTCGGTCGAGAAGCGCGCAACCTGGGCATAGGCGCGGACAGACACTTCTCTCGGCTCCGGCTTCTCCTCGGGCTCGTCTTCAGGGTTACTGGGCACAACTACCCAGTCCCGATCCTCATATTCGGTCCGTGCAACGGTCTTCACCAGTGCCTTCTCGCTGACGGAAGTGTCGTTCACCGCGGCGGACTTCTCGTCGATGGAATCTTCGTCATCTTTCTGAGCTGACTGAGATGCGGATGCCGAACGCCCGGTGGAGAAGGTGAACCCTGTTGCGAGCGGGTGCATGGTTAGATCACGGGCCGGACATAGATCGTGGGGTTAGGAGCTGTATCCGTACTTGATGGGACTTTGTAAGTGCCGCCTTGCTGTGCCATTTTGGTTCAGAAAGTTCGTCGAGTCGATGAAAATATGATGTTGGAGTTGAATAATTCGGATCCGGAAATTGAGTCTTATTCTTTGGGGCTCATTGTTATTTCAACGGCACTGGGAAGAAAGTGCCCGACGCGGGCGCGCGGCACGGAGTGGCGAACGTTGGTTGGCAGACACCTCCAGGCCAATGACCCAGCACCAATGACACCAGGCTTCATCTCCATGCCTGTCTGTCAGATTTCCAGACAGCGGGACTTTTGTCATTTGTACGCGCAAACCGTCAAAAAAAGCCAACCAATAAGTAAATCTTCAAGGCTAGTTAGTTAACAGCAAATGGAATCACTTTGAGTTGGTCTCTCTCTCCGCTCATCTCGGTAGGTTTCAGTGAAGCTACCCCGCCATTCCCCGCAGACGGTTTGGATACGTCTCTTCACAGTGACAATGACAGAACTGACGGCAAAAGGTTGCGACGTCAATCGTGATGTTTTCGAATGGTAATGAGGCAAAAAGGACAAAAGAACATACAACACCAGGTATTCGCTGGTCGTCACCGACCCAACTACTAATCCGGCCCTCACTGGCTTGTCTATGGGAGAGCGGACGGGATCCCGAGTTCTCCAGTGGGTATGGTCGTATGTGGTGGTTTAGCTGCTGTAAGTGGTTTATAATGGCCGCAAAGTTTCGCAACTCGCTTCTTTGAAAATCCTTGTTGGTGCTTGATTGTCAGTTCCTAGTATCTACTGAGAGCATAGCATGCTTGATTGACGACGACATGCGCTGTTTATACTTTGACTAAAGCTATCTATGTTGAACACAGCAAGGAATGGCACCAGGTCAAGACGAAGCAGCGGACTGTAAGCCTTCCCATGTTCCAGGAGCCGGGTAAGTGGTGCCTATAAGCTCTTTATCACCGAAAAGAAAGTGGCCGTCTTTCCCCAAGTCTGCGATAACATGTTTCTCAGTTGGTGGAGGGATCAGAGAAGGCGTCTCGGGTGTAGGTTCGACGAGACAAGCACGTCCATCGACCGCCGCCATGTGATCGGCATTGATTCCAGGACTAATCCAGAACGTCATGTTCGGGTCGATCTGGGATTTGATCTCAGAAAGACGCGGGTAGTTTGCGCCCCAGAACGCAGAAGTCCAGTTCTCCTGTTCAGTGCTCGCCTGCAGAGTGACTAGTTAGCATTTTGTTCGGATTTCGCCTGCCAGCAAGACGGCGGACATGCAGCCATGGGGGACCAGACGAACCTCGTTAATGTATGTACCCATATCGGGCGCAAGACGTCTTAGACCGTCTACACTGGTTGTGTTCGTCTTGTAGCCAACCACAAGCGCGACGGCCTTCCGCCAACCCGGGTTGTTGGAGGTGTCGGCTCCGTCCCCGACTCTGCCACCTGGCGAGCAAACCAGAATACCATAGCTCCCTCTCGTTTCACGCAACGCAAAGGCGATGTTGGGACTGCGGAAGTGCTCGGCGGCAAGTAGTCGACTGTCAAAGGTGACGATGCCACGGCTGTAAGGCGCGGCGGGCTCATCTCCGGGATTCGGAAGCGGGCCGTAAGTTGTGTCGAAGAAGTCCTTGTAGTCGACAAAGTCATAAGGCCGCGTCTGGAAAGGCGTCATACCAGGGAATTCCTGAATTTTCGACAGAATCGGACCCCATACGGCGTTTGCATTTGCCACACCCGCACGGTCTGCTGGATGAATAGCGTAGCCACGAACACTGGTAGCTGAAACATAAATATACGCAGTAATTCCCTTCTCTTGGATACCAGGCAACTCGGATAAGAGGTACGCCATAGCCTCGCTGACCGGTGTCCGTCCAGTTTCATAGTCGGTCGACTCTGGTCCTGTGAGTGTTGAATTGATCCACCAGTTGAAACCGGTCAGAGGAACTGTGGGATACACTTTCCAGGTGGCTTCCACAACGACACCAAACGTACCGCCGCCGCCACCACGGATGGCCCAGAAGAGATCCGTATTTGTTTTGGCGTTTGCGATACGAAGCTGCCCGTCGGGTGTTACCACTTTGGCTTCAAGCCACTGATCGACTCCAAGCCCATACTGAGATGTGAGCGGCCCATAACCGCCATTCTGGCCCCAACCTCCGCCGACGGCCACAGTGGCTACAACATATTAGCTATTGACTCTGCTGGCAATAAGAAGACGAGGCACGATGCCGGCATGCCCTGTTGTGTCCTTCAACTTACCTGCAGCCCCACTCACGGTGAATAAGCCAGATGAATCAAGTGCGTAGTTCAGGAAAAGTCCAGCTGCCGCCGGTCCAAACGTAACAGCAGCTTGAACCCCCTCAACGGGAGTGATGACGTTGGGTTCCTCCTCGTGGTTGAGCCTGGCTGTACCAGTCTCAGTCGCAGTAAATGATTCATGGACATGAATGCCTCTCAGATAAGATAGGTCGAGTAGAAGACCAGATCCAGCGTCGTTGCGACCAAGCTGGTCGTGTCCCGTGGTGACCACGGTAATGCGGACGTTCTGTTCCGCGGCAAACCGAACCGCAGCCTGAACATCTTCGATAGAGTGAGCACGGAATCGGTAGTTCGGGAGAGAACCAGTTGTAGAGTTGTCTGTGATCGGAATCACACCTGGCAGTGCTGCCTGCCAAATATCAGAACTTGGCCAGTCCGAATCTGTGGGAAGCTTGCGGCATTTGGCGCAATTGCCTGGAGAAATAGCCCAAGCTGAAAAAGCAACATAACGAAGGAGAGCATATGGCTTCATTGGAACGAGTGTCAATGCCGATGACTAGAAGAGCAGTGTGGTTTTGGTGATTAGTATATGGCTGATCATCAATTTGTTGCGAGGACTCTCTGTTATTTAAACAAAATTAGTGACTCTATTTTGCCCTGCGCGTTGCACTGCTCCCAACCAATGTCAACCATCTGCAGTACTAGTTCTAGTGATTGAGAAGTTGGAATCTGATCTGAATACACGTATACAGAACCGATCCCGGACGCGAAAGCGAGAGCGGTTTCTTTCCTCTTAAAGCCGACGACTTGGTAAATGAAATGGACGAAAGTTGCAGAAAGGAGCTTAAGGGAAGTAATTAAACGATGTTACTCTGGTCCATTGTTCGTCAGTGAGCCACCGCTGGGTGATCATCGCCAAGCTCACTAGCAGGGGTTAACTCCCGGAGTTTCGCGGGGCTCGCTTCTTCGGCCCCCGGGGGACTTTGCGCCTCCGTGGGACCTGGGTTCTTTCGTCAGAATTATTCGACGGCAAGAGTCCGAAGCCTGGGAAGGAGAACTTTCGAAATGTTATCATGCTAAGATTTTCGCTGAGTGCGGCGGATGGATGGGAGTGAAAGAAGAAGCGTCACTGCCTTGCATTGGGCGTCGAAAATCGAGCTTGTTCACTTCCACCAATTGCAACGATTACGATACGCCGCGCAATAGGTATCATGCAGCAACCCCTTTTACCGTCACCCCGCCCTATTCGACATCGCGATACCGATACCCAAACTGTTCACTTCCATGAATATCGAGCTTGTTCACTTCTACAGAAAGAAGGGTTGAATCCATTTGGCAATTGCTTACGTTAAAACACTTTGATTGCAACAAGGGTAAACGCTCCACCACGAATAGCGGTATTAACCCAATACTGTTGTCATTGCCAGCTCTTGGAAGCAGAGAAGAACCCGTGACAGATGCAACGTTCATGTGACTAGAAGTTTCTCATGACCTACGGTATGAGCTTAGGTGCATAAATGTGGCTGGACTGATGCACTCGGCCACGCTGCGCTGCCTCTCGTGTAGACCGCCAAGTGAATTCCGCTGCAGTCAGCACAACTTTCCCAGTTTGCTACCAATCAACAATCACTCAGCAGTACAAACGAGTGATATGCATACTGATAACATTGGAGACCCATTATGGTCTGATATTTTGCTGCGGCTATGGCTGCGGTCTGGGTGGTGTGCCATGGCAGAGGGATTGGGACATATGATAGATAAGGCAAACATTCCCCTCGGTTCAAACTTCATTGACGGCCATCACGTCGACTCGATCTCAGACTCTACAGTGCGAAGACGACCCAGATTCAACACGAACTATCATGGAATACCGTCCTCTCAGTATCGCGAGGGAGGAGATTCGGCTCATCGTTCTTACTCCCAACAAAGATCCTAGACAGCCCATCGAATGCGACATCCTGCAGTTGTCATTGGCAGAAACAGGGCAATATGTAGCGCTCTCCTACTGCTGGGGTGACCCGAAGGACACTGTTCGCATCGTAGTGTCAGAAAGGGAAGTCATGGTAACCAAAACTTTGGCCCACGCCCTTCAAGAGCTGCGACGTCGAAATATTTACCAAGTCTGGGTAGATGCAATCTGCATCAACCAAAAAGACTTCGAAGAGCGAGCCCAGCAAGTCTCACGGATGGGGCCCATCTATCGGTGTGCTTCTGCTACCATGGCCTGGCTTGGATATTCTTCTGTCGACACCCTGTCCACAAAGGCATGCGAACTTCTGGATTCTCTGGCAGCAGTACCGGTGGAGAATCAGACGCATCAGACGCAGAAAACAAAACAGAACACGAATAACCGTCCATTGAAGGAGAAAAAAGGGGAGAGTTCAGCCAATATGCCCATCCCACCATCTGAAACCCCGCTCTCCAAGCGGGAAAATTGGGATGCACTTCAGGACGTATTCAAGAGAAGATACTGGAGCCGTACTTGGATCATACAAGAGGTCGCCGTGGCCGGAAACGTTCATTTCTTCTGGAATGGCGGCTCGATATCGATTCTGAAACTGAGCCGCGCCGTTTCACGCTGTAAAGCTATCGCCAGTCGGGGCCTCTCTGAACCTGGAGCGTTGAGCGCGAAGCGTCTCATATCAATGGCCGAGTTCGAACACATAGACCGCCTCTTGGAGTTTCGTCGATTCCGAAGATCGCCTATCCGCCTCGTCCAAGCGCTTATTCTTTCCCGAAGAGCAGAGTCTAGCGAGCCCAGAGACAAGCTATACGCCTTGATTCATCTCGCCACTGATGGAGCAGACACAATACCGTTTCCAGACTACGAGTCTGAGTTACTAGTATTGAATCAAAAAACTGCTGCTCGAATGCTCAAGTTTGCTTATGTCGACCTTGACGCCATTGTCTTCCCTCTGCATGTTGAAGGGACCTGGGTACCACAATGGCATGATCCATTGACCTGGATAGACAACAGGCTGAACCGGTACTTGGAAGGGAAGAGCAAATTTGTCAAGGAACGTTCATCCGGGTCCTCTGGATCCAGCGAAATTATCCAAAGATGGTCAGCGACTCCTTCCTCTGGAATGTATCACAAAGTCACTCCCGCTGGATTACAAGTACGATTCAAAAGGATAGGCCGCATAAACCAGTGCTCAGCAACGGACCAAGAGGCGAAATTCGGCGAACTGGACACAGTAGACCCCATCAAAAGAGAGAGGCTTTTTGGGTAGCAAAGGAAATGTCTCATAGCGCTCTGCTGGCTTCTCCACGACCTGATTCCGAACAACAACTACGTAAAGCCCAAAAATGTCGATAAGGAGGATATATATCGTCTCTTTGGATCGGATGCCGCACAAAAGAAAATCCAAAAGGACGTGCCTGGTTTCTACAGGTGGGTGTTTTGCCGGAAAAACCTGGATTTCAAAATCAACGGCATACGACTTGCGAAGTGGCTCTGCGTGGAAAACCGCAACAAGAATGATACAGTTAGGAAAGCCAAAAGGTGTCATTCTGCTGTCTCGATGGGAATGAGACTGGTTACGACTGAGGAGGGCGACATTGGATGGGCAACGCGTTCATGTCTCGTTGGGGATGAAATCTTCCTATTACATGGCTGTAGTGTACCCGTGGTGCTGAGGAAGAGGTTCCAAGGTTATCTCCTAGTTGGCGACAGCATAGTGCATGGTTTCATGGATCGCCAAGGTGTTCAAGATGACCCGCCCTTGGCCTGGGACACCTTGACGTTGATCTGATGATGGGTTGGAGAGAAATCTGTGCTTAATTGATACAGAAAGAAGTGAAAAAAGTTATTTTCTTAGCAAATGATCAAGTTCTTAATTGCAATAAAATCTATCGGAGACGATGGGCAACACATGTAATGGCAATTGAGAGACATCATCGCGGTGCACAAGGTGAGTCACAGATTCGAACTCCCAGCTGTGTTCAGATGCTTTGTTTCCCCGGGATCTGGATCTTACCCAGCTTCACGCCCTGGCCGTAATGCTGCACCGTACGTTCTGAACATGAACTCAACAGACTCACCAACGGTTGCTGCCTGAGATCGGACCATAGTGGCTATGTATGCAGTTGGTCCCACAAAACATGATGCGAATGTGCCTTGGCTGATTCCCATGTTATTCCGGCGGTGAGTCACGAAGCTATCTCCGGAGTCATAATTCTGCCATGTCTTTCTTATATATAAAGAGATCAACTCGATTCTACTTTGACCATCTTCTACTCAGTTTCACAGCCTCCTCCTCGCCGAAATAAGAACCAAAGGTTTCAACTACACCCCAAGGGCAGACAATGACAACCACTATGGACGACCTACTGCCCAAGCGTATCTTGAAGACGGCTCGTCATCTTTCGATAACGCCAATCGAGCTCATTGAGCCAGTTCTTGCCGACCTACCCCTTCATCGAGTACTTGACTTGCTATCAACACGATACGGCGTCGGCGGACAGCCCGAATCCGTAACTACTGCAGAATCGGGCTCGGCACTCGAGGCAGCTATCGGTCAGAGTCATGCGTGGAGATTGATCACAACATGCGATCTCCGTCGAATCGCAGCTCTATGGCTTGCTTTCACCCAGATGACGGTGTTTTCCGAGGGCAGCCTGCCAACTCATAGCCCTTACTGCAGGGAATGGCCTTTCAGCACGCATCATTGGTTCTTCGATCATGGGATTCCAGCTTCCCTTCCTCTTGCGCGCAAAAACAAAAAGTGGCTCGAAGAAAAGCTTGAGTTGGCCCTGAAATCCTATTTCACTAAAAGATTTATCAGTCGTCAACCATTTAGCGACAGATCGTCGTGGTTGAAAGCCGCGTGCAGATATCTACCCGCATCCGATGATCTACCAGCTACTTGGCGTCCGTACGACGGCGGAGACGGATGGTGGAACCAACTGACAGCGGACGATTGCATGAAGCTCGTTCCACGACTGACGGAAGCGTATCGAAGTCTCAATGAAGCAAGACAAGCAGAAATCCGACGCCTGGCAGACCTTTACAAGATCTTCCCAACGTATCTGAGACAGCCTTACGGACCTTCCGTGCCCTCTAAGAATCTTCACCACATTCCCAGAAATCTTGTATATCACTCTCACAATCGCAGAGGGGGGCCCTTTTGTTTTCGTTTTGCTCACCCCATTCTGGTACCCTATGATTGGTGTTTCCAACTATTCCATGCAGTTCTTCAACAGTTGCCAACACAGAACATGGAGGAACGCGAACAGCAGAAAACAGACACACAGGAGAGCGACCTTGGAGCCAAATTCCAACAGGATCTGCGAAGGGCAGCAGCCGGCCTTAAAGCCATCTACACCCATGAAAAGCCTCTTCCCTTACGGGTTACTGCGTCTTACAGGCAGATTATCCATGACATGACAGGCCACTGGAGCAATGAATGCACCAGCACACCGGAGGAGCTTGACTGGCTCGAAGCCTTCCTTCGTTGCGTCAAGTGGATGGAGGCCGAGCATCCCAGACTGGCAGCAGACCTGAAGGTATCATCGGCGAGGGCACACGATCAACCGAGAATTGAAGGCCTGGAGGAACCCGAAACCAAACTCGGAGTCAAGCCAGTTGGAAAGGGCGTGCTTCTGGAGGCCTCGGACTTCCAAGACTTCATTGAGAACTCCGCAGCTGAATCTGTCGCGCAGCAGCTTCGAGCCGACCTCAAAGTTTCAAAAGAAGGGAAGACCTCGGAGTTGCCCAGTCTCACTGCTCTCTATATGCCCGAATTCTCTTCGCCACGGGCCAAAGAAATTGCCAAGTCAATCTGGGCGGATGAGTCCCTCCATATCAGCGTGCGCCAGATGCTCTACGAACAGATGCTTGAGACGATCAAGAAGCAGCTCTCAAAGGACGCGAAGATGGATACGGCTGACGGCCAGGGCGAGGTTCAGTCTTACGAGACACAGCGTTCACGCAAGTGCTACATCTGTCACATGGATCTCCAAACCTCGCATAAGACTCTAAAGTCTATGTGCATCCCGTGCGGAGAATTCAACTTGGCCGAAAGAGCTCTATCGCTACCGCCGAACTTGTCCCTCGAAGGCAAGACTGCTCTTGTCACTGGTGCACGGATCAATCTAGGATTCCACACTGCATTGAGACTCCTCCGTTGCGGTGCGTTCGTCATTGCATCTTCGCGGTATCCTGAAGATGCCTTGTCCCGTTACCAAACGGAGTCTGATTACGCCAGCTGGGCGCCACGGTTGAAGATCGTCGGAGCAGACTTTCGCGCTGCAAAAGACGCCTTTGCCTTGGTTGAGGCTACCAAGGCAACCCTGCAACAAGAGAATCGGAAACTAGATATTCTTATCAACAACGCAGCTCAGACTTTGACTGATCCCGTCGAAAAGGAGCAGATGGCAGTCAAACGCGAGCAACGGCTACTCGAGGGCTCGCGGAATGAAGAATCCAGCAAACAGGTCATCACACGCCAGGGATACACGGCCCGTGTTCGTGGTGGAGCTGTTGCTGATGCAATTACTGGCAAGGACGGCAGCCATCTGCTTGGACAATCTACCCATGTGAGCAATTCCCTTGTTGCTCCGATGTCCAACTTGCGATTGTCAGAGCCGTCAAAGCAGTCTTCCTGGGTGCAATCACTCTCCGAAATACCTTATGAAGACGTCATCACGGCTCACAGCGTCAATACCTTCGTTCCATTGATACTGATCCGGGAGCTGATGCCTTCAATGGCACGAGGTGGTCATATTGTGAATGTGTCTTCTAGAGAGGGCATATTCGAGTCGAATCGACGCAGTTCTGCCAAGACTGGCAAGCATGTGCATACCAACATGTCGAAAGCTGGGCTCAACATGATCACAGAGACCGAGGCAGCCACAGCTTGGGAGGAACACAAGGTGGCAATGAACACAGTTGATCCAGGGTATATGAGCGCTGCCCCTGAGTTCGAGCTGGCATTCGACGGTGAACGGCCTATCGGCTGGGAAGACGGAGCCGGTCGGGTTTTGTGGCCCATTGCCAAGAGCGAGAAAGGCGCTCCGATTTGGGGTCGATTCTTGAAGCACTATGGTGCGGCTCGTGTCGACACACGATTCGGACGTGGTTGAACGGGTTTAGAGAAAGCACAGCTTAAGGACGAAGTCAAACAACATGATGGATATCGGATCGTGAAGCTCAATGCTAGGATGGGGGCACTCCGCAAGACCTGAGGCGGGGGATTTCATAAACCGAGTGGATAGCAATAAGTTCAGGCAAAATGAAACATATATTGTGATTAATTTCGTGCTGGAAATACTCTAAGAAACACGCCCTTTCCCATATTGGTTCCGGCGGATCAAGCGTCTAAAAGAGTTGCCTCTCCTGCTTGTGGCTGCTCAAGCTGGTATCACGGCTTAAAATATCCCGTCCAGAGCGTTCGCAGCAGACCATCAGGGTCGTATATGTTTGCGATGGCCCGAAGTCTCTCTTGGTTCTTTGCGCCATAGCTCGCAATCACATTCTGCAGTCTTCCAGAATAGTTTATGTACTCAAAACCATTCCCAAATCCTCTCTCTCTGGCCATAGCATCCAAGTCTTTGATAAACTGGTTCGTCCGGGCGTCAATCATGTCGTCAAGAGATGCGTCAATCCAGGCCATTGGTATGGAAACAACGTAAGATGGGAACTCTGCAGGTTCAAGTCCCAGGGGGTTGCCGCCGTTCCTCTGCATGGCGCCGAGTGAAGGGTTGGTCAGTGGCTGGAAGACCATGGTGACATCGAGAAAAGCCCCACGAGCTCTAGCATCTGCTCTGATATAGTTGGCGAAGATGGTGAAGGCTTCAGCAACATCCTTCATGAAATCGTTGCTGTTCAGACCGTCGCTGATAGAAGTAGCGTACCATGATTGTCTCTCGCCGAATACAGTTGATGAAGTGGTTCGAATTATGCCCGAGATGTCCGCGACGAGTGTGGTATTGGAGAGAGGCTCTGGAAGCTGGTCAAAGCCAACCATAGTATCAAACTCGCCACCAGGAGCGTGCGGGGAGGAGAGGTCCATATGGAAGCCGTATACCGTTGGGATTGGTGCTTCAGTGGTGTTGTCGGCATACGTTAAGCCAAATATCAGATGCGAGTCCGGATCCTGTCCCGAGTGCACCTTTTCCCTTGTGATTCTGGTAAAGGTGGTGAGCACTTCGATGGTGTCGCTGGCCGGCCACACGCTCAGCCGGCTCCAGACATCGCCTTGCTCATAAGCCTCGAGGTCAAAACGGGTAACGATGCCAAAGCTGGACCCGCCACCGCCTCTAAGAGCCCAATAGAGGTCCTGGTTCTCGACCGGGTTGGCGTTCACTATATCACCAGATACGAGAGCAACCTGGAAGTTTCGGACGTTGTCGCAGCCCAGGCCTCTCCTGCCGGTGAGAAAAGAGAGGCCACCTCCCAACAGAAACCCTGAGACGCCGACCATAGGGCTGCGGCCGCCAACCACCGCGATTCCCAAAGGCGAAACAACGTCGGTTACATTGATCCAGCGGTTACCAGGGCCAACAGAGACCGTGGATCGGTCAAGAGAGACTTGTATATCGTTCATTGAGTCCATAGCAATGACGACCCCTCCCTGGATGTTGGATCCCCTAGGGAACGCGGTGTGTCCTCCGCTCCTGACAGTAAAGGGGTTGTCGTGCTTGGTCACAAGCCCTAGAATCTTCGAAACATCCTCAGCAGATTCGGGCAGAGCTATACAGGAGGGCTTCATGCTCTGTCTGCCTGACCAGTAGACATTTGATGTGTTGTATGCAGTCGTGTCTGGGTAGGCCACCTTGCCTGGCAAGGCCGTGTTGAGCATCTCGCACTGCAGGTCCAGTTAGTACTAACATGTAACACAACTGCAAATCAGACACCCACAATAGACGGTGATATGGGAGACGCAGACGGAAGTGCGATACATGGCGAGCCATATATCAAGCCTGTGAGAAGAATTGCAGCGGGAAACTGCATTATCGCGTTTGTGACGAACTTGTTTTAATGGTGGAGAGGTAAAACGATGAAATTCTCGATGTGAGTGAGGACAGAAACATCCCAAGTGCGGACACACAACTCAGTTTATAGTTCAAAAGACGGCATCCCCGTAACGACAGAAACATAGACAACGAGAAGCACAGCCATGGAATCAGTTCTCCTCATCGACTAATCCGCGCTTCTGGGTAAAGAGCCAAGGCACCAAAGTCGCCTTGGGATGAACTAGCAATGCCTCCTTCACGAAAGCATCCCGGACTAGTGTCAATCTGACATCACAGTTTGGTATCGGCCACACGATCTTGCGGTACACTCCTCGGATGGTAGTTGCAGCCCGAGCCGGGTGCGATCAACGCAAATTTGAGAGAGCTTGGGAAGCCAGGCCTCATGTTTCGTCCGGTCGCTACTAAGAGAGCACAGCGCGCAGCATGCTAAGCCAGAACTTTAAGATCAAATTAAATGACGAGGGAAGAAAGGACCAATGAGGGAACTCCGTCCTACTCGAAGGCCTCTATTCTCATTTTCCTTCGTTCTCGTTTTCGTTCATTTAACGAAGTTCACCGCCACACTCTCAAGCCAACGGGCCCGTGAGAGACCACAAGTATTAGAATTGTGACCAGTGTAAGAAAACAAACGCGAATTGTAACGAAATTTTGCTGCTTGAGGTAGCAGGGGAGCCTAGAGATGATCTTTGGGTGTTGGGCAGTAATAATCTCATATCGTGAAATGACTAACCATTACGAATGCGAGAACGGTATTAAGGAGAAGCAAGTGGGGAGTCCCAAGAACAATACCGTAACGGATAATTCAATAGGTCTGAGCGGAAGAAGTCCAGTGAAGGCGATGCACGCTCCGATGGCGAGCGTGCATCAACCGAAAGAAAGTGTTGATGAGGATGGAGTACTATGGGAGGATAATTGCTCTCGCATGTTCAATATGAGTCTTACACCGATCGAACTATCACTATCAAACTCTATGTCTCTCTAATTGATTCCGTACGAAGAGTCTCTTTGCATATGAATTTGACGAACCAACAGCGGGCTACATGTAGTTTCCGGACAGCTGGTCGTTGATATGCAAGTATTCGAGACCTTCGTTCAATCAATTTGGAATTCAACAACTATTTTGAGAGCTTGGAACTAATGGCTCAACAATTATAGGAATTATGAGAGCACAAGTGCAGTGACTCATGTTCGTCATCTCGGTTTATGCAGGTAAGATCTCAGCCTGCCTTCGATGTCAACGTTGGCATCGAACATCCCTTCCGTTTGGATCAAGGTCGCGACATGTCATCTGAAGTATAACTGGTCAGTTATCTGCCGAGATGCAAGATACCATATCCAGCGAGAATATTGCCAATATTACACGCATCCATGCGTCTTCGGGCATAACATGAAGCCTCATGTGTGACCAGTCAAGACTTTCATTGACCCGCAAGTACATTACATATATGGCGAGTGAGCTCATCTAGTACCATAAGCTCTTAATATCACCTGAGTTGAATCAGCCAGACTTCTTTGTTTTTTTTTCCGGTAACAATACCCATGATCTCAAAGCGCTACGATGGTTTTCAGCAAGATCGTCAATTACACCAAGCGATTGGCATCAAGCCCTAAGAAACTCAAGTCTCGTTATGAAGCACTGGATGAACTTATCGTCGGAGACACATGTGAAGTGTGTCACTGGAACGGACGAGGCATGTACGACTTGCCAGCCGGTCTTCTCTTACGCGAAAATAGGCTGCTGCTCGCGAAAACGCCAGGAGAAAGGACTCAGCAACTCTTCCGATCAGCAATCAGCAAAGGATGTCTATGCTGTGCAATACTTTGGCAACTCATCGACAAATGCCTGATCAGCGAGGTCCACGATGCCGAGATTACAATACACCTGCTCTCAAAGGGCTACTTCACCGTAGATTGCCAATACAAGTACGGTGATGGAAGCGCACGGGAATGGATGTTTGCGGTTCCGGAACATTGGGAAACCGCGATTCGCCTTGTCGACGAATGGAAAAGAGACGAAGCCGCCACGATACCTTCTATCCCGCAGCTGGATTTGAAGCAGCAAACCACAATAAGGCGCGACACATCTTCCGATGCCGGTCTTGCTTGGGCCAGAAGCAAACTCAGCGATTGCGCTAAGAACCATCCTCGATGCCGCAACACGGGTGAATTCCTACCCTCACGACTGATCGACGTCAGCCCACAAAGCTCCAGCGGAGACGTGGTTCTCAGAGAAAGAAAGGACATACCACCGGATGCCAAATATGTAGCCCTCAGCCACTGTTGGGGGCCAAACGGCGAGACCGAGATCAAATGTCGAACGCTAAGTGACAACTTCGAGTCACGGACTCAGTCTATCCCGTGGTCTTTGCTGTCGCGCACATTTCAAGACGCCATTCATTTCACCCGCAGACTGGGACTGCGGTACATATGGATTGATTGTGTGTGCATCATACAAAAGGACAAGGCAGACTGGAAGATAGAAGCACCACTCATGTTCGAGGTTTACCACAACGCCTGGGTTACGCTTGCTGCACACCATGCTCGGACCAGTCTCGAAGGAATGTACTCCAAATCATTTCCCGAACGTGAGACCAGGATACATTTACCGCCAGAAGTGACCACTAAGTTGGCACAGAAGAGAGGCAGCTGCATAAAAGGCGGCAGTGCACTCGAGTTGATCGGCCTGGAAGTAGACGCCGTGTGCCCTCACATCTATAAGGCAACACTTGACAGCTCTAAACGGCGCCAGGTAGGATTGAACAGGCGGATTCGACGACGGCCAGCATCCCGTCCACAAGGACCGATATTCCCACGGACCTCTGTTCACGCGTGCATGGACTTTTCAGGAGCGCGAGATCGCACCGCGTCTGCTGGTGTTTACTGCGAATGATCTGGTGTGGCAATGCAAGACGACAGCAATCTGCCAGTGCAAGAACAAAAGTACCCCCATCAAGAGAAGCCTTTTTGAAGGGCATTCGCAGTCGCAAAGCTCCAAAGGGCTCACCACCCGAGACTTGGACGACTTGTGGTGGAATTTGGTCGAGCAGTACTCATCACTGGGCGTTACGAATGCTGACGACAAGTTGCCCGCCATAGCCGCGATAGCAAAGCAGATGTACAAAAAGCATCGATCTACTGATACATATCTGGCAGGTCTCTGGTCAAGCTCGTTCATTCGAGATCTTCTCTGGGTCTCTAGACTCCTTGATTTTGAGCCTCGATCTGGACGACCAAAGAACATGAACCCGAAGCCCGACCAGCCAGAGTGGTGGCCGGCGCCTTCGTGGTCATGGGCCTCGATACAGGATCCAGTCGAATTCTTGGGTCGAGATGCGCTAGATCCCACACGCCGGCTCGGTCGGAAGATCTCAAGCGTAGAACAAGTCGTCGAGATAATGCAGAAATCGTGCAAAAGCGCGCCTGACAGCAACGACTTCATGAAACCGGAAAAGTCCAAATGCACCCTCGTCATGCGTGGCACAACGGCTTATGCGCAGTTACGAAAGCATCTGAGAAACGGTACTCAGGTTGTCTTCTCTGTTGAGCTGACAAATGCCCGTGAAAAGACAATCATCTACAACGAACGTGCGATAGATGTCGACGTGAGGTCAGTCTTCATGGACTATGACCCTTGGTTGCAGTATCTTCCACCCTGGGACGATGAGGAAGATGTCGGCATCGACGGCCAAGATGATGATCATGATGGCTACGACTATGGCAACAGCTATGGCGATAATAATGGCTACGATTTCGAAGAAAGAGATTCCTCGGGCGATCTAGGTATCTTGGTTCACGAGGATGCCCGAATGGAAGTCACTTTACTTGAAATTGCTCATCTCAAAAACAAGCGGAACGTTTCTGAGTACGCAGTGGTTTTCATGATATTGAAGAGAGAGGGACAAGTCCGTGGTGATGCTGGTCACGAATATGAGCGTCTTGGTCTCATATTTGCGTGGTTCGACATGGAAGAGAAATTCATCACAGGTTTCAATAATGCCACGATGAATCAGCCGATGCAAATTTGTAGCATTGTGTAGCCATTCAGATGGTGGTCTCGATAGCTACCTCGTCAATGGCGGTCAAGCAATACCACCATCGCAAGGGACTTTTTCCATGTCTTGTTATGATCTTTCAGCAGGTGGAATTTCCACATCAACGTTCCTTCGTTCGGCAATTTAATAATTCATCAACGCAATCGCTGAGCCTAGTAAACTGTGTTTTCACATACACATTCGAAAGCCAACCGGACGAATCGAGTAAACCCCGCCTAATCAGCGATAGGCTGTTGACCTACCTAGTGAAAGACATAATAAAGAGCATCTTTCTCGCCGATATTACAATGCTATCGTGTTAGTGGACACAACTAATCATACGAACTGTTCGGCAGCAAATGCTTGGCAAAAGCTTGATTCGTGTTCCAGGCATTCCCTGTCATTGAGACAACCTCACCTTCCCTTTCGGGCAGGAGGCATCGCAACCCTAGTTGTTATCGCGAAAACGGGTGGAGCCGAAATCTCGGAGCCGGGTAGTCGGCAAGCATCAAGTGAAGTTGGGCTTGTTCAGGGAATGGCAGCAGTTGTTGCGTGATCGGAAACAGGATATAAATGATGGCGGTCGTCCTTCGAGCGATGAGATCTTTCATTGAACCAGACAAAGTTCTCACTTTCTTCAATCGCATACGACTTCAAACCTCAATCCCACACTCATTCGAGCACAATGAAGTCTGCTGCTTCCATCGCCTCGGTTGTCGGCCTGCTTGGCTCCACCGCCTTAGCCTCTATCGAGCCTCTTCAGTTCGATATCACAGAGGTCGACTTGTCGTCTCTGCAAAAGCGCAGCGATGGGGACGCGAGCGAGTCCCTGACGGTGTCTTCGCATGTTCTCGAGCTGAGGAAAGTTGACGGTGTTTCACCCGCCGAGACCTGGATCCGGTCCATCAGGAAGGGACCCGGCGCGGACGGACTCTACAATACGGGGCATGTCACAAACATGACTTTCTTGAATGGCTTTGAGTACATCGCCAGCATTGGCTTCGGCGACGAAACTCTTGATGTCATTGTCGACTCAGGTTCCAGCGATACATGGGCAGTCCAGAAAGGTTTCATTTGCCAGGACGTGGACGGTGCAAGACTGAACGATGTAAGTAAACGGAAAGCCTGATTAAGCATGCCACGGTCGGGCTAGAAGAGTGAGAAATTCCGAAGCTAACTGTAACAGTCATCCTTATGCCTCTTTGGGCCTACTTACAACGGCTCTTTTGATGGCGAACCCATCTCTGGTTCGCACTTCAACATCACCTACGGCGACGGCGAGTTTGCCACAGGTCTCATGGGCTTCCAGAACATCACCTTGGCCGGTTTTGAGGTCCCACATCAGCAGGTTGCCCTGGTCAACAAGACGTACTGGAACGGCGACAGTGTTGCCAGCGGCTTGATCGGTCTGGCCTTCGATCTGCTGACTAGCGAGTACTCCGACACCACTGGCGCGTCCGAATATTACTCACCCATCTTCACCACGATGTCCAAGAATGGCATCGTCAAGCCCGACTTGTTCAGTATGGCCATGGACGGCAAGTCCAGGACGGGTCAGCTGGCTTTCGGCGGGTTGCCTCCCGTCGAAGTGGCTGGCAAGTTTGTCAGCACACCCATCAAAATGGTGAGTTATATGTGTTGTGCAGAATGCTTGAGCAGAAGCTGACCCAACACAGGTGGCTCTTTCCTCTCGTAGACCAGAAGCCAAGACCGAGTACTCTTTTTACACCATTCTTCCTGATGGCTATGTCATTAAGAACACCACCTTGGCTCCTACTAGCAACGAGACTCTGGCCTCAAGCAAGTGGAACACGGCTGTCGCCAAGCCGGCTGGGTTCCTCAACAGCACGACTCCGACCATCGTCGACAGCGGCACCACGTTGATGTACGTGCCATCTGGTAAGTTGAGCCCAATCCTCGAAATCTGCTGTGTTGAAGTTTCAATTCTAACCGGGGGCGTTCCCTCGCATCCAGACATTGCTGAGGCGTATGCGAACTCCATCCCCGGTGCCTTTTTGGAGATCTTCTCAGGTGCATACTACGCTCCCTGCAACGCCACGTTGCCAGACTTTGGCATTGTGATCAACGGACACACCTTCTACGCCAACAAGGACGACCTGCTCTTCACCAGTGATCCTACTGATAATGGCGACGGCACTACTGTCTGTCTCTTGGGTGTTACTGACGGCGGTGAAGGCCCGTACATCTTGGGTGACACCATGATGAACAGCCTAGTGACTGTATTCGATGTCGGTGCCGGGATGATGCGCTTCGCACACCGTAAGTGAGCGAGGCGTGTCGATGAGATTGGGTTCAAGAGAACGTTACGATCTTTTATGTCAGTATGAGTGATAATATTCAATAATTGTTGTGATTCAAGACTGGGCAGTTTCTGGATTACGTAGTTCAGGATGTTGTTGCTAAAAAGCATGATTGGTCGTTCTTGACGTAGTAGCACGATGAAGACTTACGCCCAACCTTTGCATGCCAGAATTCCAACCTCTATCCTCCAAGCTCTTCTATTGAATACCTTCTGCGGATTAATTGGACCATACCACTCTGCTATTCGGGCCTCCCTGCGGCATCAAATCTAGAATGTGCTTGGGAGCGGGGTGCGTATGAGGGGAAGACAGGGGGCAAGGGCAGCATTTGAACTCTTGTTTTCCGAACGGGTTGTCTTCGGGGTTAGCGCTTCTCTCGCCTTTTCCTGTTCTAGAGTTGGGCCTTCTTGGCCTTACAATCTCTCGTCCCCCGCAACTTGCTATGCCGAAGTCTCGATCAACATCCTGCAGCTCTTCGCCGGTAGATGTCACGACGGCCGAAGGGCACCGGACAATTGACCCATGACGTTACATCGGCGATCAACTCGATGACTTTGCAATTCCATACCATCTTCAACTGAAGAAGTGGCTTCATGTATATATAGATAGTTCATACGTCTTTATCTCACTGGGGTCACTTAATGCACTAAAGGTGGAGCAGCATCACTTGCTCAAGCCGAGCCACCTGAGCTCCCTCATCCCGAAATGTTTGTTTCCTACCCAACTTGGCATGCCGTTGCCATTCTTTCCCTTCTCGCGAAACTCTCTTCAGCTGAATGTTGGAGAGCCACAGCCTGCGATGGACCATCTTCGGCAGCTTTTAGCGGACCTTGGGACGACTACAACTACGCCCCTGACTCTCGCAATGTAACTCCCAAATACGTGTTGTCTTTGCCGAATGGAGATCAACTCTCGGAGTTTTCCTCCCCAGTTGAGCTCTCCTCTCAGAGCGAAGGCTTGGTATTTGACTTCGGCGTGGAAGTTGGCGGTATAATTACGGTCGACTACGAGTTGTCCGGCTCCAGCAATGCTACTCTGGGGCTCGCATTCACCGAAGCAAAGACTTACATTGGCCGGAAGTCGGACAACTCCAACGGAGGAACAGGCGCAGACGGCGCTCTCAACTTCAACATCTCCAGAGGGTCTGGGAGCTACGTAATGCCAGATGGCAAACTGCGCGGCGGTTTTCGCTACCTCACTCTGTTCCTCACGTCTTCTGCTTCGAATGTCTCCTTGGAAATACGCAACATCAGCCTTGAGATCAGTTTTCAGCCTACTTGGTCTGACCTGAGGGCCTACCAAGGCTACTTCTACTCGAGCGACGAGCTCCTCAACAGAATCTGGTACAGCGGCGCATACACGCTTCAAACCAACTCCGTTCCTGGGAAAACCGGCCGTGTTGGCACGAGTACTCTAAAAGGCGGATGGCAAAATGACGCGTATATCGGCCCCGGAAATACTGTTCTACTGGATGGGGCGAAGAGAGATCGTTGGGTATGGATTGGAGACATGGGCACGGCAGTGCCGAGTGCGTTCGTGAGTACCGGTGATATGGAGAGTACGAAGAATGCATTGCTAGCGATTTACGACAACCAAGTAAGTGTTCTCGGGGTCGCAAGACTTCCTTCAATTAATATTTTATAGGCGTCGGATGGTACTTTGCCGAAAGCTGGTCCGCCTTATCCTTCCAAGGACAGCGACAGTAAGCCCCAATTATTGGGCGACATCCATGAGATTTGTGCCATTTCTGACAAGGTGCCCAGCTTATCACTTGTGGACTCTGATCGGCACGTACAACTATTACTTGTACACAGGCGACGAAGACTTCCTGGCGTCCATTTGGGCCAAATACCTCAAGGCTGTTGCGAACAGCAGAAGCAAGGTCGGCGCAAATGGTGTGATGAATGTCACCGGTGACAAAGATTGGGGACGATGGACGTACTCGAACGAGCGTAGCTCAGCGAGCATGCTGTAAGTGCGCGGCGCTCCATGCAACTCGGTGTCACCTTGCTCACTGTTCCAGGCTGTACCGCGCGTTGAAAACGGGCGCTGACATTGCTTCATGGGCTCCCGAGCTCGCGAACGCGTCCAGCTACCAAAAAGAGTGGCTTGACGCTGCGGCCAAGCTTCAGACAGCTATAACGACTAAGCTGTGGGACGAAAGCAAAGGTGCTTTCAAGGAAAGTCCAAACGATACGTCCTTGTACCCTCAGGACGCCAATAGTATGGCGGTTGCGTTCGGCGTGGTATCCGCGGACAGCACGGAGGCGCAGCAGATTTCAGATTACCTAGAGTCGAACTGGACGCCCATAGGCCCTCACTGCCCGGAACTCAAGAACAACATCTCGCCTTTCATCAGCAGCATTGAGCTGTACACTCACTTCCGCGCCGGGCGGGCTGACCGTGCTCTCAAGCTCATCAGGGATGCGTGGGGTTGGTACCTGAACCATCCCAATGGGACTGAATCTACCGTCCCCGAAGGCTACCTGTTGGATGGCACTTGGGGCTATCGTGGAGATCGAGGGTATAGGAACGACCCTTCTTACGTATCGCACGCGCATGGATGGAGCAGCGGGCCAACATCGGGCATGACGGAGTATCTCGTGGGATTGAGAGTCATTAAGCCTGGAGGAAGCGAATGGCAGTTCAAGCCGGTCCTCGGCGAGCTTTCCGAAGCTGAAGCTGGGTTTACGACGAGTTTGGGCAAGTTTTCTGCCAAGTTTACAGTGGGTGAAAACGGAACGGCCGCTGTGGAATGGGACACGCCAGCGAATACGAAGGGAAACTTGGTGCTGCCAGGACAAGAGTTGAGGCGAGTCAAAGGTGGGAAGGGGTCGGCCACCATTACCTTGTGAGCTCGCGATCAATTAGTTTGACTTTCTCGATCATCAGGATCTCATTCCCAGTGATTGCGAAATGCCCTCCCAATTGGATGGCATCCATCGGTTCAGTCAGTTGAAGAAGTGACCTCTGGGCCGAGTCATCTCAAGTGTCAAAGTGCGGGGGAGACCCCGCCCACAGCAGCAAACAACCATGGACAGAGCCGATGGCCCAGAAAACAGTGCTGTTCGCTAGAACTCCGCCCTGATCAGCCTGTCTTGGGCATCGTCGTTGAGCCGAGTCAACTAACTGAGCAACCCGTGTAAGCAGCCGAGTTGCAGACGATATTGACTTCGATTCATTGAGGGGTAGCGTATATATTCTGATGCTCTCGGGAATATGTTTTCAATCTGAGTATCAATTCATTCTGTCCAGAAATCTACCGACTGGCGTCACTACCATTGTTCAAACATGGCCACCGAAGACCTGCTCCTGATTCTCATGCCCTGGACGCCGGACCCGGCCTGGGTCGCCAGTCTCGGCATGCCTGTTGAGTCCCGTAAGATCGGGATGTATCAAACAGAGCTACCGAAAGATATCAGCCCAGAGACGTGGGCGAAAGTCACGATCTTATTCACTTGGAAATCCTTTCCCACCAAAGAGATGGTGCCGAACCTGAAATACGTGCAACTCCTCAGCGCCGGCTGCAACCAAGTCTTTGGACTGCCGCTGTTTGAGGATACAAAAATCGACTTTTGCACGTCAAACGGCACGCACCCGTAAGTCCGCATCTTTCCTGAAGTGCTCAACTCTGACAAGACGTAGTCCTCAAATCGCCGAATGGGTTTTCTCGACCTTTCTTGCTTTCCAGCATCACAGTGAGTTCACTAGCGGCAGCATCTCGCTCAGTTACTGATGACTTCAAGTCCCTGAATACCTGGACAACCAGAGAGAGTCCAAATGGATTGATCCCCCTTCCGATGAAGACACGGAAGACGCAGTTGGCCTGCGTGTGTAAGTTAAGTCACCCATTGAAGCCGAGAGTCCAGCTAACTCGGTACAGAGGCATCCTGGGTTACGGCTGCGTCGGCCGCCAAGTCGCTCGCGTAGCAAAAGCCTTCGGCATGAGCGTCCACGCTTACACTCTTCATCCTCGCTCAACGCCAGAGTCCCGCAAAGATGACTCCTTCACGGAACCAGGCCTCGGCGATCCCAACGGCGAGTTTCCGTCGAAGTGGTTCCACGGCAAGGAGCAATTGAACGATTTCCTCGCTTCCGACCTTGATCTGCTGGTCATCACCCTCCCTCTGACGGACCAGACCAAGGGCATGATTTCTCGAGAGCAGTTCCAGTTGTTGAGCAAGAAGAAAACCTACGTTTCGAACGCAGGAAGAGGGGCCGTTATCAACACCGATGACCTGGTCGTCGCTCTTGACGAAGGGCTCATCAGGGGCGCGGCACTGGATGTCACGGATCCGGAGCCTCTTCCCGCTGAACACAAGTTGTGGAAGTACAAGAACGTCATAATCACTCCTCATTGCGCCGGAAACTCGACGCACTACTACGAAAGAGTGCGCAAGATTCTGGTGTACAACCTCGAGAGACGGGCGCGCGGGGAGAAGCTTGTCAACATAGTCAGCAGGTCGGAGAGATACTGAGGCCGTACACGTTTAGACAGCAACACAAATAGACTCTTGAGACTGAAAAATAACCTCTTTTCCAGCTGTATGGGAATATTATGAGATATCACTCATGAATGGTACCCGGTCTAATATGGTTTTGTTGTGAGATCCTTTGAAGGCGGCTTCATCCATGTGCTGCACAATTTTCAGTGAAGTGATCTCGGCGGCGCCGATAAGTGTATTGCCTACATGTCTTCAATATGCTTGAGTTCCTAGACTCAATATTTCGCGCTTCAGAGCTTGACAAGGTATCATTCACATCGCAGGAACAAGGACTCAACTTGATCGCCCAGTACAAGTGTCATCCGAAGCTCATTGTGGTACTTGACTTCAGCATGCCACAAATTTGTACCAGACTCTTCATACTAGCAATGCGATGAGTTTTCAAAGATTTCTATCTATCTCATAAGAATTCTAGGCTTGTAGAATGTAGAGCCGTAATGTTGCCATGTGTATTTCCATGCCACAACTGAAATCCCATCACCCAACCCTCACAGCTTGGCCAGTACACCGTTCGTCTGCAGAAGTGATAAGTGACCCTTGTTGATATCCTTGACCGTTTTGCATCTGCGACGGTCGTCAACTCTCCCATTCAGCGCAATAAGAATACCGAGCGTCTTACCCAGCTAGGCTCATGGCCAACTTGAACTCTTCATGAAGGAGGTTGACAGCGAGCTGCACACCCTCGGAGCCGTTGTACTTCCCAAGACCCAATCAGCTTACGACTCACAATCACGACTACGACTTGGATGAGAAAACCTACCGCAAGACCCCAGATCGGAACCCGCCCGGCGAAACAGAAATCCGCGCCAAGGGCAATGGCCTTGAAGATGTCGGTTCCTCTCCGGATTCCGCCGTCAATGGCAATCTTGATCTTCCCTTTCGCCACAGGGGCGCACTCCCTCAATGCGTCGAGGGTTGCGGGGACGCCGTCAAGCTGGCGGCCGCCGTGGTTGGAGATGAGCACGCCGTCGACGCCGTGCTCTATGGCCAGAGCAACATCGTCGGCAGTGTATACTATGAGAGTGAGGTGTCAGATCGACGGGTTTTAGGTGTATCAGTCAAGAGACTCTCACCTCCTTTGAGCCAAACATCCAGCTTCGTGTTCTCTCTAATCCATCCGAGAGCCTGTTCCCAATTCATACCGTCCTCTTCATGTGTTGTCAGAGTAGCTGGTTCTGATACGTGACGGTCGCATATTCTTACCATATGTCAAGTCAAGCCCCTGATCGACCAGGTTGCTCATGTCCATACCCGGCGCTATGTTGGGATATCCCAAGCCTTCCGGCAACCCAAAGGCGTTCCGGTATTCGTTCAAACGGCGCCCCAGCATAGGTGCATCGACGGTCATCATGACAGCTTTGTAACCCGCACCTGCACATCCGTCCATCCACAATCAGCAAGCTCCAAGATTGGAGGGGGCGCAATCACTTACGCTCTGCCCGTTGGAGAATCTGCCTCGTGATGTCCCGGTTCTTCAGGATGCTGAACTGCATGACATACGGATTACCCTGACTCTGCGCAATGACATCCTCTAGAGAGCACGTCGCATACGCTGAGAGAGCCATGGGGATGCCAACAGCCGCGGCGGCTCGAGATGTCGCCACCTCGCCCTCCGGATGCGCCAGCTTATGCGTCGCCGCAGGCGAGAAGCCGAAGGGGAGGGCCACCTTTGTGCCGAAGATAGTGGTCGACGTGTCGATGTTGGACACGTCCCTGAGCACGCGAGGGCGGATCTTGTAGCGATCGTAGGCTTTCTCATTGTCTTGCACGCTGGTATCTCTCAATTTAGCTGTTTGAAAAGAGGTTGAACGGGGCCGTCACGAACGTGATCATGTCCATGGCTCCCTCGTTGAAGAACTCTGGCTCGGATATCAGCATCGCTCTCGATATGGTGCTGGTTTTGTCTCACCTTTGTAGGCTCGAGGCAGCTTTTTCGAAGCTTGCTCCTTCAGGTCATTGATGCTGAAGACCTTGTCGTCGAGAGTCTTTCCTCGGTTGGCCATGTTGAGAGATGGAATTCGAAGTCAAAGGGGAAATAGTGAGGCCAATCGAACAAAATACCAAGATTCGTGCTGCAAAGTTGAGTGACGTCGAACATCATGAAGCTCGTGAACCAGCTTCATGGCATTCATCGCAATCTCTCATATAGCATTGAAGTACCAAGTCACTTCCCCTGCTGCGAAGTTGATCAAGCAAGCGAAGTCGGAAGAATGGGTTGCGTAACCGTGAGCCGAGTCATATCTGACTCGGCCCGCATGTAAATCGCGGGGCTCGGCCGCCGACCCGGCACTCCGAAGGTGCATCACGGCTATCAGCTATTGAACCTACCAGACATCGTGCGACCGTGACAGGGATTCCTTGTCTTGACTCCGCTCAGAGATATCGAACCCGTGCCGACGAACCTGTGGATAATGAGTGCTGAATACTGAAGAAGATAGCGTGTTGGTTGCTTCGCTCGATTCTTGATTTACCCCGGACAATCGATGTGAGCTTCTTAGCCTTATCTCATGCATCTGCAGGGGATCGAAGGACACCAGTATTACGCGCCTTGTCGCGTGTCTGGGAAGACTGTCAGTCGGTGCGAACTTGTTCTGTTTTGGGAACAAGACCGCGCGGTGCTACCACACCTCAAGACGGCATCAAATCTAAAGGATGAGAATATCCGACTGATGATAATAGAGTTGACTCGGCTCAAAGATATCGCTGATGGTGATGGGCGTTACCAGCAACGGAGATACAGGAACTGTAGAGGCAACAAGGCGGCGATGTTGATAGTGTCGACGGTTCATGACCGCAATCATTTAAGGGCCGCATGTTACCAAGATGTCTCTAGAATGCAATCAATAAACCCCAAATTGAAACCAGCTTGCAGCTTGCATTCTTACCATATCCAAGAACACTCATCACGAGCCTTTCGCCCGGTATGAACTCTTCGGTTCAGCACTCCGAACCCCGAAAGGGGTTCTTTCATAACTACCGAGTGTACCTCTTAGCAACGGTGTCTTACATGGGATCACTCCTATTCGGTTCGTACCCGACGGTCAACAGTCAACCTCACTGACTAACACATGCGTTCAGGCTACGACGTCGGTGTCATGGGCGGCCTCCTCCCCTTCGAGAGCTTCAAGAAAGACTTCGGCCTCCCAGCCGGATCATCAGGCTTTGCAGATGAGAAAGTCGCCCAAGTCTCCTCCAACGTCGTGTCACTCTTGACAGCCGGATGCTTCTTCGGCGCCATCTCCGCGGCCTTCGCGAACGAGCGGTACGGTCGGCGATTCTCCCTCATGGCATACTCCGTCGTCTTCCTCCTAGGCGCGTCGTTGCAGGTCGGCACACCCAAGAGCTTGTCATATGTCTACGCCGGGAGGGTCATCGCCGGCCTGGGCGTTGGCGGGATGAGTTCCATCACGCCGGTCTTCGTCGCGGAGACCGCGCCTCCGGAAGTCAGGGGCCGGATCACGGGGCTCTTCCAGGAGTTCTTGGTCTTGGGAAGCAGCATCGCGTACTGGCTCAACTACGGGGTAGAGAGGAACATGGCGTCGTCGACCAAGCAGTGGAGGATCTCGTTGGGCGTCCAGCTGATACCTGCAGGGCTCTTGCTGATCGGCTTGATACCCCTCAAGGAGTCGCCGCGGTGGCTAGCCAAACACGGTCGTCACGAGCAAGCCCTCTCCTCCCTCGCCTACATGCGCAACCAGCCGCCCGACTCTCCCGAGGTCGCAACCGAGTTCGGCGAGATCACGGCATCATGCGCCGTCGAAGCAGAGACGGCTCGTCAGTCGACGTGGAGGGAGTGTCTCAAGCCCGGCATCCGCAACCGCTTCGCGCTCATCTTCGCCCTGATGGTGTGGCAACAGCTGACGGGGACCAACAGCATCGGATACTACGCCCCGCAGATCTTCCAGACGGTCGGTCTCTCCAGCGCGGACGCGTCGTTGTTCGCGACGGGCATCTACGGGATCGTGAAGTTGATCTTCACTGCCGTTTCGCTGCTTTTCGTCATCGACAAGATCGGGAGGCGGTGGGCTCATACCATCGGTGGTTTGTGGATGTGAGCGTGACCTCTTGGGAGACTGGTACAGGTGTGCTGACGAGGTGTAGGTCGGCCATGATGTTCATCCTCGCGGCCGTTCTCGCAACCCACCCGCCCGAGGCCGGCAAGGCCGTGTCCTCTGCGTCCATCGCCATGTGCGTCCTCATCTACCTCTATGTGATTGCCTACACGGGGTCATGGGGTCCTGGGTGAGTCCAATGCAGCCACCAATCAAAACATGTGTCACGTCCCTGACCTCCTCAGACCCTGGATCTACGCCGGAGAAATCTTCCCCACGCATCTGAGGTCGTACGGAGTCGCGTTCGCCGGTGAGTCGTCTATGCGCTACTCCTGCCTTCTGTCTAACAGAGAACCAGCCGCGACGCAGTGGTTGTTCAACTTCATCGTCACCCGAGTCACGCCGCAGATCATCTACGGCATAGGCTGGAAGACGTTCATCATCTTCGCCGTCTTCTGCCTCGCCATGAGCATCTTCAGCTTCTTCTTGATGAAGGAGACGAAGGGACTCAGTCTCGAGCAGACCGATTTGCTGTTCGGGGTCGCAGAGCGTCAAGAGGATAAGCTGGAGGGCGGGGAGGAGCACGTTGTCCATGGCATCGAGATCCCGGAGCGCACGGGTGGCGAGACTGGCTTGGAGGTGAAGAAATCTCACTGAGATCCAGAATTCAATACGGAAACGTTCATCATGGGTATGTCCCGACTGAAATCCCGCGGCTTTGGGGCGGACGTCAAGGGCTGGGAATTGATACAGGCAAGATGTGGCGTCTCGCGGCGAAGAAGACGCCTGGTGAAGATGATGAGACTCGTCGGGGAATACATATGCTTTGCAAAATACGCCGAAAGTGTGGCTCTCAGATCAAATCTCCCACGATATGGGCTCGTAGCACTGCGAAATTGACTGGTTGCATGGAGATGTCGTTCCTCGTGCAGACAAGACCGAGGCAGCGAAGACGACCGTCCTCAGACATCACACATGAGAGACTTCTCCCAGCGAATGTCCCCTTTTCACAACCAAACTCGTCGCTTCTAGACCAAAACACGATCAAAAAACCACATCATCGCTCGAGAACCACTTCGCCATACGACATCAACAAATCTGAAAACGGATCCAACCTCCAACCCCCCAAAAACATCCCCTCCCCTCCAAGCTTCAACCTCGCATACTCACCCATCTCAAAAAGCCTCACTCCCTCACCCGCCAAGAAGCGAACCCGAACCGAAAGAAAAATCTCAAATGCAGCCCCGAACTCAATCGCAGCCAAGCCTCCCGTTCCTCAATCGAGCCGGCGACTTTTCTTTCCTCGAACGCATCGCTGTCGCGCCGACGAAGCCGCGCGCTTCGGCGATGGACCGTGCGGATGAAAGACAGTATCAGTGGGCTTTTGATGTTGTGGTGACGAGAGCGGAAAGGGAAACCTTCACTCGAAGGTGTTGGCGACGCAAGCCCCAGAATAGAACGCGACCGCGACGGAAATCAAAGGAAGAGCCACTGAACCCGGAATACCGAGCTTGCTTATCGTGCACTTGCCACTTCATCCCAATCCCAAATCAAAAAATGGAGTTCTACAAAATGAAAGCGAATTGAATAGACACAGAGGGTGGGAGAGAAAGAAAGAGTCATGAAAATAACCTCCAAAACAACTTTCCCATAACCGACCTCAGAAGCAAAAGCACGGGGACACACGCGCGAGATAAGGAATATTTTAAACATCAATCAATATCACCACTAGTGAAAAAATCTCCTAATTAACGTCTCCACCGCCTCAGCCAGGGGGTAGGTTGACATCATGCCTTACTCCCTGTCGATAAAACCCCCGATAAACCCCCACTCCGGCCGGCCGTCCCAAGTCCGAACCAGGGGTGAAGGGGTGAGGAAATCACATGAAACGACGTCCTTTGCAACGCACAAACCACCACGCGTTTCACCCGCGACAGCCAAGAGTGTACCTTTTTTTCAGCAGTGTAGGATCGCAGTTCGATTGCTGACATAAGGACGCACTTGACCGCATGAACGACAAGTCGAGACGTCTTGCGTGCAGATCAGACGCCGCAGCTCAGACCGGGTGTTGCGCCCACCCACACCTCCAAAGGTGTGTGGAAAGTGTCAGTTCCGGTATACCTCCTGCCACCCCAAGACTCCCGATGGTTCAACCCAAGTCGACGCTGTCGAAAAAAAGATGAGCAATGTTAAGGTTGTCGGGTGGTGGTGGTGTTGGCTGAAGTTTGACCACCACACCACCAAGTGAAATGTCACGCAAAGTTAGTTGTCGCTGTCACCAAAAGTCAAAAATCACCAAGACCGAGAAAGACAGGAGTGACCAAAAAAAGTGGACAAAAAATTATGTGCACTCTACTGGAATTGTGTCTTCCATTTCTTTCCAAGCCATGCTGCGTATCCTGTCAACGGAAAAAAAAACAGCTCCCTCTAAATGTACAGAAAGGTCGATCATGAAAACGGGGTGGGTGGGAGGAGGGGGACATTAGAACAATAATATGGAGGGGGAGGGATTTGCCAATGTTTGTCGTCGTTGATGTGAGATGGTATCGGAGCACATTTGAAGCGCTGAGGGGGTGTGAAGTTTTTCATGACCAGAAAACAAAAGAAAAACCACCACACACACGCCCGACCTCGGAAACTCGTCTAGAAGTAACCTCTGTGTGCCCATCGCAGTTCGGAAAACAACCCAAAGAAAAAATAACACCAGAACACTTTTTGTCGTGAACCCATCAGGGAATTAGAGGCTTGTCATCGGTAGGCTCCCTCGTGTCGTTCGGCGGCGGCGCGTCGTCTCCGTCGTTCTTTCCTCGGTTGTCGTCGTACATTGGAAAAGGCGGGGGGCAAACAGAGGATTACGAGAGCTCCTGGATGCAGGCCTGGACCTGGGCATCGCAGTCGGACGTGGAAGCCCCGTTACCCTGTCCACCGTTGATGGCGTTGAAGCAGGAATTCCGTTGAATGTCGCAAGCACGCTGCACGGCTGTGGCCTTGGAAGTGAAAGTGTTGCCGTTGACGGAGAAGGGTCGGCTGCTATCGCCCGAGTCCGTGACCGCCGGGGCCGCGAGCCCGAGGATAGCGTTCGACTGAGCGCCCCCCTTGCCACCAGCGGATCCGGAAGAGTTGCCGTTTCCATTTCCTCCAGATCCGTTGCCGTTGTTGTTGTTGTCATTGCCGGAGGCGCCTCCCGTCGGAGTCGGCGTCGCCGCCGACGAGGCTACCGAAGATGTCGCCGAAGCGGCGGGCTTACTGGCGGCGTCCCCGTCCTGAGCGGACGTGTTAGCATCAGCTGTACCTTGGGAATTCTGTCCGGACTGGGTTTGTGAAGTGGCCGCACCAGGGTTACCGAATCCAGGGAAAGGGGCACCACCACCACCGAAGGGGTTTCCGCCACCAGGGAATTGACCAGGGTTGCCTCCACCAGGGAATCCTCCAGCTCCAGGGAAGCCTTGGGTAGGGGGGGTTAGCGCGAGGGTGCGAGTGCATGGGAGGGGATTGAGAGAGGGGAAAATGAAATGAGCCTGAACTTATTGATGCGAAGATGAAGGGGGTTCTAAGGTGGTGCTTTGTCTGCTTTACCTTGACCAGCGCCTCGTCCCGCACCACCGGCACCGCGGCCGCCTCGTTGACCGGCGTTTTGCTTACCTCCTCGGTTTCCGCCGTCTGTCGTTGTGGTCAGCATCGAACGAGTGAAGTCTGGCGGGTTACTCACTTTGGCCTTGGTTCTGGTTCTGGCCTTGGTTTTGGTTCTGGCCGTTGTTCTGGTCTGTAATCTCATCAGCGCCAATCCATATCAGGGCGCGGAGGATGACATACTCTGGCCGTTGTTTCCGCCGTTGTTACCGCCGTTGTTGTTGTTGTTGCCACCATTGTTGTTGTTGTTGCCTCCGTTTCCTCCAACAGTGAACTTGTTGCAGTCATCCTGGGCACCACGCTGAGCGACGGGCATCAGAACAGGCTGGTGGTTGGAAGACGAGGACATGGTGCAGACACGGTAGTTGCCGGCGGGCAGACCACCGGTGACGGTAGCCTTCAGGTTTCCGTTTCCATCGCCGGCATCGTTGATACCCTTGAAGAAGACGAACTTGGAGGCGTCGAGGGGCTGGTTGGGGGTGAGGGAGTTACCCATGTCCTGGATGGTGACGTGGACGTGGCCGATGATCTCGTTCTGGCCGTTGAGGTCCTGAGGGGCGGAGTAGTAGGTGGCCTGGGCGTCGGTGAAGGAACCAGCGGCGAGGTTGTTGACCTTGAGCTCGACGTCGAAGTTCTGGTTGGCCTGGATGTTGCCGTTGTGCGGGGGGTTCTGCAGCACGGTGGAAACCATCTTGTTGTTGGGAGGGATCTTGCCCATGACGATACCGTTGCAGGATCCTCCGGTGATTTGCTTGCCGTCGGTCAAGGTCTCGCCCTGGCAGAAGTTGATGAAGTTGGCGTTGTCACTGCACGGATTGGTCAGTACGGCGTCCGGCTGGTCGTCACCACATCCTACTTACGTTTTGGACTGAGCCTGCTGAGCGGCGGGCGTTCCAGCCGACTGCGAACCCTTCTGAACGTTGGCCTGCTGCAAACACAGCTGTCCACCGCCGGCGTTGTTGTTGTTGTTTCCACCGTTGTTTCCGCCGTTGTTGTTGTTGTTTCCGCCACGGTTTCCACCACGGTTTTGACGCTTGGCCAGGGCGGCGCTCAAAGGCGAGTCGAGGAAGGTGACGGAGGCCTCGACTACGGCCATGCCCGCGAGGGCTGCAACAATGTTCTTGATCTGCATCTTGATCTCGTGTGTGAAGTTGTCGTTCGAGGTATTCGGAGGGAGTCGTCGACCGATTCGCTCTCAATAAGATACTATAGTTTGTCGTTCGAAGGGGTGGTTCCAGACCGAGGAGCGAACAAGAGTAGAGTACGAAAGGAACGGTCACAGACACCGGGATACGGATACGGAGCAAAGCTGAAAAGAAATGAATGAATGAATGTGAAGACACACTCCCAGCGTGAGGCAACAGGAAGAATGAAAATAAGGGTTGGAAGGTCGAAAGGAATGATCGAAGCTGAGAGAGTGCGTATTAAGAAGGGGAGGGCGGGAACAAAATAGTCTGGCAATGCCAAGATATGGAGTCTTATATGCGCAGGGCTGTGGTTGCAGGCTGGTGCCGGTAAGACCAGGGTGCCGGGGGGCCGTGGGGACGGAGACAGGCACCCATGGCGGGCTTGGGAGGAGGAATCGTCTCCACGAGTCCAAAACGCGGCGCAGGGGAGGTTTGGAGCGGGCGAGGAGGAGGGAAGGCTACGGGCCAGCTTGACAGGAGGAGGAGGAGGAGGCGTAGGAGGCGGCGGGAGGAGGCAGAGGAGGTGAGGGAGCAACAGAGTGTGCGCCTCAAACGAAGAACCGGGGGGTGAAGACATGGATGCTGCTTAGCATCCGATCCCCGTGCAGACCCATGTCTTGGTATGGCGAACCGGTAGAGACTAGGGAACGACGACGAGCAGGGGCGTGGGATACAAGCTTGGAAGGCTTCTTCCAGCAAGATGAGAGAGCGAGGGCGCGATAGCGGGCGAACGCTAGAGAGCAGAGACGGGCCGGCAGCAAACTAGCACGGAGTAGCATCTGTCTGATGAGTTGGGATGCGACAGGTGGATGACAGGGGAGAAGTAAGAAACCGTGATCATCCGTATCCGTACAGAGATTCCGTAGGAGATCAGGATCTAGGAGACGAACAGAGACGGAGAGCGAGTGAGAGATCTGAGCTTTGACATGGGGGTCACTCGCAAAAGTGCAGCAGTATGGGACGGCACGGGCGACAAAGTTGTTAGTCAGAGTTGATTGAGAGCGTACGGATGGATAGAAAGAGGGTCTCCAAGTTGGACAAGCTATGTCTGAACAAGGGGGGACCGTTGGCGATGACGGTGGACGAGGTTCCTGACGGACAGTTCCCGACTCGAGAGGAACAGGATGGCAGGTAGCAGGTAACGGGACGGGGAGTTGAGTCGAACAGTGCGGCAGGGAGCAGTTCAACCGTCTGGTGTTTGAGGAGGGTGCACTGGACCTGAGTGACAAGCAGAAAAGCACAGCCAAATGGATGAATTTTGGACGGAGCCGGGACGGCACAGAGAGGAGTCGAAAAAAGGAGCAGGAAGGAGAGAAGTTTGGCAGTCGCGATGTCTGATGCGGCTCCTTTCGTCGCAGAATGGGGTCATGGACGCCCCACATGGTCCAGGCGCGGCTTAGCGAGCCAATGACAACCCGGAAAGGGTCGGACATCAGGCAAATGGCGTTTCGCCCGAGGCGTCGATGATGCGAAACGAGACACTGGACGACACTTTCCCCCGTTTAAGCGCGGTACCTGTCTTACCTGTCTTAATACCTTAATACCTGATTATTAGGTAAGTCGAGGTAAATTGGTCTCAACCTTGGGTTTTGATGTCAATTTTGGCGCCGATTTGGTGTCGATTTGGATTTGGTCTGGCCGTTTGAGGTCGGCGCCTCCCCCGTCGCAATCTCCTCACGGCAGTAGCAGCACCTTTCAGCGGGTGCAACCCTCTGTTAGCCTTCAGCTGGCAGGTTGTCAGGGGAGTTTACTTTAGTGCTGAGGTACCTACATTCACACCGTCTGGAATCGATGTCACGAACAACTATATCGGACCTTGCAAATACTCAATACTCGACCTTAATTCCTGAATCGCCATCATGGTTAGCTGCTCATGCTAAGCCTTGAGGGATCGCCCATGATTTACTTCCGGACACCGGCTCCCCCTCAGTTCGAGTTGACGCCCGGACAGCTGACGCAGGCCATACGTACACTGCCGTCCGTACCTTACTGCGCAGTAGTACAACGTAGGTGCGGTCGAGAACATCGTGATGGACGCGATGGGTTCTTCTGATTAACGTTACCGGTTTGGCGATCCCTTGCCGCTCATGTTTCTCCTTCTCGTGGCCATCTCTTCTTCTTTTTTGCGGTGATTATTTTCTGTGGCGCTCTGCGGATACCCGCGACACGCAGCGGTCTCAGTCTTGGCCGGAGGAGAGCGGCAACTGGATGATTGGCAACGGAACGGTCTGAACGGCTCGGGGGTCTCTGGCGGGCGAGACATGCCTCTACCTACCCAGGTAATGTTAGTGCGACCGACGGCCTGTCACACCAAACCGATAACAGCGGCAGTCCGATCGCATAGCCATGGAAGCGCCGGCCCAAATCCGGATGACGGCGAGTTGCTCAGCTGTAACCCGGCGCATCGCATTTCATGGCATCATACCAATTGATTCCAATTCTCCACCGCATTTCGTTCCACAGAAAGCTTGCTTCTAAGTTCTATGGGCTCCTCCGCCCCGTGGCACTCAGAGTATCGTGTGCCTCGTCGCATCGTCGACCGTTTCTTGGCGACGAGCGCACGGGTGATGGCGGAGGGCCGTGGAGTTAAGTCGCCGACTGACGGCAGCCTGAGAAGTTTCCCGCTCACATACGCAGGAGGTAAGGGACGGAGATGTTCGGATAACCGGACTGCAAGTCGGAATGGTGGAGGCGCTAGGAGAAGCAGCAAACAGCCTCCAAACGGTCCAAAGAGGCCAAGGGCTGCGAAGCGAGGCGACGCGATGCGATGCCCTGCGCGCGCAACGGTGATGGATGGCATCAAACATACAATAAACCTAATCTTCTGGTCGGCAAGTTCGGACGACTGCGAGGTCCCCGGGACGTCCACGGGTCCAAGGTGGTGTAGCTGCGGTGCCCTTTGTGTGTGACTGTTTGAGAAAAGAGGGTGAGCCACCAGAATCCGAGGCAGAGGAGACAGGGAATTCTCGAGGATTCTGTCAGTGTCGAGGGGAAGGAACCATCCCGAGTCCTTCGTGACTGCCCTCAGAGAGTTGGAGGTACGTACCTCGACACCTTATCTCTGCACTCGGTACCTGCAGTGGCCCATCCGCGGAGATCCCAAGTCTCCACAATTCTGCCAGTTGCGCCAGTCCCAGAAAGGAATGGCCAAAAGAGCCCCTTCCCTTAACCACTTTTAAGGTTGCCTGTAGCATCCCGTCCGCTAAGACCCGCCCCGCCTTTGCAGCCCTGGACAGCGACAGGGGGAACAGGGGCCCCGGCCTGCTTCACCCCGTTCCTCCGGGCAGTCTCCCATGCCGGCTCGTTTTTGCCGTTCTGCCTTTGCCCTTTGGAAATTGGTTTGCCTCCTCTGCCAACTGGTGACGGGACAACACAGCCTTCAGCCTTTTGTTACTCGTCCGTCTCGCCATTGGACACCCCGCCGCCGCCTTGCATGAGCCATCCGAGGAAACTCAATCTGATCTTCCTCATGGCCGACCCCTGGACCAACAAGATGCTTATCCATGAGATGACGGTTTCGATTTTCATCTCGTCTGTTATTTCGTCGCCTTCACACGCATTAGACGACTCGAAAACTTGCCCTATTCGGCCTATTCTGGACTCGCCCTATGTCGGGCATTTTTGGACGTTTCCTGAGTTTAATGCTTTTGATCGGCCACATAGTTTACTCTCACTTTCCGCTGACAACTCAGGGTGGCACCAGCAATGGCAAGAAAAAGCGTTTCCGTGCAAATTACCTCGCCTACCGTCCATGTCAAAGATTGCTGAGCCGACAGCCGGCGAGGTCCATGGAGACGGGCAGTCTTTCTGGCCGATGGCTATGAGATGCCGGCACCAACGCGAAAATACGAGGCGCCGTATCTTCCTTCCTCCTCCGGGCTTCCCAACTACACGGCTCGTCGGCTCGCTTGAGGGAATTCCTGCCAAAAGATCTTCTCGCGAAACCACAAAATGTCCACCTGGTCACCAACACACACCAAGCCCTCGGCACGCGGCAAGATGGCGCCCCCCATCTTGGTCTCATCGCCATCCCGCACCTGCACCAAAGCAGTGAGCAATCAATTAAAGGGCTGGTCGTCAAAGTGAACTGCTTAATCCTCCTCCTCATCGCACTGGCCCATGGATCCGGTTTGCTAATGCTACTCCAGACGTCAACCCCTGTCAGACTCGACGGATCCGCCAAGGGGGCGCACCATTCTGCGACGAGAGGCTGAGTTTGAAGCCTGTGCCAAAATCCCAATGGTGAAACAGGTTCACCTCAACTTTTTCTGCCCGTCTTGTCACTTGTGTCAACCCGCCCAACCTCGCTTCTACAGCACTCCCACCCGTCATCTGCACACAGCAGTACAGCAGGCATACTCCTCGGATCCGGGCCGCAGCCCTGCCTTTCATCCCAGCTCGGGACGACGATTCGAAACTCGCCAATTGTCGGAAGAGGCAAACAGCAACCTCGCCAAAGGCGACAGCATGGACTGTCATCCCAATCTCAAAGACGCAATGCCCAGAACCCGTGCCAATCCCGTCATGCCCTCCTGCCATGCCCTTCCATCGCCGTCCAATCCCCTTGGATCTATGGACTCGGACCTTCGGCAGGGCCTGTCATCGACCTCATCTTGTCAGACGTCACCTATCATCCCAAATCCCACACCCCGCTGCCACGGCTACACTTGAACGACGCTCACGATGGATGACGGATTTCAAATCCTCCCCACCATACGGCACGTCCAAAGTCACGCCACTTTCGCAGCGCCAGGAAACGTTTGCCGAGTGTCGCCCTGGGAAACATTCTTCCCATGGTAATCAAACTGGGCTCGTCATCAGAGACGTCCCTCCCTACGCCGTTGAAGGCCCGGCCAAGACTACGACACGCTCGGCGTGATCACCTCCTTCCGCAACGCCGGCGGCGTTCCTCACTGTTCTCCGGCCCGTGAGCCGCCGCGTGGTACACACTCCCGGCGTTGCTGGCCGTTCCTCTGGCAGAGCTGTCAAATTCTTGGCAAGCCATCATCGATCGTTGTTGGCCGCCTCCAGTTGGCCTGCATTTCAATGTCGGGATGCGTCCGACATGGCGCATCTCAGCGGAAATACCATTGCGCGGAGATAAGCAGAACGAAAAATCAAATCACATACGGCCCCCAAAGAGGCCAAGCTTTGGCTGCCTCAAAACACGTTTTGCCCTGCGGGAGAAACGAGGGGATCTACTTGTATAGAAACTGGAAGGGGGGGCCACAATCGACGGAACATGCTTGGCGTCTCATCTCTCACAATTCCTCCGAGCCCATGTCGGCGACGCCCACATCGGTGCTGCTGCTGCCCTTGCCAACCCCCGTGGCCCTCCCCGTCGTCGCTTGAGCATGCGCCGCCGCAATAAGGTCCAGCCAAGCGGCCATCCTCACTCCCGCGCGGGCGACCTGGAGTTCGATCACCGGCGCCGCCTTCTGGAAGTACTCACCACCGAGCTCCTGGCCGGCGATCGCACGCGGACCCTCCGGGAACACTGTCGAGCAAGAACAAGCTTAAGTCAGTTTCGACGTCACGACCGAACAGACGGGTTGTGGGGAGCCCGGGCTGCCTTCTTCGGGGGATCGACATACCGTGGGTGCAGACGAAGGCGTTCCCCTCGCTCGCCCAACGCATGGCGGTGGCCTCCACGTCGTCGAAGTCGAGGCTCTTGAGCCAGTCCTCCTTCTGTGCTGCGAACTTGCCCGTCTTGATCTCGTCCGTCAGCTCGTCCGCCCAGCGCTTCGCGTTGTCGTAGGGCCTGCGGCGAGCGCCCCCAATCAGCTTTTCGGCGATGGAGCTGTCCCAGACGTGGTGCAGGTTGAAGTCGGTGCCGTACCACTTCACGTGGATGCCGTTGCCGCCCCGCGCGACATCTTCGTTGTGCAGGGGCTGGTGAATGTCGCCGATGAAGTGGACGACGAAGCGAGCGGCCTGGTTGCGTTCCCAGCCGTTCAGGCTCGGGTCGAGGGATCGAGAGGTGTAGTTCGCCAGCGCCGTCACAACGCAACCCTCGGCCTTGCAGTCTCTTTCGAAGTCGAGACCGCAGTACTCGGGCGGGCTGTCATGGGCGTCGATGAAGTGGAAGGGACCCGTGAAGTGGCCCCATCTGGTGTAACGAATGGTATCGGCCCAGGTCGCGACACCGGCGAGGTAATGTTCGGTTTCGTTGCGGAGCAAATCTTGGAAGAAGGCTTCGGTTGTGTTGGCGACGAAGTGGCTTGCGATGTACGCGGTCGTGATGTGACCCAAACCTGCGGCGGTGACGGTCAGCGACGGAGATGACTCCGAGTGCTCGGCCGGGGCGCCCTCAAAACCACTTACTTCCCCACGCCAGAACCCCAGGCAAAGATGCACCAACAAGGGCGGCGGTACTAGAAAGCTTCATGATGACACTAAATGTTGAATCACAGGTAGTAGTATTTTGGTGATGTTGAAACAGTTGCACGCTTGCGATACCGGTCGCAGAACAAGACAGTGACGGCGATTCAAGTATGCGAACGCTGGCAAACAAACAAGACAAACGACGCTGAGTGCAACTCAAACCAGAGCTCAAGCAAAGACAACAACGAGGGACGCGAGGTTAAATGGCGACGCGTGGTCGAGTCACAAGCGCATCTGCATCCCACAATCGACGTCAACAGGCCGCTGTCGAGGCCCGGCAAGTTGGCCGAGAAACGGGCATCCACACTTTGTCAGCCACAACACAGTCAATTGAATGAGGCGGTGCAGCCCACGTGAGCTTATGCCCGATAAAAGTCCGGTGACCACCGAAAGTTCCTATGACATACTCCGATTGGTCACCGGCTGCAGACAAGATCAACGGGCTCTAGTGGACTTGGGATGATGGCTGGCATCGCATATGCATTCAGACAGCCAATCTGACCAAATCTGGCGGTTCATCTCGAAGTGGGAGGTGAGGCGGTAAGCTTCTTGACGATTCCTTCGGAAAACAGATTCTCGACTTGCATCATCTCAGCTCTGCTTTCCCACGATGACCAAATAAAGGCTCCTCATTGGCGTGAACAGCTCAGCTCCTCCACGTCCCACGGCGCCCCGACATGCCCCTCCCAAGCAAAAAGAAAAGTGGCGGTAAACCCGCCTTATTCAGGTTTTTACTGGAGTCGTACTCATCCGCCGCCCCACTATTTACCGTCTTCAGCACTCCGCCAAGGTTTTTTCGGTCGATTGGTTATGTCATGCAGGGTCCCGTTCCTTATCGCCGCGCTTGACCGCATCCGATAAGAGATAACGGCCGCGAAAGCCGTGTGATTGGACGAATGGTGGGACAAGCAACCCCCGGGGGAGGTTATCAATTCCTTACTGCGTCTGGTGTGGTGCGCCGGTGCGTGACTCTCACTGAGGTGCCCATCCATCCCACTTGACCAACTTCTGATTCCCAGCCCACCACCTGACCGAGGCGAGATACGACAAAAGGCACTTGTCTGCTTTTTCCCCTCCTCCCAACTCCTCACTCGCAGACGTCCCGCCAGTGCCCGTATCATTCAATTCGACCCCGGCGCGTTTCAATCAGTATGGCTTCATTCGCGGTCACGGCGTACGCCGCCTTATCACAGACCCCCAAAGTCGAGGACGCCTTGTCCGGTATATTTGGCAGCATCAGCTTGACCGCCTGGATCTGCCTTCTCGTGAGTCCTTCCAGGAATCCTCCAAGCACTATTTTGAGCTTCCCGCCGTACTAACTTCGTATCTAGCTTCCCCAGCTTATCGCCAACTACAAGGCGCAAAGCGCAGATGGCCTCTCCATGGGCTTCCTCATCATCTGGCTCCTCGGAGACGTGACGAACCTCCTAGGTACGTAGAAACCGGTCGCGCGGTCTCTGACGACCTCTCCTACGCCCCAATTCCCACGCGCCGCGTAGCTCCCACCTCGAACACCTCCAACCCTCCTCACCGAAAATTTCTCCAGCACCAACAGAAACCAACTGACTCAATTCCCAACAGGCGCCCTCTTCACCCACCTCGCCCCGACGGCAGTCGCCCTCGCCTCCTACTTCTGCTTCGCCGATCTGATCCTCATCTCCCAATGCGTCTACTACAACACCCGCAACGCCCGCCGCAACGCCCGCCGCCGCTCCTCCGCCGCAGTCACCGCAACCGGCGCCGCGGCGGCGCCCACCGAACACGAGCCCCTCCTCGCCCCCGCCAACAACCGCCGCCGCAGCTCCTCCGCGGGCCTGCCCGGCTCCCACCGCCGACACGCCGTGCACCACGAGAGCTCCCTCGACCCGCTCAGGAAGATGGTCACCGGCGAGGACGAGACCCCCGACAGCAACCCGTGGCTGCACAACACCCTCAGCATCCTCGCCGTGTACCTCGTCGGCGCCGCCGGCTGGTTCGTCAGCTACAAGGTCGGCGCGTGGGACTCGCCCGACGCGGAAGTCGGGGCGCCCTCTGAGGTCGAGGGCGTTTGGGAAAGCGTCGGCCTGGGGCTGGGGTACATCTCGGCCGTGTGCTACCTCTGCGCGCGCATCCCGCAGATCGTGAAGAACTACAGGGAGAAGTCTTGCGAAGGTATGTGTTTTCTGTCGCTTCTCTTGCCGAGAAGAACTGCGTTTGCTGACGTCTAACGAAAAAAAAAGGTCTCGCGCTTCTCTTCTTCCTCCTCTCGCTCACCGGCAACTTCACCTACGGCGCCAGCTTGGTCGCCTTCAAGCAGGACAAGGCCTACCTCCTCAACGCGCTCCCCTGGCTCCTCGGCTCGCTCGGCACGATTGCGGAGGACTTCATCATCTTTGCGCAGTTCCACCTGTACACCCCGCGCCGCGGGGCCAAGACCTCGGACCAGGCGTAAGACAGAGGAGGAATGTTAGAACGCCTCGAGGGAGGGGGACAAAGGAACTGAGGAATTCTTCGACCCGTGTCTCACGGGGCAACGAGCCGCATTTGAACATGAATCACGTGTCTCGGACCATGTCATCGGGGTGGTGGGTTAGTTGAAGATGTTTCAAGCCCATCATTCCAATGAGATTTGCATTTCGCGTGGGGGGTGCGTGCTTGGGTTGGGTTGTATTATTATGGTTGCATTTCTGGAGTTCGGGATAAAGGTTAGGTATCTGCATACCGCGCTCCGCGGTTTCTGTTGGTTGCTCGTGGAGAGCATCTTTGCATATATAATGAAGCAATATAAGCTGTTCGTCGTATAAGTTGCGGGTGTTTAGTGATGCTCCAGACGCGGGAAAGTTGAGGGTCCGCGATGATGTCAGGGTCACGTGACCTGAGAAGAGTCAACTCTACAACTCCTTCAATGCTTACCAAGGACTTAACGCTGTTGTTGTTTTTCGGAGCATATGGTATTAATTATCTCGTTCTAGCTTCTACTTTTGTGATGTTTGTCTTGGTTGATTGGCTGTGCGATTGACCTTGTCTAGATAGGCTAATGTTGTTGAAATGAAATGTAAGAAAATTGAACCAAGAAAATAATTACTTCTCCCAACCACAATAAAATACCCAACAAACATGATATTCCAGTAGCTTTGACTATGGCCATCACTCGATACAATTTCCTCGCAAACAAAACTACATCCGCAGGCGTCACGCCTCTTCATTCCCTCGCTATCCCTCGCCGCCCGTCGCCGAAAGCAACATCAAGCAAGTCCTCTCCGTATTTCACAATGAATAAATACGGCAGAAAGCTCCTGGATGATGCCTGAGAAGTGATCCGAGATGTAACAGAGGTCCCGGTATTCGGGTCTCGAGGCTGATGGTTCATCCCTGCTCGGTTAGCTGGCGGTTGGCATCTGATTTGGTAATGGCATTGAGAATGCCATGTCTCGTGAGGTCTTTTGCTGGGGGACTGATTGGATGTGACGTAGTGAATGTCGAAAAATGAAGGGGGGTTGATCTCTTGGGGTGGTATGGGGATAAGGCGGGAGGGCGCACATGATGTATCTCGATTGTCGGAGGCTTGCGATATTGTTTTGGAGGCGTGACGGGTTACTTGGTTGAAGTAGCTTACAGCTTACGTATGAGACTTTCAGATGAATATTGTGTTATCGCGATGTAGAGCAACTCGAACAAGTCAGCTAGCACCCATACGCAAGGCGTTGTGAGGCGTTCCGTATCACCACTGTTCGCTCGGTTTGGCGGTCTCGACGATCCAAATGGATTTCATCCCCAAGTACGGTTGGGCTAACTCTGATCGCACAAATGAAAGTGTTTGGTTGACTGCCTAAGCCGGGTAGTAGCACTCGATTGCCACGATACAATGCCTGGCCCGGACGAGCTCCGCAATCCGGGCCGGTGCGACCGTGAGTTTCCCCATCCAAAGGCCCCACATCGCCGATACTCTCGGCGCCGACGCTCGGGATGTATTCCTCTCACGTTGAGCTGCTCCACAACCCGGATGGAGAGGCTTCGGTCCACACAAACGGAATTGAAATCGATTGAAAACTCATTACCACCGACGTACTTTTTTCCTTCGCAGATTGACAGGCCTCGTACCTCGATCGCTGCGGATGCGACCGGACCTCCCGCCCTGAATCCCCTGTTGTCGGCACCTGTCCACGTCCTCTCACGCTAAGCCCTGCCGCTACATAGTGGAGCTCTTAGTCCTGCTGCAGATCCATAGGTTTATGGTACCTCAGCAATTCCTCAACGCTAGCTCCGAGTCCGGAGTAACTGATGGCAGAGTAAAGAACCGAAAGAAGGCAGTAGTAAACGAAGAAAGCGATGATCCAGCACATCACGACCCTCCCGACCATCTCGTTCAACCACGGCCGCCGAAGCCCTGCGAGTTCCGGCTTTTCAGTCGCCGGGTGGTACACGAACCATTCGTACACGGGAAGCGAGGCCCCCCACAGCACCGGCACGGCGAGCAGGTGGGCAAAGAGGAGGAGAGGGATATCGCTGAGGAAGGCTTTGCGGGCCAGGTGTGACTGTTTTAATGTTAGCTCTGTTGCCTTTTAGGATGCATCGTGTCGAGGGAGGAGAGATACTCACCATGACTCCGCCAAAGCACATTGCACATAACCAAAGTATGGCTGTATTAACCAAGTTCCGGAACCATTCGTAACAGTCGACGAAGGGAACGAGGATCATAAAAACGAACCATGCCAGATGAAAGTGATACATGGTCTCGGCTTCGAAGAAGATGTCGCAGCTAACGAAATCCTGGGGTCGTTTATCTTGTCGCACTTGGGCCGAATACGGTAGGTAAGTCAGCGGTCGAAGGAGGACGAGGGTGCGTTTCCCCAGTATGTTATGCTACTGATGTTTCAGGTGATGGTTGTAAGCATCGAAAGGCACTGTGGTTGTGAGAAGGTGGGAGAAGGAACATAAATCCACGTCGAGGCTTCAATCGGAGATGGATATTGGAAAGTTCACGTCCACTTTTTCGGTAGCTTTTAACTTTCATGGCTCTACTGCTCAACTTCACGCACCCGGATAGCGTAACCTGAAGACGGCGTACGAAAGTGAACGCTGAGTCTTCTCCAGATGCCCAGAAGCAGCTTGAGAATGGATAGGAAAGGGAGGATAAGGACGGCTGTCTCAGAAGATATTCATACTTCATCCTCGCGAAGAAAGAAAAGCCGGGGGAAATGCGATGCTGTTCTTGACTTGAAGCGGGGTTTTTCATCAAGACCTTGAGGGCTGATACTGCTAACGTTCTTTTTGGGTCGCAGTAATGTTCAATACGCTGAGAAAATTTGACTTATGCTGTCAGCCAGAAGCTTTCTGATCCCGGAGGTAGATGGTCTTCACTTAGTCTTGAACAAGCGGCATTATTGTCTTGAGATGTTGACATCTGATGATCGTCGTTGTCCTTGGTCGGTTATCAAAGCGGAAATCCGTTTATCACGATGTTACTGCCCGGGCTTCATTTACTCTCACGGAGGCTTATTTTGCCGCCATTTACACTGATTTGACCACGTATGGGAACGGTTGGCTGCAATGCATCGGGTCGGGGCTCCCGTGTAACCGGCAGTATGCGGTAAGCTCAATGTGCATCGGCGTTGCAATCGAGAATGCGTGATTGGCTCGAGCCACCAAAACGCATTCATAAGAGCAAAGATGTGCATCTTTTCATCCATGCTATGTGCGTTCAACGTAACTAATCCTCTGACCCCTGCTGAAGCCAAGGCAGTACAATGTCTGCCAACGCAACGAGACGCATATTAGTCCTAATGTGGTAAATCAAAGTTACGCTGGCATATTGCGTCGTATTTCTGACCTTCAGGGGAAGGTAATGTGCAGACTTGCATGTCGTTGACTCGCTATTGGACAATTGGAATCAGGCTGCTGGAAGACGTTGAGGGGTAGATAGTAATGCCAGCTGGCGCAGCTTTTATTAGAACACGATGGTCCTGAGGAGTCTATCGTTCGGCATTCTCTTTCACACCTCGAATCAAGCTCGCAAACGTCAACCTTGGTGTTCTGTCACCCAAAATGCCTGGATTCTATTCACTTGCAGTCGGACTAGGTGCTGCTCTGTTCATCCTCGTCCTCATCCGCAAAGTCTTAAAGACCGGCAGGAATGGACAACTACCTCCTCTGCCCCCGGGTCCAAAAGGGCTTCCCATCGTGGGGAATGTGAATGACCTACCAAGGCAAGGAGAGTTCGAAGCTAAACATTGGCTGAGATTCAAGAATCTCTACGGCAAGTCACATCCACATCAACGGACGTCTTCAGTACCATAGCCGATGATTGACTGACATGGCACAACTCTCACAGGTCCCATCAGCTCTGTGACGGTTCTGGGACAGACCATGGTGATTGTCAATGACGCCAAGATAGCTTTCGAACTCTTGGAGAAGCGCTCGGCCAAGTACTCTTCACGACCGTTCCAGTTGTTTAGTGGTGAAATGTGCGTAGGGTGGTCCTTCCAGAGGTTCGCTTCACTCTGACAGTCTCGCAGGGTAGGGTTTGGGAATATGCTTGGACTTGTTCCGTACAACGACCGTTTCCGAAGGCATCGTACCAACATTGCGAAAACCATTGGCACAAGGGGCCCGGCGTCCCAGTATCAGCAGCTGCAGGAGGCCGAATCTGGGCATTTGTTATTGCGCATCTTGGATAAACCCGATGGACTTTTTGATCATATCCAGAAGTAAGTCGATAACTGACCAAAGCTCCTGCGTCTGTCAAAAATGCCGAAGCTGACATCGCGAGCGCAGACTGGCTGGCTCGGTAATCCTGAAGATGACCTATGGTTACAACTCGGAGCCGTTCGGCAGTGACTACCTGGTGGAAGCTATCGCCCAAGTTACACATGAGTTTGAAAAGGCTGTTGTTCCCGGAGCCTTCATGGTGGACCTGTTTCCCTGGTGTAAGTGCCATATTCATACAGTCATGTTAGAGGCCGGCTGCCAACATTGCTAACTCAACCTAGTGCGCTACCTGCCGGAATGGTTTCCTGGAACTGGCTGGAAGCAAACTGCGAAGGAGTGGCGAGCCCATCTTGACGCCGTCATAGAAAAGCCATTTGCATTTGTGAAACACCAGATGGCAGAAAGCAAGCACGACGTCGACTCGTCGATACTTGGCCAACTTCTCAGCGACGAAGATCAAACGGCCGAGGATGAGTTCACGGCAAAATGGACCGCACTTTCTCTATACACTGGAGGAACTGATACAGTGAGTCTTTGCTGTCTTTTGCGCCATTTAGATTGGGATCGTCGGCTGACTGACGGCAGACTGTCTCCTCCGTGGCGTGTTTCTTCCTGGCGATGTCGGTCTACCCCGACGTGCAACGAAAGGCCCAAGCAGAGATTGATGAGGTTATTGGACGCGAGCGCTTGCCTACTTTCTCGGATCGCCCAAACCTACCGTATGTCGGGGCTGTTGTCAAGGAGGTTCTCCGATGGCACCCAGTTGCGCCCATGTCATTGCCTCACGCGGCTTCTGAAGACGATACCATCGAGGGCTATTTCATTCCGAAGAACGCCTTGATTTTGACCAACATCTGGTCAGTATCTTCATCTGTTCATCACGAATGCAAGCGTGGGATCTCATTTAACCACCGCGAAACAGGCACTTCACACACGATCCCGACGTGTACCAGTCGCCTGAAGACTTCAGGCCGGAGCGGTTCCTTTCCACTGAAGGCCGCACACCAGAGACCGACCCCCAGAAGTTCGTCTTTGGTTTTGGTCGTCGTATCTGTCCTGGGCGCATTCTTGCCGATGACGCCTTATTCATTACGGTCGCACAAGCTCTCTCGACACTGAATATCGGCAAACGTGTTATCAACGGTAGGGTAATTGAGCCAAACATGAAGTTCTCGGGTGGACTCGTCAGCCATCCAGAACCTTTTGAGGCATCAATCAGGCCAAGATCGCCTCACCACGAAGAGCTCATTCGCGCCATCGAAAGGACTTACCCTTGGCAGGAGAGCAACCAGGAGATCTTGGCAAGGATGAGATTTTAGTATGGTCAGCAGCCATCTGCAGCTCAACTCCGCATGGCAAAAATAGAACCAATAGAATACGGAAAATTCAGAGAGGGCTCCTTACCTGATTCTCAGGTCGCCGTACATAAGCAACTAGGTCACAATCCAGTGACCGTCAAGAACTACTTAAACCCTGTCAGAACACCTTGATTTAGCTCTCTATTTCCCCGCTGTCCCCTAACTACTTTCCGAACCCTGTCGCCCAACTCCGTGAGTTTTCATGATGAGCCTCAGCACCGGAAGAAAGGCCGTCATGAAACCCAAGGAGAACTCAAGGCTGTGCGAATCATGCCAATCGTTATTCAGTGCTGCTCAAAACGACGAGAACACTGTGACTGAGGCGGAATGCGGACCATGGACAAGAAGAACGGTCACAGCATCAAGAGACTTGGTGCACCCAAACTGTTCACTCTGTCAGGCACTTTCACAAGCTCATTACCAGAGGTTCGGCTACACTTGTCACGCGGGAGAAACGAAGAATCCCTGGACAAAAGAGTTTGAGTTCAATGAGTTTACCGAACGTATCACGTTCGAAGAAAACGCGGAACACTTCTGGTCCGAGGTCACCATCATCGGACTTGTCCCAGGCAAGTAGCCCTTAAGTAAAAGCTCAGATCAGGCCGCTTACAGGTCTAACAAGTTTTGGATGGAATACAGCAAGTGATTCCAGGGGTCAACCGATAGACACGCACAGCGGATCCGCTCAGAGCTGGAAGCTAGTGAACAACTGGGTAGCCAACTGCGCTTCCAACCATTTACTATGCCGCGATATTGGCGCCGACTTTCAACCATTGCCCACCCGGATCATCGACATAGGCCAAGGCCCTGGTATCGTACCGAAGCTTTGCATAGTCAGCAAAAAGACACCCATAGAGCCCTACGCTAGTCTCAGTCATTGCTGGGGATCCGATACACCGATGAAATTACTACGGAGTAATCTTACAGCAATGACGAAGGGGATAGCATTGGAGGAAATGAGCAAGACGTTCCGCGACGCCCTTCTTGCTACTAGGAAACTCAACTTGAGGTACATCTGGATCGACTCGCTTTGCATCATTCAAGACTCTGAGGAGGACTGGCGCGAGCAGGCAGCCTTGATGACTCAAGTATACTCCAACGCCTTCATCAACATTACAGCAGCTTATGCTCGAGATGGGACGCACGGATGTTTCGTTGAGAGAGACATTACTGATGTCAAACCTATCGAAGTTTGTGTCGAGTGGGGACCTCGGCCGGGGGCCTTCCACGTCGTCAACCTAAACTCCATGGAGGATGACGTTGACTTCTCTCCGCTGCACCAACGGGCTTGGGTCGTCCAAGAACGACTGTTGGCCAGACGCAATCTACATTGTTGCAAATCTCAGCTGTTCTGGGAATGCAACGAAATGAAAGCCAACGAGTCCTTTCCTGATGGGCTTATGCTTCCCATCGCTATAGATGGTGACTGGGTTGGCATGGCCAGTGCCCTAGACAAACAATTCACCCACGAGGAGACGAAGCGCAAGAGACTTTTGGCATTGAAACAGGCACCAGTCCATATCGGGTTTGAATATCATCATCTCTGGGACGATATCGTTTCGCGTTACTCTCCTTGCGGGCTTACTTTCGCCACGGACAAGCTTGTGGCGTTATCAGGATTGGCGTTGAGAATGCACCAGTTCATGAAGTGTCGTTATCTAGCTGGGTTGTGGGAGGACCATCTCTCGTACCAGCTGCTATGGGAAGGTCACAACGACGTTCAACCACTGAGGAAGCCCGAAGTTTATGTTGCTCCAAGCTGGTCTTGGGCATCCGTCAACGGAGCAGTCACCAAAGTTGCGCAAGTTAGGTTTCCCGACAATCGTGAGATCATGATTGAGATCATTGATATTCACATCGAACTTCTGAGCCCCAAACACGTTTTCGGACAGGTTACTGGGGGATATTTGCTGGTGGAAGGCGTATTGGCAAAGCAGACCATTTCCGTAACTTCTCCTAAGGTCTCGGAGGCAGGGCATCACCCATGGGTCCGTGTCAACGGTCTTTTCTTGACACGACCCTATATGGATGATATCCATTACAAAGTGGAGGGCAAAGATCTATATTTCATGCCAGTGAGGTTTGATCTGGGTCCCTTAGGGCATGATACCAAATTAAAAGTCGAAGGAATAATCCTGGAGCACACGGGAGGGCAACCAGATGAATACAGGCGAGTTGGGAAATTTGAAATATGGGATGGTGGAATAACGCAGCTTGATGCAGACAAGGGTGCTGTGGAAGCATTCAAAGAAGCGTGCGTGCTCACTAGCGGACCAGGAGGCCCGGAAAGATTTGGAGACTGGGGGGAAACGAGGAGGTTGACTATCGTTTGATTTGCAATATCATGTTAGAACTTCTTGTGAGTAGGACGTTTCATCACAAACATATCAATGGAATGACCGCATTCCCACACTGCAGTTCTGTACGATCAGAGAACAGAGGCGGCAGAACCGTATGGAACTTTCACAAACTAGACTATCTAACTTCATTGGACAAAAACTTGGTAATTCTGAGTTGAATCCTCGCTCCTTTGTAGCATTTACTTCCATGGGATACTCAAACAAGAATAAAATCCTGCAATCCGCGTTCCTCAAAACCCACAGTTGGACTGTCACCTCCCAAAAGACCAAAAAATTCTTCCACCAGTTCATCGGACAAGAATGCAAACTCAACCTGTCCAAGTCGGCGGAACGTGTTCGGAGCGCCCGGCACACCATGTAGCAAAAGACCAGTTACTGTTTTTGGAATTCTCTCGAGCCTCCTCGACAAAGGAAGCAAGTGTGTTGGATCACTCCAACGCCAGTCTTGATCATGATTCATCTCTTGTGCCGCCACCTCTTCCTTGACGTAGACGTCTCTTCGGAGTTCGATGAACCTCACGTATCTGCCCCAGACTGAAAATTTACCATGCTCCAGTGGCGACTCGATAACCCGTCTTTGACAATAAGAAAGACCGCTCATATACTCACCCCAAGCCTCTAATTTGACGAAGGAAGAGGGCAATTTCCTAAGGGGGGCCGTCATGTGAAGGCCCCGAACGCCTGACTTGTCCATCGATGAACATTGTAAGTCTGACTTGAACCCTGGAACATCAGAAAGAACCCGAAAACTGATACCATGAAGCGTATCATTATATGGTGACCCCGGAATATGACAGCCGCCCCAGGAAGCCCAGGACCAGGAGGGTGCAATGAGGGTTGAAGGGATCATCTGCGCGGTGGGTTTCGCTGAAAGATGGGAAGCTTTCCAAGTCAATGACGGAATGAGATCTTTCTCCCACATGCCCGCAATAAGATTATCGTTGACAAGTTTGCTCAAGATGCGTGCTATGCCTGCGATTGCCGGAAAGCGGTCTGCCTCAACTGATAAAGCTGTGCCGGCATACCTCCCAACGAATTGTCCCCACGCGGCGTAGATTTCGTCGACATCACTTGAGGAGATTATTGGACGTAATGCGCTTGGTCCATCCTCAATCTTCTGCATCTCCCATTTAGGAGGCGTGGTTGGGTGGACTTCATTCACGATATAACGGTTACACTCCCACCACATCTTAGCCGGAGTGAAATGTAAAATGGCGGGAGAGAGAGCTCGTTCCTGGGCTACCCATCCTCGAGAGTTCAAATGACCCAAATCAACCGCATTCGTGAACTCCTGCGTATCTGCAGGGATGTAGTAGCCCTCAAGAGGGATCCGATGCCCTTGTTTTTCGAAGAAAATCTCGCAATCGACCCTGATTGGATAGTATGCGAAGGGCAATGGCAACCTCCGCCTGAAAAGCCCCCCCTCCGCCTGGCCGCTTTTGTATCCAGACGCTGCCAAGTTGAGTTCTGCGTGTCGATAATAGTCGCCCATTCGTCTTGCCTCATATACCCAGTCGACCTCTTTCGAGTCTTGGATAATACAGAGACAATCAATCCAGATGTAGTTAATCCCAAGACCGGCAGTCATATATATTGCATCTCTGAACAACTGAGGCAATTCTTCAAAGCAAATGTCTTGCTGGAGTGTGTGAAGATTGGTTGTCTGTAGCGTGGGCAACTGGCTGTCTCCCCAACGATGGCTCAACGTAGTGTAAGAGAAGTGCCGTGCTGATCGGTTGCCGGTATGGCAGAGCCTAAGTGCGAACTTGGAAGGCTCCCCGCTGATCTTTCGTATCTGAATTAATCGTGTTGGCAGAACTCGTCCGTCAAAGTCCCGACTGCGGCACCCCGAGTGCCCCAAGCATTGCTCATACCAGGACCGAGCCAACTCGATGCTCGTAGTAGACTGTGCAGTGGAAAATGTCGGGGATGGATCTGTATCTTGTTCGTATTCGTCAACGAGAAATGAGGAAGATATTTTTGGCTCACCTAGGTACTCCGGCCCAGGTTGAAATCTAGCAGCTAAAAAGAATGACTTTAAAAGTATTAGACGGGGTTTCACGCCCTCATCGTGCGGGCTGTGAAGATAGAACCATAAGTTGAATGATTCATGTGGAGAATGGACCGAATGATTGTCTTTCAATACAGAGTAAATAGACTGAGAATCTTTCGAGGGTTCTTGAACTTCGGGTAGAGGATCGGACATCGCTTCTAGACCTCCCGGGGGTTCTTGAACTTGGGATCGCCAACCGAACATCTTTGCCAGAGCTCTCTCGATATCGTCGCACATGGGACAGCCGGCATTGACCGACTTAAATAACGAGGTCGGGGATTCATGGTGCAAGCGAGCACCCGTACCACTTCCCAATTTTTCAGGGTCATACCAGTCTGTGTCTCCGCCGTGACGTCCTCGTAAGACTCGGCGACAAATGTGGCACAGGTGTGTGGACCATTTCTCCAGTGCGTCGCGCATCCTGTCGTCGTAGATGGGAGCCGCTTCACTACCAAGACGACCTTGCGTCTCTCCATCTGTACTGCCGATGTTGTCGGGATCTGTGGAGCCGTGGCTGCCACAGCAGCTCGCGTCGTCGTGGCTCGCCATTCTTGGAGGAACTTCCCAGAGATGCGCAGGTTTGCTTGGATTTGCGGGTTGGTGAGCTCTGCTAACAAGTTGTCTGCGGAGGTGTTCCCAGGAGACTCGACATTAACTTTTACGACTGGGAATTTGGATCTTTTAGCCTGTTATTGACCGGTTGGAACTCCACTGAACTCTGCGTCGGGCATGCATGCAGCACCACCCCGTTGGCATTTTCTGGCAAGATCTCATTGGTCTGCGCCTCAATGAATCTTCCAACAACAAGTGGGACATTATACATTTCGCAGGTTGTCAATGGGGATCCTGACGAATTGGAGAGTGTTTCCAAGCGCTGCGGACTTGGCGCTTCGCCGCCTGCGCCCCCGGTACGAGCGGCATCGCCCCGCTTTTCGATCCGTCGCCGATGGCCCTGTCGGCCCGGAGTTCTCCGGGCACTGCTCCGGCTCTTGTTTAGCTTTGCGGGCACACGGGGAAGCGAACATATTCCCTTCCGAACTGCAGCGCCGTAGCGCCGACATGAAAATTAGGCCTGAAGCAATGTTCCGCAGCAAACGTTATTCGAGGCCCAGTTGTTCACCAATCCTACATACACTGGCGACGATCGGAAGTCGACGCTATAAGATCGATTCTTCATCTAATCCAATGAAATACATCATGGCGGCTATCAAGCAATCACGCAGTGTATTGTCTATATTATGGATTCAATCGGATAAATGTGATAAGTACTGATTGTGCGGTGCGAAACCTTACGGCCGGCAATGTTACTGCACCGGAGTTGGAATCTGACGACAACTGCTTCAGGTGTTCGTGATTGGAATTTACCATCATTATGTTGGCATGGCACCTTGGCTATGCCTCAGCTCAAGGGTGATCTGTTCATGAACCACACTTTACTTCCAGTACAAATGTCGATACGGATGCGTCTGTCCCTAACGAACCAAAATCGGGGCTGTTCATTCTTGGTGTCTGAAGTGTCGTGCAGATTTGACGTAACGTCTCGTGGCATCAAGATTCATCCGCCCAGAGTTTGTTTCTTGGATTCGCGCTAGTTTCGTTATCGACAAGACGTCTGCGGCCCGCGACCTGTCTGTCGCCTGTTGCTCGTAGAACCAGCCTTTGAGCATGCTGTCAATGCAGTTGCTAATTGGAGGTAGGTTATGCGGGAAGTTACAAGATTTTCATCGCAAGTTCATGATGATGTAAATAGGTTGAGCAGCGATAAGGTTAACTGACATGTAACGAATACCAATCACGTTATGAGATGTTTCGATAACCTAGATATGTATAGACGGGTTGGGCGTGATCGAAACGTTGTTGCAAGTGACCACGCGCGATAACCTAATCGGAGCTTGATGGGAAACTCACTTGCGCATCACTGACGAACCCCAAACGCCATTATTCTGGCTTCATATTGCCACACTCCAGAAGCAGCTTCTAGAAGTCTACACAGGATTCTAACCTGTCCCTCCAACACTTCAGTCTGAATCCGAGCACGGGTATGACGTCGATCCAGAAGTGTAAGGAAACTCGAGCACGGCCCGGGAATGACGAATGACGAGTCCAACGGTTCACGAGCCGTAGGGCGCGTACGTGGCCAATGACTCGGGGCCATTCCTCCGGTCCCAACGGCCTTTTTTCGTGACCATTGGACGAATGTCCTACATGACCATGTGGTGCGACTCCGCTCTGACGAGACGAGGGCGCTACGACGGCAAGCTGCACCGAGACACGTATCGGTCAAACCCGGCTCGCAGTTCCAGCGAACAATATTTCATCATCGTCAACCACATCGATTCATGAACGACGACCACCGGAAGAAAGAACCATTCGTTTCCGTGCACTCACGGACGCCCATCGAACATCTCGACTGTCTTGTAGTGTGAGCCAGCATGAAGATCCAGGCGGGAGGCAGATGACGTTTCCTCCCGAGGCGTATCAAAGATCAGCGCAACAGCAGATCCGCGCAAACGCCGACACCCCACGCGCAGCAAACACCGATCAGATCAACGTCGTTCACCTCACGGTTCGAGGACCTGCGACAGAGACACCCACCCACCCCCGGTCCTCCCGGAACGGAACGGCAGAGCCTCAGCAGGAGGAGACTGGAAGCGGAGAACGCCCCGTGGCTGGCTCGTGCTTCTTTCCACCATATTACCGCGTTCGGAAGTCGAACCCTCCTCGATGGGCGGCCTTCGTGCCTTGCAGGTTGCAGCATGAACATAGTTTCCCGTCCCTGAGTGCTCAAGGTATGACCCGGTAGTCTCCTGCCGGCAATTGCAGCGCAAAACCGATTGGGTTATGGAAGCGACGACATGTGTAGGAATGCGAAGAGTTGGGAGGTGGTCGGGAAGACACCATTTGTTTGTGGGAATTGACGGGAACAAATTGTGTTTAGTCGACGGGTTGGTGATGTGGGAGAAACCAGGTTTCGATAGCCGTGGTGATGTGTCGTGACAGCATGATCGTGAGCCTCCCGTCACCCCCTTGGATCACGAAGATCCTCCTGTTCGAGACATCTCAGCCACGCGTACGTCCTCGTCCTCCCTTGGTTACGCGCCGCCGAGCCGTCATGCCCCCGTCAACGACGCAGAAGATCAAATGCCCAGCCAGTCTGAAGTGAGCCCGCCCAGCCCAGTGATCCACGAGCGGAATCCAGCACGGTCTCCTGCGCGGCCCCCAAGGAAGAGGAAGAACGTCGCAGGCAGGAGAAATTCCCTAGATCGCCGCCAGGGATCACGTCGATGAATCTTGACGGAGTGGGTTCATGGACTGATGAGTGTCAATGCAGTGGGATCCAAAGCCCCCCTCGAGCCTCCAGGCCCCCAGGGGGAAGGGAAATTCTGGATTCTGTCACGTTGGACCAGCCATTCCAATACCATCACCAAGGTTTTGTCCGGTGACAAGCGTGACAGCGAAGCCCCTGTCTCAACCAGGTACGCCTTCAAAGCGCCATGTGCGTGAGAGATGCGGAAGCCAGGTTTTGCCTTGTCGTCCGGCATGTTGAGTTTGGCTGGCTGTCTGACGTGCGACCGTTTTTATGTGCGCTAACGATTTAATCCACCCTCCTTTACAATTCAATTTTTGTAGTACTGCACAGCAATAAGCCTCCCTGACTCCCGTCCGTCCCTCCCTCCAGCAGTTCTCAGCTGGTTGGTGGTGGTGGTCGTCCCCCTTTTTTGAACGCCGTTGGAGACGCCATCCCTACCCCGATTAGCATGGTCAGCCATCCGTCAGCCCAGATCTCGCGGTACCTGAACAGAGAGAGTTGAGAAAGCAGCCGTGAAGTGATCCCGGCGAGACCACCATCGACCCACAAGCCCGGGAAATCCGCTGCTTTTCTTTCTCGGTGGCGTGCGGCTAGGAGAATGGAGAGATGGAACTCGAAATCCGGGCGTGTCGCATGTTTTCGTACGACGCGCCCAATCAGATTTCACGGACAAGCCAGGGGTTCAGGCACCGAATTGCCGCCCATGAATTCTTGGTCCATCCAAGCCGTCCGTCTTGCCGTCTTGTGGACAAACGTTGGTCTGCCATTCCAGAACATCTGGGCTTCTCCGCCTTGATTCAAAGTCGTCATTGGTTGATTTCCATCTTCTCAAACTCACAAGACAACCGCCGCTGTCCAATCGCTACGTACCATGTCTATAACCTTAATCCCTTGGTCCTAGGAGCCTCTGACGATCCGTCGGTTGATGGCCTCTCGTCTTGCTGTTTCTTGGTGTTTTCCCCCGGTTGCCGCCTAGACTAAGACAACAGCAGCACAACTTGGCCTGCCTCGTGATAGCCTCCATCGTACGGGCCAAGATATTGCCCTCATCTCACAGCGCTAGACGCATGACCAAAACCCCCCCAAAAAGAGGCTATTACCACCAACTCTCACCGTATCGCACCGGCCAGGCAAATGGGTTTCAACCCTGAAACTCCACCAGCTCATCTCGGTCCTCCCATCCCATTCGGGCCATCCCTCACAACTCCCCATGTCCTTGCAATCAATCCCTCCCCTCCCCCTGGTCTTTCAAATGCTTAGTATCGATAGCGGCATAGTCAAAAATTCAGCGCCCTCTCGTACCTGAGAGCCAGCTGAGCCGTTCCGTCCAACCAGAACCCAGGCCCCTTCGCTCCCCTCTCCCGAGCGTCCCTTCGAACGAGCCGCCCCCCCTGTCGAGACGAGTTTCGTCACAGCCCATTCATCGTCCGATTTTCCCTCTCTCTTCTTTTCCACTCCTCTTCTTCACCTTCCCACCAACGACACATCTTAACATACGCCAACTAAGACTCTCTCGCACACCAAGCGAATCCCACCTCGCTTTGCCTCACCTCGTCTCACCTCACCAAGTCTCATCATCAAGCCCAGCGACGACCACCAAGTCTCGACGACGCAACCGCGCACGGCCGACGCACGCACGCCAAGGGAACACCAACCCGATCTGCGAAAAAAGCCACCACACCTCTCTCTTTTAACACACCGACATCCCACCACCACTACACACCCCGCGCTTCTTCTCTTTTTAGCCTTTGCCGTGTACTACGTATATCTCCCTTTTCCTGCATCCCGACATCCAGGAAACTCTAATCGCCACCACTCTTTCGTATCCCTTCACGAGAGGACCGACCGCTCGCTCGCTCGCGTGTACCACTCCAGCAGGACCACAACTAACCTGCAACCAAACACTCTCTTTTCACACAGAGCACCCGCCCCGAGCTTCCTTCTCTTCCAGCTGGCCTGAATCTTATTCAATATACATATTTCCCCCCAACCCTTGCGTACATACTTCCACACGCTCTCACCCCCTTCTCCACGCCCGTTCGCTCCGTCCTCCTCCACCTCCTCCCACCAACCGACATCGAACTCGTCGCTAGCTCGACGACGACGACAAACACGATCACTTTTGAAAAGGAAGGAAATCTGAAGAAGGAATATCACATCGACCAGAAAGAGAGAAGGGAAATCAAAAGGGAACCGAACCGAGAGCAGCGCTCCAGCGAACCCCCCCCCGTTCTTCAAAAAGGCAGCTATCTTGAGCAGCCTAACTGTCGATTTTTCGTTTTTACACACCGGAAAAGAAAACACAAAAAAGTCCAACATGAAGGTCTCACTCGCTCTCCTGACGACGCTGTGCGCGTCCATCGTCTCAGCCGGTGTCGTCATCACGCCCGTCCGGCCGAACCAGGTGATAGCGGCCAACTCTGGCGACTGCTTCTTCGGTGTCGTCACGCCCCAAGGTTGCGCGTAAGTTAATTCTACCATGTATTTATGATCTTCGCTCAAGAGACTAACACGCACTTCCAGACCATTGCGAAGATGAGGAGAACCACCACCCTCTCAAAACTCGCAACAGCGATGACCCGGGAAAAGCGGCAGGCCGGAGCTCGTCGGTGGCCTCGGAAGCTCTCACACTTCCACCACGCCAAGTCACCAAAAAAAAGGCCCGACGATTCCGATGAACCGTCCCAGATCCCGTGTTCTTCATCGCGAAGGGCGGCATGCTCAGCGCCATCACCATAGCGAAAAAGAGACTACGACATTTGTTCACCATCATTTCACGTGACGGGTTCACGACGTCCACCACACCAATAAGCATCAGCATCAAACATCATCAGCGGTTTTTTATTTTTTGTTTGACAGGCATTTTCACCATGTCCTGGGGGAGACAACCCTTTTCGTGAGCGGTTTTACGGCGGGCCTGGGTTTTTTGGGACCTGGCCATGAGAATCTAATGTGCATCCAAGCCTGTATTCCTTCTGTCTCTCACTGTCTTACTATTCACCGGACGTCCGAACTTCGGTGGTTAGTGAGTGAGACCGTATGAGAGACAGGGCGCAGGCTTGGCATTTCCACCTGTTCACCACATTTCTTCTTCTCATCCCCCAACTTTTTACCATATACTAGACTTACCTATTCACCTTTCAAAAAAGAATTGAAAATGAATATTCACTAAAATCCCCAATCCCCCTAACCCTTGCTACGCGATGGTGATGATACTGACCTACGACTGCAAATCACACAGCCCCAAGTCCCGTGGCGTCGATCCATGTCGGGAACGTGTTTTGAATGTGATGCCCGACGTGTCGTGTCGGAGGATTTGGGGTGAGTTTGAGGCGCGGGGTTAGGGGTCCGTGGGAAGAGGCGCTCCCGGGCGGGACCACTCCACTCGCGGCTACGGGGTCAATCTTCTGTAACAACGCCAACGCGAGCCGCACAAACTCTAACGCATAACCTTAACATGCCCCGTCAGCCACTGGCCGTACGCACTCCTACTCCAACACGGCACTTTGACGGCCCACGGAGAATATCCAGGCTGCATACACTAGCTGTCGTAGGCGCGCACGCACACTTGGCTTACGAAGAAGAAGGGAGAGACGACTGCTTCCACGGCACTTGACCACCCCCCTGTTCGGTCCCGAGACCACCAGAAAAGACTGGACGACGCGTCAGATGGCCAGAGAATAGTGTCTGTCGGTCCAAATCGCTCGTCTCTCGTTGGCCGCTTCTCACCCTCACTTCATCCACTTCCTAATACGGCATCAAAGTGTAAATGACTGAACTCGTCTCTTAGGGATATCTCAGCATGTCTACCGTCTCGACGTCACAAGTACGGGCAACGGACAAAACACCGCCCATGCCATCCGAATAATCTGCCCCAGGTGCGAAAGCATCCTCAAGTCCACGAGGCAGTTGTGCCCATCACATCAGGCTGTGATCTCAACACCGGAGAGAATACTTGGCGCTGCGATCGGCCTTCATCCCGCCCCAGTGCACCTCGGGCGCTTCGCTGCCGTCCTCGCCAATGGCATGTGGCTTCCAGGGCTCATCGAACGCCTCGAAGAAGAAGACATTGAATCCCCAGCGAACCATCCCGCAGACACCACCGAGGTAGAAGGCCTCAGCGTTGTCGTGTCCTGGTTCGGCTTTCTGGTACTTTGCACCTTCGCTGGGCCAGCCTGTGCTCGGACGGACTCGTTAGCCAACCCATTGACCGAAGATCAGACCAATGCGTGTGATTCGCGAGGAATTGACATGACAAAGAGCTTCAGGGCAGAGTAACACAAGAGCTAAACGTACCTGTCTCGCCAACCTATAGCTCAGGCAAATCAAACGACCCGCTGACGCGCTGGATATGACCGAAAGCCTGCATGATGGAATCGAAGAAGGATGCCGTTGCGTTGTCACGCGTTTGTCCTTGCCAGTACGAAAAGGCGTTGGCGAGAAGGATGTCGGCCTGCTTGATGACTGCGTCGGCGGTGCCGTCCTGGTACTTGTTCCAGCTGTCTGCCGTGCCGACGCGAAAATCGGGCACGGCTTTCTTCATGTCCTTGATCTTTGCAGCAAGCTGGTCGCCGGTCAAATTGCCCCGGTACATGGACTCGGAGCCGACCGTGACGGCGTAGACTTGGTTCTTGAATTCAGGCGCATACCGGAGGATGGCGGCCTTGTCGGCGGCGTAGGACTCCTCCGTGTCCGGCCTTGCCTCCGAGTCAGCCGGTTGGGACTAACTTTAAGGAAAGTTTGCCCGATGGAGCTGGGGTTAAATGAATGAGGGGACTCACCACACACCGAGGATGACTAGAAAGCCTTCCTTCTTTGCGGCTGGCAAGATCTGCTGGGCCGTGTTGCATTGGTCGGCAGCGTAAATACGCACAATGCCGCTTCCCGATGCCTCACGGATGGCTCTGAAATCTGCCTCGTAGTCTGCTTGATACTTGCACTGCCCATCCGGCTTCTTCGCACCAAGAGCGAAGCCGAGACTCCCATACACTTGAGCAAGGCTTGGACTCACAGCCAGCAGGGCGCAGACGAGTGCTGAAGAGCGCATGTTGGTTGTCGGTACTGTGCGTGGAAAAGAAAAGACTGCTTTGTGATCGGTAGGTGGATAGAGATCAGAGCAATGAAGGAAAGTTATTGAATACTCGCCGCAGAGGATGAGGTCCTAGGTATGAAGGTTGTTGAGGGAGAACAGCAGGTTGAGGTTGGACGGAGAGATGATGCGAATAAATATGTGGTTGATGTACGGAGGCAGTCGAGAAACCCGTACGAGGAAGTCAGTCAATTCATTTCATTTAGAGGCAGTTGCCTTGATTGAAGGCAAGAGACTCAGGAAAGAGCCTTCTCGTCATGTCCCAATACGGAAGGAGCGGGATGCAGCAGGGATGCAAGCTGGACCTCCCGCACCTCCCTCACAACTCCGGACGAACCAGTGGGCTTCTGATGCAGAGATCACTTCAACTGACTTGTGAGCTATTCAACTGCCGATCTGAATGCAGCAGGAAACAACGCCAAAATTATATGATCCCTCGTTTGAGGTGTAATACGCTGGATTGCATCTTGACTGAATCGCAGAATTCCTCATCACAAGAGTCGGATTGCAAGACAAACTTTTTGTTTGTTGATTAAGCCAGTAACTAACTATGTAGCCCCAGGACCGGGGAAGTAGGGTATAAACAATTCCCGAACAAGAGGCCCAATGTGTCTTGTCTATCGCCGATGCAGACCCTGTGTGACGAATCCAAACTCCAATCCCATGCATGACCGGCCGTGAAATTACATTATGCTCAAAGGAATGACATGAGGACCTGGACAGCCATCAGAGCTCCGGCAACGGGCCAGAGGCTGCTGACTGACATCCGGCCGGCGGCGTTCTGGTTGTTGCCGCCGCTACTGCCGGTGTTGCCAGAACCGGCCTGGCACTCGCCGGTGAACTTGGCCGCGGCGTTGTTGCCAAGAGGGATCTTTTGCAAGTTGGTGCCGCAGTTGACATAGGGAGCGAAGTGGAGGGCGGGCGTCTCCTGGTCGAAGACGACGTAGGTAGAGCGAAGGAATGAGTCTCCCAAGAGATATGAGCCGTCAGTGGCCTTGTCGGCGCCAAGTACGCAGGCGTTGTCGGCCACCTCCCAGATGAACTCGGACAGAGGCACCTTCATGGTGAAGTCGCCGAACTTGAAATCGATCGTGCCCTTCTGGTTGCACGGGACGACGTACATATTGACGGACGAGTCAATGCGGCCGCCCAGATCCGTTCCAATGGCGTCGACGACGGCCGATGGGAAGTAGCTGAGCGTAGCGCCCGTGTCGAAGAAAACGGGGAACTGAGAGTTGGAGTAGGTCGATGAGCTGCTGCCAGACTTGCTCATGCCGATAGAGTCGAGCTGCACCCAGTACCTCCACAGGTTCTCGCCGTTTTGAGGACCGAGGACGGGGGCAGTATGCAAGTTGCCACTAAACTTCTTGGTGTCGACACCGCCGAAGGAAATGAGACCGCTGCCGGTGCGCTCGTCCTTGGTTCCGAGGGCAATGCCCATGGTCAAAGACTCAATGACCTTCTGAGCCTTCATCTCTTCGACCACGGTAGGGTACTGTGTGTTGTTCTTGTTCTCTCCGAAGCTAAGACCAAGAATGCCCCTGTTGAGGTCGACACTGTCGGTGGCGTAGCCGAAGGTGACCTGAGAGAGGTCGATGTCTGCACACGAGGTCAGTGGAGGCCTTCAGGGAACTGGGACGACCAGGACTTACCGCTGCCGGGAAGAGTGATGTTGTCGGCAACATATTGCAGTGCCACCTCTCCCTTGCCATACTTAATGCGACCAGTGGCGGAAAAGATTTGGGCTGTTCTCGAGTTGTCGGGGTCGTATTGTCCGTTTGCGCGGCAGGACTGGGTCTGTTGGGTGCTGCCAGCCTTTTGGCAGTTGGGGTTCACCCACAGTTCTGAAGATCCGGTGTCGAGAGCTACTTTGGTGTCTTGACCAGGGGTTCCGATGTTGACTAGACGTGATCGTTAGCAAAGGACAAGGAGCGGCATGTGTCTCAGTGACACCTACGTTCGATCAGGTACGTTGTCGAAGTAACGTTGATAATTGGAACATCTGTATCCGAGACTTGTCTTCTTCTGAGCTTTTCCAACGGGTGCAATCTGATATCTTGGTAGACGGGCAGCGATAGGACGCCGGGAGTGTTGGCGGGCTCGTCGCGGGGGACGGAGAGAGCGGACGCGCTTGCTGCGAGAGCAGCGAGAGGCAATAAGCGAGCAGCCATAGTGTAGGAAGCGAATATTCGAATATCGATGTCGAGTATGGAATTTGTCGTCGAGGCTGGTGGCTACCTGAAGTATTGGATGGCTACTGTCTGGCAGTAAGGTAGTTAATAGGTAGGTAGTGACGACACGTCGGGTCTCGGGTCCTAGGTTGAACTGGCGGCAAAAAGAGGCTTGTGGCAGGAGGATAGGAGTGGGATCGCAATGCTTTTAAGAAGCAGACCTAAGCGTAAAGTAAGGTAGTGCAGCCTTGGCGTAGTGGACTGCCTTGACGTATCCCGGTTGAAGTGCCCACCAGCCAACAGAAGCAGAGCCCGTGAACTAATGTAGGTACTACGAGTGTGGTGTTCCTTCCGACCGCAGCGTGATGGAATAATCAGGCAGCCAAGAGCAAGCAGGAAGAAGACCGTTTGCTTCGGTACCCAAAATAAAGTAAGCGCTGCGTGCCCTGCTGCGCACCCCAGAGTCCAGGCTGGATGGAGCTCAGTTGCTGACCTGCATCAATAATGGAAAGTAAAGGGGAAAAGAAGATACGAGTGACCTCATTCGACTGATTTGATATGGGGAATCCATGGCAGGGGCAATACGTACCCTCTACCTAGGCGCGCTGTCCAGGCAGCTTCCCCAAGCAATCTGCGGAAGGAAGGCACCAACGGCCTTGGAAAAGAACCTCAAGGCACGACCTCCCTGAGGCTGAGCTAATCCAACTTTCCCCATCGATATGTCTCAGCAGGCATTGTCCATGCAACAAAGAGCAGCCACGGCCCCCAATATGCAACTCGATTGGCTCGTCCCTCAGGAACTGCGGGAACCTGCACACTGGACACTGGACGGTGCGACACACAGCCACTCCCGGGCATCGCCAGCAAAACTGCTTAGCGCCCATTCAGCACTCACAAACACCAAGCCTCGGCACCAGGTCTCGAATCTAAGGTAATTAGAGATCGTCCATCTTTCCAAGACACAAACGCTTTTCGCCGAGACACTTACCCGAAGAGAATTGTCAGCAGGTGGCAGCCCAGCCACCCACGATACCTCCGCCACTCGCCTTTGACAGCACAAAAAATTCACAAACGCTCTCAAAACACGCCATCAACGCCCTCCACGATGGAAGGATCGAAGCGCCAGACATTAGGTACGCATACAAACTCCCGCCAACGCAACACGCCAGACGTGGCGCCGGAACTGACCGGCCGTGCACTGCCTCCAGGTCCCCTCCCGAGTCACCACCAGCGCAGCGAGCGGCCTGTCGGCACAGCCAGAGACAGAGGCCTTGAGGTGAGGCCCTCTCCTGCACCAGCGCCATGCACTGCACAACCTTGAGTCGCTCTCGTTGACGCTTCATCAGACGACCAAGAAGGCCAAGCTCATCAACCTCGCCAATCATTGCGTCTCCTGCCCGACCTGACTGGACAGCCACGCCAAGGGCATTACGACGACTATCGCCCTCCATCTCAGACCTCAACCGACAACCCGAATGCCACCCGCGCCTGCCTTTAACGAGGGCCAAGAGCCTTCGCTGTCTCGCTGCCGACCAGACCAGGGAGAAGCCCGTTCACGCCGCCGTCAACTCATCTCTCCATGCTCGCCCCATGCCGCTGAGAATTGGATGAGCCTTGGCATCCTATCTCGAAAAGGATACAACGGCCATGGCAAATAAGCCCGCTCTCCTCTCCGGCCTTTCGCTTCCGCCCATTCACGGTCTTGACGTATCGTTGCCTCGACCACTCCGCTAGCCCCGAATGCCGTGGCGAACTCGTCACACTTGAACTCCGGATTTGAAGCGGAAAAGAAGAAATGATTGTGTCATTGTGCAAATTCTCCCACTCACCAACCTGCCGCCGCGAGTCGGGGACGCTTCGTCGGCCAACCCGCTGTCTCTGACTAGCGCAGTTTTTCAAGCTGAAAAGAGCTTAATCGATGACGCTCAGGAAAAAACTAAAGAAGAAGCACATCTTCTCGGTGTGTGCCTGCGCTATTGATTTTTGCCAGGCGCGAAGCCATCCCGGTCCCTTGGCATCAGCCCGCGGTGGAACTCTCGCTGGTCGCCTGTCACGTTGATTTGGGGTCCCAACGACTCTTCTACGCTCGCTCCGCCTCGTGACTGATGACTTCAGCCCTCGGTGACAGTCATCAGTCGACGGATGGAGGCGCAGGAATGCAGATCTGGATCCGGCAGTGGGGTAAAAGATGCCGAATTTCCCAGCTCGAGCCACCGTTACCCGCCCTATCTCGCCGATCTGCCACCGCAACGTTCAAAGAGGGACGAAACAAGGAATCATTCCAGCTGTCTGGGGCTTTCGGGGGCCGCACCAGACCTGACCAAATTATGCATCTTTTTCCCGCGCGGATATGGATACATTCCGACCCATCGGGGCGAAATGGGTCAACGACGACTGAGAGCCGCTCGCTGCCTGTTGCTAAACCCAAAATTCGCCTGCGGACTCGGAGCCCTCGGGCGCCATCCCGGAAGCCTCCAACTCTCAGCCCTGAACTGTGCCTCTGCGCGTCGCATCCAGCTGAAAAAAAAAAACTGAGACGGCAAGAACGGAAAGGCGTCGCCCGGGTCGCGTTGCGGGTGAGGCTGTCATGAATCAATCCTGACTGTCTACCGGCCCGGTCTATTGTCAGTCTTCACACGTAATACTTCGTGGTCCAAGATACCACGAAATGGGCTTTGAACGCCATCACGGCTCGCGCGTGCGATGCTCACTAACGCTGCCACATGCTTCACGTCACCGAACGACAAGCCATGGAATCCTGTGCTAATAGCTTCCAGGCAACCTTCGTGGTACGGATGATGGCAATGGCAGGTGGCAGAGTTCGAGATACGTCTTGGCATCCCTGCGCCCCAAGTTCTTGATCGCGGGGCACTCCTTCTCTCAGCTTGTGTGAAGGTTTTCGCCGTGGCTATTTGCGGTATCCTTCCCGAAGCTCACCGTCCTTCAGCCCTACGAAGGATTTCTCGTCGCATTCGGTTCACGCCCGACCCCCATTCGCGAAAGCTCCAGGTCTCACTCAATATGAACCCGCAACCTCGACACCCCATTTATGATTTGGTTCAGCCAGCGGGTACTTCAGGAGCTGAACGGTTCGTTCAGAATGGAACTTGGCCTAACCCTGTCAGGCCTGACAAGCCTCATTCTGCCTTCTTGGTGAGGTCGAAAATAGTTCAGCTCTTGGAATGTCTCGAAATCGCTCAGACCTTTATCACGAACACGCCGAGCATCAGAGACATCCGAAAACCAGGCCTCCGCCGACAGCCTCGTTATGAGGGGTTCACATCGCCAATAGTTGGTTATGCTATATACGCATCGTCACACGTTGGCGCAAGGCAGACTGTAGCATTGAAACCAATTTCCCAACTTCGGAAGGCCGCTGTCGCTGCCTCAGCCAAGTTCGACCAGACGTTCACAAGTTCTATCCATACACATCCACGTCCTAAGTAGTCTGAGCTTCTTGCAAGACATCCGGGCAAATCTCGGCAACAACTGCATGCTGCCATTGGAAGCATCTGGTCTGGCGACACGACCGTGGACTTCGTCGACGTCCATGATTTGAAGGCTAGTCGATTGATCGTAGGGTTGATCGACACCAGCGCACCATGCAACAAGGGAATATAAACAACTTTTGCAGCGTGTTCTAGCACATACGACCATACCCACTGGAGAACTCGGGATCCCATCCGCTCTCCCATAGATAAGCCAGTGAGGGCAGGCTTAGCTATGGGAGAGCCTATACTAACTAAGCAGACCACTAACGGAACAACCAACCCATAATTCCTTCCCTTTGGACACCATTCAGTAGGCCCATACAACCTCTATTTCCTCCTACATGCCCATTAGCACTAGCTTACAGTTAGCCTTAGGGGGACTATAGGCGTGACGTTAGACTAAGTAGATATAGGCGCGTGCAGCTGCATTCTCTTTTCTAGAAATTGAAAATAAGCTTTAAGGCTACTTTTTTTATAGCGCTAATCTTCCCACTATCCTTCTCACCTTTCTCTCTTAGACTCTCTACTACCTTCTTAAATTCTAATATATAAATACTAACGCTTATAATACTAATCTAATAATACCTCCTTATTAAACTATCTATAATAAGTCCTATAAATAATATTTACTTAGTAATTTAATATCCTAAAAGTTAAGAGCTTAAGCTAACTTAAAAAAGGTCTTATAGATACCCTTATAAGATTAAGCTAGTATAGGGTTTAAAATAAAGGGTAGATACTTATAAGTAGGGGCTTACTAGAAAATATATAATCTCCTATACTTAGCTATATAGTAGTTTAATACTAATATTAATAAGGTATATAAAAGAGATTCTAAAAAATTAACCCTAATTAGGTTTAAATTAATCTCTACTCTAATACTAATAGAGCTATAGATATTATTTAATTAGTTCTCTTAGTATATACTAGAGATTTAAGTAAATAATATATAAAGCTTCTAATAGAAGATAGATATTACAACCCGTTAGGCATAACCAATAAAGAACGCCCCACTAGGATACTGGGCGGTTATGATAACACTTTTGTATGCAGGATCACGGGAATAGAGAGGACTCCTCGGAACGGAAGAACTATGGGCAAGTCACGTGACTAGGGAAGCGTGAGCACTAATAAGATAAGACGTAAGCTGCTCACGGTGTGGACCGTAAGCGCTCACCTTAAGCAACCACTAAGTGATCACCTAATAAGTAATTAAGGCAAGAAGCTAGGAGAATAGGACTTATATATAGGATGGACTTAAAGTCCGCTTAAGAACAGACTTCTATAGCTCTTTAGTAATTAACTTATAATTATTACTTATAATACTTTTAGCTATACCTAAGTAATAATTACTCTATAACTCTTATTAAGGACTTAACTAATTACTAAGCCCTTTAAAGACCTATAATTACTTAATTAGACCTAAGGAATAACTAATAACTATTACTATTATTATTACCTAACTTACTATTAATATAAACCCTATTATTAGTTAGCTAGCTATAACAC